GCTTAAGGATTCAGCAGGTATATTTCACAGTCCAGTGAATGTGTAAAATGTCAGTTTTAAATATTCACATCTATAAATAGCATGATTGTAAAAATAGCACTAGTGTCAAAAGAAATAGTACTTATTATATGTCACTTGAAGAAGTGATAGCATGCACATAGCAAAGTCACAAATATTGTCATTCTGAAATCATCAAGATTCCGCTTTCATTATTGCATAATATGTCTTTTAAGACATTTTTAAGTTGAAGGTCAAGAATAAATCTTAGTCAGTGTAATATATGCCATAGGGCAGATAAATCATTACTTTATTGTCCTGACTTCAAGCTAGTCAGGATAAGTTGATGACTATCTGCACACCTGAGGTAATGCTTTGGGAATCAGATGTTCAAATCAATCAAGTCAATCACCGCAGAGGTCACTTGTCACACAGGACCAGAGGCTACCTGGTGCATCATGGACATATTACTCCTGTCATACCAAATATCAGTGTTTATCCTAGAATAATAAATAATAGGAAAGTGAAAGTGACATTTAAGTTTTTGGATCAATTTATTGGGGTCATAGTTCAATTTACAATGTTAATAACATTTTTTATGTGAATGTGTCTTCTCTGTAGTTTATAGGAAACAAGATGTAATATACTGTTTACTTTATTATTTCTTTGAATTAAAGCTGTGGTTTTATTTTGGTCTGAATATTTTAAAATCAAATCAAAATTTGATAGTTATTGTTGGTATAGATATTTCTACATCATAGAACACATATCACCTGATTTTTGGCCTGATGGCTAGTTATATGATTTACAGGTATGGCTAAGTTAAGTTATTGCTATTTGCCCACCAAAAAACAACACATTGGACTACTAGCTCAAAGTTTGGTTTACCTTAGCTTGTGTTTACTTAGATTCTTGTATCAATTTCTTAAAAAATCACAGATGATTAAATTATTTTTTTGTTGTTATAAATAGTTCAATAATTCTTTGAACATGCATGTGTAATATCAATGATTTCATGTTTTGATTATTTGGAAAAACAATAATCGTTTCTTGTGGATAAAGCTAATGGGACTGTGATAGGGTATTTCTGCTCATAATGTTACACTGCAATGACATGGCTATATAGGTGGCATACATATGTTATTCAGTGTCTGTACATATAGAGCTGTCACAAGTGTATTCAGGTAACCATGTGTATCGCTGGACAGCGGACAGGTTCTCTGACAGCAATTGTGCTGTTTCATCATAATTATATTATCAGTCCAGCAATTGAATCGCTCCTGGATGAAATGTTACAGTAATGTCTATAATTGTATTAACATGTGTCATTGTCAGATTAAATGATAATAGTTGTGATTAGTTATACTACATTGTTGTCTGTATCCTGTGTAAACGTGACAGCTCAGGCTTCGATTATTATCCCGTGACTTTTACATCACGTAATGCATCTTCTGTGAAATCGTTAAAGGCCTAATGAAATTAACACAGCATTAGATATTTATATTGAATTAAGAGAAAATCAACTATGAGAAAAATCAATGAAGGATAACCTGTAGGATTTGCTAGGTTTAGTGCATATACCTAAAACACGTCACTGGTCTTGAACGTGTTCTGATGTTTACAGGAGAAAAGGATATATATTCATGGTTAATGGTTTTTAATTTGCTGTAAGACATTTGCAAAAGGAGACAAATGAGGAACTTAGTGAGATCCAGGGGATTACCATAGCGTGTTGATTCAGTTTCATTTAAGAATTGAGGTATGTTGGTAAGAATAAGTTGGAGGATGGAAGTGAAAATGTACGTTGAATCTCAGTAAATGAACATATGTAAATTGGATAATGGAGAATAAGCAAGAGCTAATACTTTGAAGTGGGTCATTAGTGCTATAGCGGACACATTGGGAAAAGACTTGTATAAGGAGCCTTATTGGAAAAAATCAACCTGAATATTGATTGAGGCTGTTGTATGTGATTACTGCTGCTAACATGTAGATTGACACCTACCATCACAGGGAGACAGATGTCGACAATCTATTTATGTTTTACCACCATCACTCTCTCTGATGGTACCTGTGGACGAACATTGACTCGTTAATTCACCTGGCGTAATATAATACGGCACACTAGGTATGTGGTGTCCTAGGTATGTATATATAGGTGTAACAAGGTATGGCTGACTGACGAGATGTGGAATGTGCCCAGGGGACACGGTTCATGGTTGGGTGTCTTGTCCTCTAGGTAAGAATCGGTCCTATTGTCACACCACACATTTTGTGTCGTAGGTCTAGTGTCCTATAGCTGCTGAGTATTCCTGAATCAGCCCATCCCTGAGTGACATGACAGTGTGACCCGTTTTTCATGCTTTCTTGAGTTAGGAGAGTAAGGGTGCTGTGTAGTATATATCTATTTGTAAACATCCCAGAGGTGGGACTACTTCCTACGTAATGTAGATCTATTATCATAATCACATAGGAAAACATGTTATATGTACAAATGTGGGTAGACTACTTTACATAACTAATGTCTTCAGGATATTTGACTTCACCCAGGTGTACAATTACCTGAAAAACATCAGTAACACAATACTACATCAGAATTTCTGCCTCTCCTTTTCATTTTGAATTTGAAGTCTTGAGTTATAAAGCTGGCGTTATTTTCGTTGGATATAAGATTACAGCGGTCCAAGTTTTTCGGAAGATTTCGACTGCTTCCGTTTCGATTTTGTGATTTTAGAGTCCTAGTTTTGGTGCTTAGTGTATTATTGTACAGAGATTTTCGTTGAAATCGTTGGTATTTTGTGGCCTTGGAATTAAGGCGTTGTTGGAATACCATGGTTGGGATGACAGTTGAGACAGGTATGTTGATCTCTCTTTACTTTTCCTCATAATATATATCTATATATATTACAAGATGAACGACTAATCGTTGGTATATATCAGATAGGATTTCTTACAACACTGTTGAAGTATCTTTTTACACAAAATATTCATAATAATTATACTGCCAATGTTTTTAACATACAAGTGCTTATTTACACTGATTTCTCATGTAATATAATCAGGATGATTGTCTGTATACTTGTATGGTTACCTGTACAATTGATTATTAAATCAATCATAGGAAATGTTATCTGTTGAACTGAAATAATGTATATATCTTTCGCCAGTTAGTTTTTTTTTCTTCAAAATTTAGTTTTGAGGCCCTCAAAAATCTTAGTAGTGGTTGGTTAATATGTATATGTCATAACTTGTGAAATGTTGACCTTTTAAAATCTACTTGCTATCTGATACTGTTACGGATATCATCAGTTAGGTGGTTCCTAGTCTCCAGTCAATTATAATCTCAAGGATGTTTCTGTTTTGGAGTTCTTATCAGGTAGGTCATGTTTCTGTTTCTTGAAACCGACAATATGTCAAAAATGAAAGAGATAAAAAGTTGAGAGATTCTTTTCAAATAGAAGGTTTTTCATTCCAGTCATTGTAATAAATTAAGTTGTATGTTGTAGTCTATGTTAATTACTTCAACTCTCAGTTAAGTGTAAATCCTAAAAACTTCTGTAAACTCTTTGTGAAAACAGTGCTGAAGAGTCTCAGTTTGGCTTTAAAAGAAATAGGGTACTTGGTGTGTTATGAATAAACAGTTAGATTCCACATGGTACTGCCCTGCACAACAGAAGTGATTTGGTCAACTTAGGCAGAGTCAATATGTCAAATTAAATGATTTGACCCATGAGGAATACATTGTTCTTTATTACAGCCAGTCCAATGGTCAATGCAGGGGGGAGCAGGGTACAATAATACTGACTTAGCAGGTTTTCTGCTTGATTGATGTACTTCGAATGAAATAACAAAGAAGAATGTTTTGTGACATTTAAAGAGCCTTCCTTGTCTGGTTCTAAATTATTTACACAACTCGTTCAATTATGAATAATGGGGATTATTAACAGAGAGATTTTCTGTGACTTACAATGGATTATGGATACGTACAATACACAAAAGGTAACATGTTATTGTGTTATGGTAGGATATATAGCCAGGCAGATTTAGTCTTTCAATTGATCTATATATGATATATATATACAATCAATAGCTAGGTAGCAGGTGACTTTTACAGATATATATGATAAATAAAGTGTATATATACTAAAAAATTTCATCTGTGTTTTCCTAGATTTATAAAAAAGATGTTTCATTGCTACTGAAAGAAACATTTATATAATGTAACTTTTATAAATCCCCTTGTTAATTCATAGTTGTTTCTTTGTCCTGTCTCTGTCAGTTGATTTTGTTTCGGGTCTTTGATGTCAGATGTAGTTGACCAGGTATTGATCCATGAATGTTATTAGAACGTGGTACTGGAAAGCTTCGTATTATTAGTGTTTTCCTGTTGTTTCCTTTCATTATTGGAGAAGCTTAGCGGGTTATTCAGGTTATCTACTGACATCAGTCGACTGCAGCAGCTGATACGGTGTGAAGGTGTAATGAAAGTAAAATAAAGGTGGGATGTAGTATCTAGCAATGTTAGATATGCCATTGAGAGGTTCAATAGCCTGGCTGATGGAGATGTCAGCGGGATATGTGTGGTCCAGGTTTACCAATAGCAAAGGGAAATGACTGTTTTAAACACCTAAGCCTGGCCAGGTAAGCACACAGATGTTCATGTCTGCTGTATGCCACAATCTGTACTAATGACAATATGTCCTCTGTGGCTGTACTCACTGCTGATAGTATTTATAAAAGCTATTAAGTCACCTCAGAATCATCCAAGGCAAGAGTTGATGGTTTATAACACCTGAGCTTAACACTCACAACAGATTGTCACAGCTGATATCTGCAGAGTTGAAGGACAACATGTATGTTTATTTTCTGTGGACATGGTAGTTTTCTTCTATGTATGAAAATCTGATGTTATGGTTGAAATTATCTCCCTTTAATTTCCATATTGGTTCTATAATAATCAGGAAATGCATTGCAGTTCTGTGTCCAGTTGGGAGAGTATACCTACTTCATGATTAGGATTACTGGATGTTACAATCAAAACCATCACCCTGTTGGAGGTATGGAAACTGTTTTGTCTTGAAAGTTGTGGACATCAGGAAGACCAGAGTGTGTTAATTTCCTAAAGGGCTTTAATTTGTCGCAGATCATGAAAGCCTGTATTTGTCTACTTGAAAGTTTAGAGATCAATGTGGATTTTCCGTGATGACTGGATAAAATGTACCTATTCCGTGTGAGGTAGGATTAAACATACAATTCTGAGAGCATCAGGACCGATGACCACTTATAGAATATTGATCAGCGGTAAAACTCCAGTCACTTTTCTATCTACATGTAAAATGTATGTACTCGATTGTAGCCAACGCCATCCTAGACAGCTGCGCACAAAGATAAAACAACTATATAGATGTTTTTATATATAACAGCATTTGGTAGACACCTTTAGTTGAACAGAGGGAAAGCTCATGTGTGCTGTAGCATTATTAGTTCATGTTATTGAGGTCTATAGGATGTGTTGGAACATCTGGCATGTGTGGAATGCAGCTTCATATCTCTAAAATGTGTTTATTTACTCATTGTTAAGTAAAAAATATTTTCGACATATTGAAAGTAATTATGGCAGTGTAGTTTTTCAATAATCACATCAGTTGACCATTTGATTTAAGGATCTTGCCAAAGTGGAATGTGTAGTATTTTATTAGTGCTGGTCATTAATATAGAAAGTTGTATGCTGTTTCTGATGTAAATAAATACAGTTTGCTTGGAGGAAATACAAATTTAAGCTGGCTTCATATATAGGCTCTGGTATCAAATAGTGGCTTACATATTAATTAGTCGCCTGCAGAGCTGGCGGACACTTAGGGATCACTTTGTCCATTGTCACGTGTCGACGTCATCCATACAAAAGTTTTCCAGACTTTGTTATGCTTTGAGTTATCAAAATGAAATTTCATATTTCAGTTCACTTCTTGGCCATCTGTAACCCTTCTTGGCAGGGATATGTCCCTTTGAACTTGGAAAATTCCTCAGGAATATTGCTTTATGCTGTATTTCCTTTATGCTTCGAGTTATAGAAATGAAATTTGGTTTTACAACTTTATGGTTGAACGTTGCACATCCAGTTCGATTTCTGGGTGACTGTGACACTTTATGCAGGCAACACTTATAACTTAGATCCTAAAGTCAGTCTGGATGATAAGTCTGTACTTAATTAGTGCTAATGCTTTGTAATTAGGAAAAAACCCTAGTTTTATATCACTTACGATCCAGTAAAATTATCTAATTTGATAAATTCATAAACACACCCAATGTATACACATGATGAGATGGGCATTGAGTCATCTTTGAAATTACCTCCCACCATTACCTCATTATCATTTTCACGATTTCACATGAATGGCTAACTTATACATATTACAGCTAGGAGTAAACATAGTATACATGTATGTATTATAGTACCTAAATACCAAACATTCTGTTTTATACCATGGTATTTCCTGTTCAACCAGGTCAACAGCAGCTTGTTTTTATGTTTTCATGTAAGATAGGCAGTACATAATCTATACAATATGTAAATTATAATCAAAATTAGATACTCTAAAACATATTTTACAAACCGTTATTGCAGTTTCTGAATTTGAAATTAAGAGTGGTTCAGCATTGATGTCCATGAGTCATAAAAGCACACAGTGAGAAGTTTATCTGTAGGATGCATATAATCTGCTAAATCTGTGCTCAGTTTCCTGTTTAAAATTTGTTCAGTGCAAGACTGAGGGTCAATTTTATTGGTTACTTGATGTATATAACCTATGGGGTTTGTATGTAGGTAATTACAGTGTCTGGGGGCAGTTTGTCCTGACAGTGCCAGCTAGCCCATCTCCACCAATCATATGCCTTCCAGCTACACTATTACTTGATCATGAATTATCTTATTATTAAATGGTCAGTTTTAATCACCATTAATTACACCACATCCTGTGTTTAATACAGAAAGGTGTGCAGACCAATGTGCTAATGTAAAAGAATGTGATAATTACAGACATAATAGTGCTAATCACTGTCAGGGTAGCAAAAATTAGTGATTATCACAAAATCCCAATTTGGATCATAACTTGTCACATTTTGAGTGTTGGAGTGGGTATAAAACCAAGTTTGGTGACACATTAGAACCATTAGTACTGCTTTTGACTGAAGATTAGTACTAGATGTATGCTTGGTACGCAGAAGATTCTTTCTTACATATTCTTTACTCACTTGTGATGAGTCTTTGCTGTAATATGATTCTCTACCTGAAAAGGAAAAAGAAATTCAGGAAACTCAAAAAACAGATTCAATCCAAGACATGTAAGTTATTTTTAGTGCATTTATATATCTAGTACTGTCCATAAATCTGAAATTAATATAAGTAGAACCTTTGGTCCACATATATGCAACAAAGATGTTTAAAAGAGGTGAATTACATTTGTGTCAGAAAATTTGTTTGTAAATATTATTATTTTCTGTGTTTTTGAACACGAAATAAAACAACACATGAGAACTTTTGAGATATCCCCCCGAACCTTAATATAATATCACATATTTCCTTATGCACTGGGTTGTTTCCTATTGGTATTAGAAGGAGTATGTGTACAGCTGTGATTTGTGATCACATGAGCTGTATACATGTTCTGCATACCGACTGCACACATGTTGGTGGCTGTGTTGATTCATACTGGGAAAGTGTCAGCATGACTTACCATTTACTACCCAGGATATCAGAATGGAGGGCCATCACAAGTATACTTTCTTTTCTGCATGCTTTGGATTATTTGGGAAGTTTTGTGGAATATGACAGGAAGCAATGCCAATTAATTGTGTGGGGATATATAATGTAAGAATACATGTCATTGTAAACAACATTACTTTGAGAAGAGTGCAGATTTGTTCCATTGCAAAGTGTGATTTTGTTAAGACAGACTGGACCAGCCAGATACAATATGAAGATGATCAGGCTACAGAGGCTGGATCTACACATAAGTTTGTAGAGTTTGCTTGGCTGCTACAGTACTACTTTGTTACAATGATTATCACCCAATATTGATCACCTGGCAACATGCCTACTAAGTTTGTTTGTTTGTTTTTCTATATAATATTACTGATTTCATCTTGAGTGTAACAATGCCTCATGTGACTCTAATTATGCGTCATAGTTTGAAATATTGACTCTAGTTTTTGGGCATAATATGAATTTATGACTACAGTGCCTCAACACATAATGTACCTTTTACTCCACAGTACACGTAGTTATACATGATATCAGTGCCTCAACACATAATGTATCTTTACTCCACAGTACACATAGTCATACATGATATCAGTACCTCAACACATAATGTACCTTTATTCCACAGTACACATAGTCATACATGATATCAGTACCTCAACACATAATGTACCTTTATTCCACAGTACACGTAGTCATATATGATATCAGTGCCTCAACACATAATGTACATTTTACTCCACAGTACACGTAGTCATATATGATATCAGTGCCTCAACACATAATGTACCTTTTACTCCACAGTACGCATAGTTATACATGATATCAGTACCTCAACACATAATGTACCTTTTACTCTACAGTACGCATAGTGAGGAACTTATCACAGTAATCAAATTCCTTCATTATATGTGGCGAGACTTATGGCTAATGTTCCTTGACATTAGTACAGGATGAATGTATGTGTATATTTTCTCTAGGTATATTCAGTATTTTTACCTGTTTCAAGATATATGTGGTCTTCCTGTGTCTTACTGGGTTTTTTATCTTGACGTTTTTATATATAGTTGCCCTGGTTGAAGAATTTCTGCGAACCAAAAGAAAAACACAGTTTGAGAGCTGTCAGACAAACTGTTTATGTAAACCCACAGAATTGGTTCTTATTTATAGCAGGTTGAGACAGATTAGTTGTACTTGCTACAGATTTGTGCACACTTACATATTAGTTGGTACACTTTTTTCATTTCTTGTAGTTTTCATTTCAAACCCAGTATACATGTATAGTTTATGTCTTACAAGTTACAGAATACATTATTATGTATTTACCTCAAAGTGGACATTTACATATTGAACTGATAATTAATTGTTCAAAAGATAAATACATTATTTAGGCTTTTTCTTCCTTGTAAGGGGAGGAATTCTATCATCAATGGAACAAGATCACATAGAGACCGACATGGCATATATATTGCCCCAGAATACCTATCTATCATAATACATAATGTGAAGCTGGCTTGTAGTGTTTTTGGCAGATGAATATCTCTGACCTAATCATACCCTGCAACAATATTGACTGTACTGTCCCTATGTGTGTAACTGTAAGTAATTGAATGCCATGAAATTGTTTGTGGGTGAAAGCCCAGCTGTATAATTAGACACATCAGGCCTGATAGGTTACCAACTCATTAGTGAAATGATCTAGGCATCACAGAAGTTAGAATGCACACCTGGTGTATTCATGAAGGATGTATGGTAGAGAGAATTCCATTCCACACCCCAAGGGACAGCTTCTGCATATGTATTTAATTTTGTATGACTCGTATGCTTACTTTTAATCAAGAGAAAGAAAAATATGAAAAGAACCATTTGAAAAATATTGTTTAAAGACTTTATATATAGTTATTTCATGTGAACAATAAAGCCATATTTCATTATGATAACAAGGCTTCAAATCAGTTTTTTTTCTCCCCTATCACTTTGGCAATAACCCATTATGTTAAGATTTTTGATGTGACATACACAAATTTTCTATAAAACATTTTACTTTGTTTAATGGAGTGTTATTTACACCTGGAGTCTGAATTCAACTGTCTAACTATGGGTGGTGTATAGTTACATGTTTGTGTAGACGTGCCATCTGTAGTTTCAAAGTGGTTTCTTGTTGTTGTGTGTACTGACTGCTATCTCAGCTATACATCTGTATAAATATGAGCTGTGTAAACCCATACACAAATATTTGAAACAATAAAAAGACTATAATGCTGAATGAATTTTGCAGTTGAATGAATTTTCATTTAGGTAATTAAAATTTTTCTTTTGCAATTTCAGACATTAAATATGAAGAACCGGAGGCTCCTGTTGAATTTGGTGGTCAGTATGATACAAAACCGAGCATGGATATGAACATCTCCCCAAAACTTGTGTCAGACATGGATTTCAACATGTCAGGAATTACCACTATGGACTTAAGTACAGAAGAGCTCTGTGAGAAGGGAGATAACCAGAACACAGAGAAAGGTGAAGGTGATTCCACAAATCAAGATGTGGATTTGAACAAATCGGATTCCAGTCCGCCAAAGAAACAAAAGTCATTTTTAATGTCAGTGCCACTGGATGATATTTCCATGGACAGTACTAAGATGACGGATAGTGTCATGAGTATCTCCACAAACAGCAGTATACAGGGGTCAACTAGCTCTGGCAAAAAGAGTCCCAACACTGAAAAGTCGGGTGAGTATTTTCTTTAAAAGAATTTGGTGTAAAGAAAAAAGAAATATTGGTGTGTGGTTATTTGTAAATTTTTGAAGTCCACTCTGTATATGAAAGGAATTATATTAGGCTTTTAGAATGTGTTTACATGATGTGAAAAGAGTATGAAGAAAAAAAATTAAAAAAAAAAAAAAAATCATTATATTGATTTACATATACATAGAAGTCATAAAATATGTTATTGTGTCGTAAATCTATATCTGCACCATAGTAATTGTTTGTGATGTTATTGGCATTGATGGAGAGCTCACATTTTAATTTTGTTCAACATGGCCTACCAATAGGAAGAAAAAGAAATTTTGAAAAATGAGGGAATTGCATTTTTGAAGGTCAATTAGATTATATTATCTATATATCTTTATATATATTTGTGTAGCTTTCATTGTTTTTTCTCATCTAATTTCTTTTATTTATTTTTTTTTATATTCATTTATAAATACAGTCGTTTGTATATAACCATATATATATGTTGAAGGTTATTTCTCCCATATTATATATATATATATATACACCTTTTTAGTTTGAACATAAGTCGTTTCACTTGCTTATGGGCGGATTTTAATCTCGGGGTTGATAATAAATATGTATTTATAGTTAAAATAAAGTTTCTTCCACAGCAGTGGTAATGGGCTAGGAGTGCCAAATGATTTCCATTTAAACAATCCCAAGATGGTAGACAGATATCTATACTAAATTTTTTTTTAAAAATTCCATGATCATATTTTAAAACAAAAATGTAAGAATTTCCATATGTATTGGCTAGATGCTGTGGTTGGCTTTTAGCGATAAGATTTTGATCGTTTTTTCAACTCCTGCCATAAATCGATGCGTTCCTGTTGATGAGCTATTTAAATTTGTACTATGATTGTTTACATACTGAATTTCATTGATTCTTCTGGATCTTTAGAGATGTTACAAAGGGAATGTTGAAAACTAACCTTATAACATATATCATTCCTCACGTTAACTTTTGGCCATTGTACTAGCAGTTATAAAGAGTGAAAAAATGAAAAATAAATATTATTTCATTCAATCCTTGTGTGTATTAATTCCTTTTAACTTAAAACGAATGTGAGGCAATGATTTCTGACTAAAAATTTTGATTGCAATGAATGGTTTGTTTTGATTATGCTACTAATATTAAACACCTGTAATACCATTCGGAGAATGCCTGTAATAAATAGATGCATCATTGCGTGTGTTTCTATTGGCTGAACTTTGGCAATATATACTTTTGTTTATGTCTACCTGAACTTTCTTGGCAAGCTTACAGTACAGAGATAGATAGGGTGATGAATTATTTGAGAAATTTCAAGCTAACCAACAGGAACTCTGATGCTGAATTGAATGCTGTGTTTTTCTCCAGGCCACCAGTTTATATCCTATGGAAGAACATACGTGATTGTTAACGGAAAGATGGTTGTCGGCAAGTAATCACCAACATAACCTCTATCCAGGATAAATCATATATATATATATATACTTTATTCTATAATTAAAGTACCTGTGGTGGTTTATTTTATTTTTTACGTTGGTTGGTTGGTTTAATTAACATATTATCGACAAAAAGACATTGATCTGCTCTTGTTCTTTCCCTTATCATGCCTTCCAGGAAATATTGATTGATCTGTGTAAGCGAGAAGCCTTGTGTTTGGTTTTGCATATGGTAATGTAAATGATGGGTCGTCCAACATATCTGTACATGTATTATTTCATTTCATCAGTTAACTATTATCTCATCTTGAAGGCCTCCGTCATATACATACTAAATTGGAACAAATTTCTACAGGTCTTCGGGGTAAATTCTGATAACTCGTTCACCAGCAGAGCAGTAGCTATATAGCCATGCAAGGTACTGGGTAAAAATATACAAACGATATATGGAAAAATGACTATGATCATCAGGTTCACAGATAAAATGTTTCACTGCATAAACACTGCTAAATGTTAAAGAAGGCTTGAGCATTTATGAGTAAGGTATTAAATGTTTATGATAAGGACTGAAGCTTGAGAAGATCAGTGTCTTTGTGTGGGTAGCCCCTACTGCAATAGTACAAGTTAGCTAGGGCTTGTAGTACTGCTTTTTACATTAAAGTTCAAATTCAGTGTAGCCTAGCGCAGCATGCTGCATGCTTGATGTTTACGTTTTTGATGTTGATGCATGTTCAGATATAAATGGTCACCCTTTCATGCACCATTTCAGACTTCATCTTTCTCTAAGTTATATATAAAAATTAATATGGGGAGGGAAGGGCATTTCTATTTCCATTTTGGAAAGAAATTGCAGGACATCTAAATATGTGAAGCAAGTATTTTCAAGGTATGAAAGTTTGAAGGCAAGGATGAAAAGATTAAAATTTGTCAGAATATTAAAATTTACCTCATTATCTGCCATGATCTGGCTAATAATTCAGTCTTTGCCAACATAGTGTTAGACTATTTGATCTGGTAAGACTGTATATTTGTTTGTCTATAAGTTTTCTTTGAAGTTGAAGATGAAAACTTCAGCTTGAAAGAACATTGGTCCTGTAAAGACTATGTAGCCTTGTTTGTTTTGACTGATGTTTCCTTGTGTTTTTTTCTGAAATTATGTTTAATTTTTTATATTTGTTTTTCTTCCCCTTTTTTCAAATTAATTTTTAGTGTCAGAGTTGATGTTATAGATATTAGTTGGATTTTGATTTTCTTCTATTACCATGAGAATAAATAAAGTTAAGATGTTTACTCGTCTGTCAGTATATTACTATAGGTCCAAATGTTGATATTAGAATTCAAATTTATGTACTTATTATTGCATTTAAAAATGAGTTTTTTACCTTGTAGGTAAGAATGCATTTTCAGGGATAAGCAAATCTTTTAGCCAAAGTGATTAATTCGGTTTAGATAAACAAAATTTTTTCAGTCAAAGACTTTAAAACTTGATTTGGTATTTAAAGTTGTTGAAATATTCATATCTTTCATTATCTTATCACTATTCTTAGGTATGAAGGTGAAAAGTATGAACAGTTGTATAATTCATTTTCTATGATTAAATTCAATTTTCTGAACTTTTCCAAATTTTTTTCAAATCTCGGTCATAGAATGATTCTTTATGCTGTTGTTGGAAGAAAAAAATCATCAATTCAAGCATACTTTAAGGTTAAGTGTCATGTTTGATTACCTTTTCAAAAAATGCAATTGAGCAATGAATGAGGAAAAAAAAAATGTACCTAGTGTAATATATATCTATTTATATGCAATTTTGAACATGTGACCATAAAATTTAATGGAAAAATGTAATTTACAACAACGGACCAGGCTATGTTAAAAACTTAATACACAGCTGTAAGAACTAAATGTTAGTCTATAAAAGTAAAATGCAAAAATTTAGTGTAGGGCTTTTATATCAGAAATCATTCGAAAAACTTTGAATTTATCTTTTAAAGCTGTATGGAAATTTGTAGTAGCATGAAAATTGAAGATGCTCCATGTGCAGTTAGATGTTCTGAAGTAGAGTTTTATCTCAGATATGAGTCATTTATTGATTAACTGTTATGAAGGCATAGTTCAAAATTTAACTTTGTGATTTTTGTTCCTTCTGCTGTAACTATGTCGAGGTATCGATCTAAGACATTGCATGTGCAGCAGGATCTATTTGACTCCTTGGAAATGTAATCGAAGGTTATATGTAGGGATCAGACATAAGGTCACAGAGGTGTCACACGTTGTAACATAAACCCACAGATGCTTGATAGAAAGCTGAGATATACTCAATAATTAATCACATGACATTTCTGAAGTGAATCTCTGTTTTGTCAGGTCTTCAGATCATATTGCATAAGTACTGCAGAAATATTGATACCTACTGTTACATCTTGAGAGAAAAGTTAATTTTCTACATACTGTACATGTATGTGTCATTCCAATGGCTTCCAGTCAAGTTAATTTCACTACAATTTGTGCAATACAATTAATATATCATTACTTGGATTTTTTTTCTAAAAAAATTGTGTCGTGACTATTCATTGATTGAACAAGTACTTGATTTCTGTCTCACATTTTGGTCTGTTGAACTGAACTTTCTGGATTACATTTTCACATCCTCCATGGCCAGCAGTCTCATGCATATAACATTATAGAGACGGCTGCTGTAACTGGATTATTAAAAAGTCTGGTAAGTGAAGGGCTATGTTACAGACTTGTTGCAAGTCTGTCAGTGAGGGTATTGTTTATTAGGTAAGACTCCACAGTGTGTGGTTAGTATACAATATGTACTGTTCACACACAATGAACAGAATGAGATGTAGAGGTTAGAGCTATGATCATAAGATTTATAAAATCATCTTTTGAACATTTGTAATGAATTCTTCTTAAAAAATGAAAATCCACTTTAAATTTGTTTATTGCACTGAACATCAAATGCAAACGTTAAACTGATATTGACAGGTAGCTTTCTAGGGTATTTGTTCTCGAGGCTGGAGATTACAATATGATGCAGCTAAGGTCTTTCATCCATCTGTCATTTCTCTTTGAACTTTTTCTTTGGCATCATGAAAACAACAAGTCACACTGTAGATTTTCTTTAGTGACCTTGATGTACTCTCAAGGTAATGTTTCAGAGGTCATAGGTATTTTAGAGACTCTACACAACATTGTCCAAAGAGTCACGGTTACAGGTTTTAGAGATATGATACAATTTTGTACCTTTTTCAAGTTTGAAATTAGAACAAAGTTCAATGCATGTGATATTCAGGCAGTTAATGAGATGAAAAACCATACTATACATGTTCATGTCATTGACGTTTGTTAACTTAAAAGGTTCAGGGAGCAAGCTTCTTATTATGTATATAAAGAAATAACTAAAACATCATTACATTGAAAGTAAGATATAGAACAATGAACAGGAATAGATTACATAGACCTAGACCAGTAGTTGATAACTTCAACCAGGTGCTGGCTGGGGTCAGTGACATCATGGCTTATTGATGGTTTGATGTTATAGGTGAAAGATGTAGATATCTTCACAGCTTTTAAGGCCTGAATTCTTATGAATCCTAATATTACACACATAATTATAAGCTTCAATTTTATTTACAATAAAGTAGAACTCAGAAAAAAAAAAAAAAAAAAAAGACTTTTACCATTATTAGAATGTTTGGGATGAACTCCAGTTACCTGGCACCTTGACTAATTTCTGAATTATGACAAAGTTGCTAGGAGTGTACCTGTTTACGTGCTGTAATTGTAGATTTACTCCCACACATTATCTGTGTTGATGCTCTGTTGTAGTTAGTTTCATTTTATTGCAGTTGCCTTCGCAAGTCAATAAACATAACAATTCTCTTCATTGTTATTAAAGAAGGGGCCTGATTTGTGTGTAGTAAAAACAGAATAAATTCACTGACAAGGCATTTACGTAACCTCAGAAATCCTAAGACAATGGTGATATATGTTTTCTTACACAAATTGAATAACATTATCTTTGATTTACTCAAGCAATCTGTTTGCATTAGGTTGTTATCTTGTTACCTGAGTAGATGGAAGACTGCAGACTGCAGTGAACTTTGAAGTTGTTAGGAGATCTCTTAGCAGTATGTCAGACCAGATATTTATCAGCCCCTATACCTATTGTGTAAGGTATCCTAACTATACATACCTGTAATCAGTTAACTCTTATCTAGTGTTACACAAAGTGAAAAATTTACTTAATTTTGATGTATATATAGTCTATGTACATAGCCATAGTCTTAAAAATATATACTATTTATCCCATTTATATGTTGTTAGAGAAGTTCTAATGCTAAAAAATGTTTCATTAGCTCTTTAGCAGAAAACTCAAATTCTCCCGCAAAGCCCACGTCATTTAAATCTTAAATCTTGTGATAATTTAAAATACAGGTAGATGGGATACTGTAGCTCCCTCCCACTTTCCAATGTAAGACAGCAGAGGGTGAAGCAAATGGCTAAAATCTTGCAGTTAATTTGAAAATCTGGTTTCATGAACAATTTAAGTGATATTGTTACATCTGTTCACTATGTTGGTGTGGTACCTATATGTTTTTTTTTTTTTAAATAGGTTATACAATGAGTTAACAGTTATACAATGACCAACAGTGTAATTTGCTGTAACATAACCCATAATACATAAATACCTCATATTCATGTATAACTATGCTTTGAATATTAATACTGGGTTCAGATACCATAGAAACTCTACAGAGTCCAGACTAGTGGAGCATATTAATGTTTACTTGCCTACTAACAACTCTATAGTATGTGCATATAAACAGTAACTTACCAGTGTAGAAGCCATTTATCTATTATTATTGTACATACCAAGTTATGGTGCTTTGGGCATCACAAACTACAACGCTCATTTACAGGTGCACTCGTAGTCTGATGTGGTGATCTGGATTCCCATCATTATCATCATTTGTTTACGTCTTGGTGTATAGCAATATGAGGGTTTTGAGACATATATTCTCTTGAATTGATGAGTAACATCTCTGTTTCTCACTTAATTCACATATCTGTTGGCAATGTTTTACAGAGTTTAGAAAAAAATTAATGGCCGTTAAGTTTTTTGAAAATTGTTTTTGAAATTAAGTCTTTAATATGCTGCAGTTTTGAATGTCTCAGAAATAATTTAAGTCTATTCTGATCACCCTACAACATTATAAGTTAATCTATATAAAGTTCATATATAACATACTGTATTGTCCTTTAGATAATATGATACAACTGTATCTGTTAAACTGAAGTAGATAATAGTTAAGGTCTTGTTAACCTGAACTAGTTATTAGCCTTGAAGGCCTAACTTAACATACACTCTGTGTCAAATCTGAAGTATTTAAATTCTGTGGTCTTTAAAACAATATTCTTTCGTATGTAAATATCTGTTTAGGTAAGTAGTTGATGCTGGAGCACACATGCACCTCTCCAAGAAGAAGAGTTATGTGTCTGTTGATTTCTATCATCTGTCGTTCAGGTCTTATGAGTAATGTGTTGTAGGTTTATTGTAGAAAGGCAAAAATGTGTTCTCTTGATCTGTATACCTCTGTTTTCTGGGTAGTCTGTATACCATTGTAACATGCTAGCTATAAATTCATTATAATGACAGAATCTTATATAGATCTTGTTTTTTTTAATTATATGGAAATATTCAACCCATTTACTGAAAATATTCACAAGTTTTATTTATACTGGCATGATTCAGCTGTTGTTTTCGATAGATCTATATTTTAGGAAATATTTTTATACACAATTCTCTTCAATAATGGACTGATATGATTCCTACTGTTGATTTAATTATCTTCCATTTCTAACCTGACTGTCACCTTTTCCAATGAAAAATATTTTCTTGAATTTACTGTAGTGATGGTGGTGTAAAGGCAATGTTTATATTTGAAGAATAAAGTATACCATTTATCTGTCTGTTACAAACTGATACATTGTTTACTATAGTCACAATAAATTTCAGCTCTTGTTCTAACCTGTGTACAACTATTTCAGTATTGGAAACTAGCGAAATATAGATCAGTTGAAAGTAAAACACTGGGCTGTTGTACATCAGAAATACATCATTTCCATGTTTAAGGGTTTTGATATGTGTTTTGTAATGATTATATATGAATATTATTGTCTGGCAGGAGTATTTCTCTCATGCTTATATTGGGAAGTTGGAAAAGTGTATATCAGGGACTGCCACTACATTGTTGTCCCAGTGTCTGATCAATATGCTATGCTGTAGTTACATTTTGACCAAGCAGTTGGCTGTTAACAGCTTTACCCCTGGTGCTCACGCGAAGTGAACACACATTTTCTTTCAGTTTTTAATAGAAACAGATTTCCTTTCAATTTAAAAAGAAGCTAGTTGTATCAGCTGTTGTCCTCCATCTCAATCCAGACTTTCTTTAGTGTTCTGCAGTCCACATTCACACTATAAACATGTTGCTAGCACACATATTAAGAACTTCATTTCCTAAAGCATCATGGTAGTTGTTTAAAGAAACGAATTACAACCAGTGGTTTAAGGCATTCATTAATAGAAATCTTAATATAACTCATTGGATATTCACAAATCTAATACCAGATGAATGGTTTCCTGGTTTCCATTGAATTTTGATGTTGAACATACTGATCTGAAATTTTACTACTGGGTTAGGTTTTATTACTTTGTCCAGTCTTTGAGCAATCAGATAATGTATGTATTATGGCATACAAAGATAGTGATAAACCTACTTAATAGCCCAAGTGTTAATTGATACAAATTCCTAATTTGATATTGGATTTCATTACCATTTTTTGCAAGCAAAGAAACTGTAGCTGACAAAATGTTGAATATGAAATTAAAAATCTGATTGTATACACTTCCCAACAGAAGTGTTCTGCAATTTATATCTGTTCCTAAAGTAATGCATTTTTCTGATTTTTCTTTTTTTGAAGTTTTATTTCTCTCAATCAATAACTGTATTTTAACATATATTCAACAGTAGGTTTATAGTGAATCAAATTCTTGTCTCATAGCAGCTAGTATATGCATATTTGCAGTGCAGTAGGGCTAGTCAGTGTGTGCAGGGCATCACCAGACTGCCTGAGGCTCTGGGATGCGACAGATATATGCTATGCAGCATTAGTACTGATCAATAACCGTGGGACATTGTAGTCATAAAAAGGTTAAACGTCTTCCGTAGTACGACTGAATAGTTAGTTCACTGGCTCATACCGGATATACAGCATGTGAAGCATGCTGTGGGATGTATGCTCCAATATATTACCAAAGTTGTCATAATGTCCATCTTTTAGACTTTAGGTAGAGTAGGAAGAATTGGGAAATTTATGTATAAAATATGTTTCATTTGCTAACATTTGCAATTCCTTGTGTAGACGCTGCAAAGAAAGATAAAGAGCGAGACAGAGAAGAACGGATAAAGGCACAGAGGGAAAAATTGGCAGAGGAAAGACAGAAAAAAATAGAAGAAATGAGAGAACAGCAACGTCTGGCCCAAGAAAAGCGTGAAAGACAACTCGACTTGCGTCGCCTCAAAATTGAAGAGCTAAGGCGTCGCGATGAGGAACGAAGATTGGCAGTAGAGGATAGACGAAGAAAAAGAGATGAAACGGAGCAGGTATGAATTTAAAAGGGACTGTTTTGTGGGGGAAACTTCATTACGAAATCAGTAAGTTGATAATGACATGGCCCATAGGTATAGCCACATAGGTAATAGCAAAGATTCTGCGTCAACATTTACGGTGTTGAAAATGAAGCTAATCAATGACTGATGTTTTTATGGTTTCAGTTTTCGTGTTCAATAAAAATACTGCTTTATGTTTTTGCTCAGCCATATTCCATCTTGTTTGCGTTTGCTTCCCAAAATAGCTAATAATTTAATAAACCAGTCTAGAACAGGAGCAGCACATATACACACTGCACTCCTAGTGCATGGCACTGGTATTCAGTCAATGAACAGACAACTTCTGTATATCAAGGGTACATCTACTGGTGTGCTTGATGGCTATCTTAATCTTCCCTTTGTCTCAGAATAATGGATGAGTTGAATACTTTGATGGAAAACTTTCTTGTCTCTAAATATTTAAGGAATAGTGAACAAAAGAGATGGAAAAAAAGGGACTGTTGAGAAAATTTTTGGCTATGTAAGCAATGTTTTTGTGCAGCATCAATGTTGTTACTTTCTGACTTTGAGAAACTGTCTAAGTTGATAAATGGTGGATAAGGATTCATCTGTCACAGGAACAGAAGGTTCACAATGATTCTGTAGTACATCAAGACGTTGTGAGGCATCTGTCTGTGTAGACAGACATCAAGCTAGAGTACCAGTTGAAGATGTCTGTTTTGTCTTCCAAACTTCTATTCTATCTACTCAAAACCATCAGCTCTCTTGATTTGTTAGTTCTTGACTGACTACTCCCATTTTTTTCTGCAATTGTTTTTTTTTTTTTTATGTCTCCACCAAGAAGAATCATACAGAGTCCGTGTTTTGTCCATAAAACTAAGGAGACAAAAAAAATTAGATATTCTTACAATTTGTGGTATGGTAGGAGAAAACATCTAGATTAGTTGCAATGGTTCCTTTTGGGCCAAATGTCTTATTTATTGTGACAAGGAAATTGAAGTAAACTTTGAAGAAATAGGGGATTATCAAATATTTTATGAGATTGTTGTAGTCAAAATTTTGAAAAATAAGAATCAATATCAACACTCAAACAATTGATTGTCATGTTTGTGTGTCTGGTTTCCTTATACAAACACGGTATGAGTCTGGACAGGACACCGCATTCTCAGGCATAGTATAACCAGTGGGAATCATTATGTGACCACAAAATTTAAAAAAAAAAAAAAAAAATCTATGAGAAGTAAACAGTTAATCAATAGGGAACTTCAACACTACAAAAGGAGATGGACTAAGGATATACAATTTTCATCTTTTTTTTTCCTAGAAAAAGTTGAAATCTGTGAGAAATATATTATCTCTTCATACTTAGTTAATCAATAGAGCATTTGAAACATTCCAGAAAATATTGGTAAACTATGGTGAATGGTTTTCATATTGGAACAGGATAAAACAAAAGCTTCCAGTGGGAAAATGTTTTGAAAGAAAAAAAAGGAACTTGAGAGAAAAGTCTTATTGATATCACGATAAATCAGCTTTCACTTTGGTTTGAACCCTATCCAAAGAGATAAAGGAGGCAGCATGCCAGTAGAAGTGGAAAGTAGTGACGGATGTATTTTCTATAGCCTTAGGACCCTTATAAATATGTTAGACTGGTCCATAGAATGGGGATGGATTGTCTATTATAGGTAATTAGGGGCCAGAGGAAATATTACTGACATCATCACAAAATGATCATTGATTTTGATATAATTGTAACCTTAAAATATATAAAACCCTGTTCATACAAATATTTCATACAGAGAAACGAATACAGAGCTGAGGTAGTTATTCTGAGAGGAGTCTGTGCATGCATGATATCTGGAATCTCTTTTCAACCATCAGATTTCTGAACTGGGATTCTATGTTACATGGAGGCTGGAAACTTGAGACCTATCATTGTCATATTACAGTCTTTCTTGAAGACATCTGGCCCACAAGTAACACTGTAGTATATAACTGTCTGTGGTAAATGTATTTGATAGGCTTTGTCTTAGTGCCTCGTGCTCACATAAGAACAAAGACAAGCTGAGCAGAACAAGGGAATTTATCAGAGGAGCAACATTTTGAAGAAAATCTTTATTGTAAGCAATACACAAGATTTAATTTGGAGGTACATGGCTGTACTGGGAGAGAAAATGTTAATTGTGTGCTGAAATATGTCAAACAGAGGTCACTTTTGAACTGTGGTAATGAAATGTTTATGATTTGCACATGTAAATGGTTGAGAAGGGCTTCTGGAAATGATTATATATCTTATACTGAAGGAAGGCAACAGTGTTAAGATCTTGGGCCTGAGAGTTTACATTGCTGTAAATATTTCACAGGAATATTTATGAATTGTTCATTTGACCAGAGGTTAGTATAATATTATGAGGGTTGAACACATGGCCACTGTGCATGTGTGTGTGTAAGTGTTGAACAAAGATGAATCAAATGTTGGGTATGTACACATAGTGATTTGTTAAAGAGTAAGTGAAATATCAAACCAGTTTTCACTTTACTGAGCTCTCTTTTCTTCTCAGTATGGATAAAGGGAAACTAAATATTAAAATGATGTTCTCTGCCTTCATCATGTGCCATCTACTGTGCAGTATGGTGGTAATGCATATGGACAATGTGTTTAGTTGTGATAAGATCTATTGAAACTAAACAAATGGCTTTAATTTTCTTTATAGACTTTCGAGGTTGTAGTTTGGCATGTCCAGCAAACTGACTGAAATAATATTAGAAATACACTACTTACTTGTTTTATTAAGTCACCACTGCACAGAACATTTTTTGCATGGAAAATTGGTAGTAAAGAAGATAAAATAGTACAAAGGACAACTTGTTTGCTCTCTTGTCAAAATACTCCTTGATGTTGATGCTGTGCATTTGTTATTTTTGATAGTACCATTGGTAAAATCTGAGATTGATAGAATATACTATATCAATCTGTAGAGTGTACTTTGAAGTGTTATTTAGAAGGATGAAATGGAATGGTTATGTGTTTCTGTTGTAAAAACTCATTGGATGATGCTTTATATCATTCTTTGGGGTATTCAGCAATTTCAGAACCTTCCTTTGTTTTTAAATGTATTAAAATTGATAGATATGAATTTCTAAAATTACTTTCCTAAGTTTTCAATCGCATTTAACCAGATATAAAGCTAATATATGCAGATAGCGAAATCAAATGGAGTAGGCTTCCAGGAGCCATTCATGGCCTCGCCTTGCTACACGTAGCCTGTATATTTTTTGCCACAGTAATGATATTAATTTGACAAGTCAGGACTCCTCTATTATTGATAATGGACACCTTGTTTGATAGCCACATCACAGAAATCTGACCCAGACTCTCACCAAATTCACTGGACCTTGATGCATTCTGATTTATCACCAAGCAGACCAATGTGTTGAGAACAACAGTGCATACCTCTTTACAAATATTGTGTGATACCATTTGGAGCTTGCCATTCTTTCTGGTGACATCATGATGACATTTTCTGTTGATAGTTCAGGAATCAATATAAAAATTGCAAGTGTCTGACCGATAAACCCAACAAAATGGATATTTTTGTCATTGATCAGATAGCTTTCCTTCGCATTGGTGCAAAGCAAGCAATCTGAAACAACATTGGCTTTTCTAGAATCTCTATCAATTGATATGACAATAGTTGTATGTCATTCCTGGTGTGTTCAAAACTCTTATAGAAAAAACCTTGTTCTATTGATCAATGGAAAAGGGAGATAATTGTAGTCAGACAGTTTTTTTCTTCTTCTTCTTTCGAACCTGGGAATATGCATATTGGAATGGTGATAGGCATTGTATGTAAAAGCAAGACTTGCATGTGAACTAATCTATGTGTATGTGTGTGTGTCAGACTGGTAGCTACTAGACAGAAAAAAAAATTTCCAGCAACAACATATGTTTGTATTGGAGGCCGGCAGATTATTGATTTGGTTGTTAAAGTTTGGTACATATATAGAGAGCCTTCAGCAGACATATGTGTCATTAACACCTTTCCATTGGCCCACAGGTTTCTACCTGGAAAACAGTGTATTTGAGAAACAGAGAGAGAAAAAAAGAAAGAAATAATTGTTTAGTAACTGCTGGGTTCCATTATAATCTGTCTGTAACAGCTTGCAACAATATGAAATATGGCTCCAGTTGCTTGTCAATGAAATTTAATGTGGTAGTGAAAGGTCCAGTATAATAACATTATGTGTGAATCTGATTGAAGATGAGATTTTTTCATTTGATCAGAATGGTGAATGATTGGATTAATTTAATAGGTTGATCCAGTTTGATGCCAGCTGATAGTTCACACCATGCATCGATGAACTTTCAAAGATCCAAACTTACGGTCACATCCAGTACAATACTAAATTCTGGTTTATATCTAAAGCACAGGAAGAACTGTGTCCATAAACTGTTAGTTTTTACAAAGCAGATTTAGTCAAATCTGGTCAGCCTTGTCAAAGAAATCACTTAAAGGTCACATGTATGTAACTTGTCAAACCTCACATTGAGATCTACCTGAACATCACCTGTCTATAAATATTTGTTTTCAAAGTGTTTTAATACTTCATTGATTGTGTTAGTATTTTCTATAAAGACAATTAGTAAAATGCCAAATTATCTTTATGGTCTTATTTCACTTCCGTTCTATGTACATATGTCTTTCTTCTGATTTTTGATGTTTTTAATGTCATTTTTAAAAATAATATTAGCTATTTAAGTTCTTTGCTTGTGGGCAGTAAATACTTATTACAGATATATAAAGTCAGTCTACACAGGTCAGCATAGACGTAAAAGCAGTTCACAGAAAGAGCTTGGTTTTCATTGATCTCTTAGTCATGCATTATGCTGCAAGTTTACAGGAAAAGAAACTCTGATTAATACACATATACTGTTATCCACTAAAGCTACAGTATAAAGAAATTTAGTAAGGTAAAAGATGATCTTGTCAGTAGATAACCAGGACCACTATATGACCAGGGATAGATTTATAGGGAAGTACACTATTTTATCAGGTTCAAAACTGTCAATATAAGGATACAATGTATAAAATCCTTTTATGGATGTTTAAAATAACATTTCCTTCTCACAAATGTTTTATACAAAAAAAGGTACAAGATAGTAATCAGCTTTTTTATGCATGGATGACCTGGAATCGATTTTTCTATGGCTTTCATATATTGATCAAGTATGCGAATCGCCGACCACTGTTATAACTGCTTGAGAGTAAGTCATCTCTTGGAATTAATCTGTTCGCCAGTATTCTTACTTGTTTAAAACCAAAGACTAATACACAAGCAAATCTATACCCACAGTCTTTCTTTGCACCTACTTCCGAATTCTATCTTTTTGGAAAATGTTCAATTAACAGTAATTACAACAGTGGATTGATCTGCATGCACGCTCAGTAGAGGCGTTAGTTCCAATATCGGTGAGGTCTCCCAGTTCTATGTTGCATGCGATTGTGTATGGAGTTGGAAAGGGAGTGACTCATTTTGCTTGTCATGTTGAATGTGTAATGAAGGGTTGGTGAGAAATTCCATTGTCTTTTGCTGAGAGAGTTGTTCCAGCAACAGTTTGTGGAGAAATTCCGGTACTGTCTAGTTTTGGTGTTGGTCCTACTAGGAACAGTACTACACATTCTTAGTAGCGAAGTGCAGATATGGCTGAAATTCAGGTGACCCGACAGATTTCTTTTGCTGATGAATCAGAGGAAGAGGTTAGATATTTGTGGAAGTATTGATCTTTTAAGGGATTATGTCATTGGTGTTCAATTGCTAGGGTGAGTCAACATATGTATTGTAGAATTCACATTATGCAATTCACCTGTTTATGATACAGGTATGCAATGCAGGTGGTCAGTAGGGATAAAAAAATTGTTTTGAATTTAAAAATTCATGAATGTGTCTGCATAACATCAGATTCTCTTCAGATTTATGGTTATAACTCTGGAATCAAATCGGATTATATATCAGTGTATTGGTATTTTGATACAGTATACAGTGGCTAAATGTCAAACTTCAGAACCTGCTAATGAACATTCGTTGTATTTTGCCATGTTGAATATCTAATAATGGCATTAAATATTCTTTGTTTATAAAAAATCAGTTAATGTGAATCGCTTCTGTGCTAGGCACAAAATTGAACAAATCGTAAAAAATGCTGCTTCTCTTGGGAAATAGCTCATGATTTCAGTTTCTGTATAAATTAACTGGTTTCTGTGTATTCACAGCAAACTGTGTTTTTTTAAACGCTAAGAACGCTACCCAAATCATGCTAGCAGCCTTACTCAATTTACCAAAGTTTTATTGATTTTTTTTTTATCTTGAATTTTCATTGACGTCACTTGAATGATGTGAGATGCAAACCCTGCATATACCACATCAGAGGTTTGTCAGGTGTGTTGAGTGCTTAATTCTTTCTTTGTGAAATGTTTATAGAGATTAGGAAAGATAACGGAGTAAAATTGATCAGAGAAGCTATGTTGACACCTAGGTTGGAAACAGAGTAATTTTTAGTGTAATGAATGAAATGAATCATGTTCATGATTTCAGGTACAATGTGTGAATGAGTACGGAAATTATGTCATTTCAGGAAATCTTTGCTACATAGTGACTTCCATGCTTTTAATACTCCAAAATGACAGCAAATCATCACGATTTGGAATGATGGTGTAAAGCATGTTATACTTAGAATTCTATTCTGTAGAGAGTGCTGGGGGCAAATTGAGATTAACGGGTGAAGGGCAATGATTTCAATTCAAAAATGTTTCTGGTATATCAAAAATGTTCTACTCCAGGTAAAAGCTGGTATACAGTAAGTAACATGGTACTCACAATGCTGTTATTAACATGTTTTTTGATTATCATGTCAGCTTTTAGAATTTCAAACTTGATGAAGAAATTATAAAAATTTACAGATTTTGCCTTTAATTTTTATCCTTTCATTCTACATACTGTTGTACAAATAATTAAACTGACTGAGAAACATGACATTCTCATTCTTTGTTTTTTCAGGCGAGAAAAGAGTCCATCATCCAAAAGTCACAGGAACGCATTACCCGTTACGAGCAGTGGAAGGCGAGTGGTAGAAAAGGTGGGCGAGTGTTGGTGTACGGGTTTGGCAGCCGTACACCTAGAGAAGTGTGTCAGCCAGTAGATCGACGACGATCATCGTCTCATAGTGCGCTTATACGTCGCTCCCCTAACGGGTCTGATTCGGACTCGTGGCGACCCCAGCGTCGGGCCGTGTCCGCCTGCAGCACGGTCAGGCGGCACTGCTGTATTGATATTAATCGCCTCACTGGTATGTGCTCTTCTTTTCATTAACACTGCAACATGTCATATGTCAAATTTACCCCCCAAAAAAAATAAATAAAAGAAAAAGGAAAGAAACAATCAAAAGCAAACAAAAGAGAAAAGTTAATTTTTGCTCATTTGGATTTTACATCTGCAATTATCCTGTGGAAGATTAGCATTATAATAGTTAATATTTCTCATTTCTGAAAATTGTTATTTGAAGAAAAACATAAATATTTGAAAATAATAACATCATAAATCTTGTAACTTGTTACTTTGACTTGAAAATCAATTAATTAGAATATTAAACTTCAATTTAGATGTCAATGACAGTGCTTCAGTGGTCTAATTTACAATCTTGCTGTTGTTGTCATGATTGGAAAAGACAATGTTATATGCAAATCTCAATTGTTCTTTTTCCATGAATCTGAATGAAACCCATTATACCGCAAGTCTAAAGCTTCAATATATATCACGGAAGAAATCCAAAATATCATTATTCATTATGCGGAAATTTCAAATTCTTCTCTGTAATGAAATACTTTATTATTTAGAAGAAGGTGCTTTCCTGACTTTAGAATCAAAGCCTTGCTGTCAGAATTCTTGCCAATATTTCCTACCAGAATTTTGAGGATGGGGAGAGAGCTTCAGTTTTCGGCATGCAATGTTCATTTTATTTGACATGTTGTATTTCCCGCTCTTGCTAACTCTCTCTTTTATTTTTTAGATATACTTTCAGTATGCCTTTACTTTACTCTGTATCCTATATATTCATTTAACCTCTGTATTTTTTTGTAGATTTTTTTTACTAACTTGTGCTATTCCAAATTTTTGCTTTTGGTGGTTGGTAGTGGATAGTTTAGCTGATTTGCAGTGTACACTAATAACATAGATGCATATATAACTAAAACTGTGTTATCTGTGATGTAGAAATTAATTCAAGAATAATAGATTGATATGAAATAAGTAACAATTCTACTTCAGTTCTTTTTCACTTACCCTACCCCTGGACTGTTTAATGCAAATATGAAGCGTTACGCTTGAATTAATAAAGATATTAATATTTTTCTCCGAAATTTGAAAATGGATTTAATGAAGATTGATTATTTATTATGTAGATAATTTTACATTGATTAAAAATACCACACATTATTTGATTAATAAAGGTATATCACTTTATGGAATTAAGTTTAGCATTGATTCATTTCACTGGTGCACAATGCTTTTGAGGCAAGCTTTGTCCACCATCTGAAATAGCCTGTTGATATATGTGTGCATTACAACAGTTGGAAGTGGTACTGAAAGTCAAAGGTAACCAAATTGGATAGGTGGATGGGGAAAGATAAACTAAATTGTACATTAAAATAACAACTCTTACAGCTGAAGAAAAAATTGCTGCATGGAACTCAACAATGATATCTGTTCTCATTTATATAACCATGGTAATAGAAAAACAAAGGAAAAATGGAGACCTTAGCTCTGCGGAGTTTATGTGGTGATAGCCTAGTGGTTGCTGTCATCCATTTTGACATTAACGTTGACATGAGTTTATGGCGAAATTATGACTATTTACTAAAGGGCAAGGCACAGTGAACTTGTTAATGGTTTATACTGGGTTACAACATAAACATGCTTCACTATTACAAGAAACATGTTTATCATACAAAACAAGATTTGAAAATTAGACAGTACTAATACTTTACAGAGTCACCTAATATCAAATCTTTTAGTATTAATCAGTCTTCAAAAGAAAATATTTTAGCATATTCTTACAGAAATATTTCTGAAATCTTCTCCAAGTGTTTCTGTCAGTCTTATTTATGTGTGTTCAATAGACCATATATTTAAAAGTCTATATACATAGATTATATAGCTGGGTTACAGATATACACTGTGCATATTTATTAATACTTATAGACAAACCAGATAATTGGATGAGATATATTTGATACCACGAGGATAACATTCTGAAGTAACTTTGCAGTGGCATGAATGCATGAGAGCAGAAGTATTAACATATCTTGCAAATCAAATTTTAATTTCATCTCACATCTGCTAACTGCTTCATTGTTATTGAGATGCTGTATTGGATTTAAACTTGTTAAAGCCTTATTACGTGAAATGCTTTACAGAAATGTTTACATAAGAGATAATTCATATTTGAGAAAAAAATAAACAATATTGAATAGATTGCTTGTTGAATATTATCAAATGTTTTGTAGACAGAAAACTAATCTGTGTGAAATGCAATTGCGTTATATGCATTTACATATAACTTTTGCGCCTGGAGCTGCATATAAATTGGCATTGAAATAATTTTGTTGCATATCAATTAGAAATGATGTAATGATTCCGATTGAAGTAGTATTGATGACTGTATTTTGTTGCATTAGATGCATTTTGTTTGTTTAATTTGCGTGTTTTGCCTGCTGCATTGCCTGTTTCTTGACTCCTTAGGCTATCCAGGAAGTAGTCCTCCTTCCAAACTCCTGTCTGCGTCAACAGGTGCCCTCTATCACTCGTCTAAGCGTGATTTCTCCTCGAGTGGCAATCTCAGTGTTCGGGGTAGACCAGCAGAGTCTCTCCTGGGTAAGCCTACAATGTCAACTGTGCTGTCTCACAATGTCCTGTGGCGTCCTTGTTCTTCGTAGGAAGTAGTTAAAAACCCAACACCAAGAATCTCATTTTGGAATTGTCTTCTGGAGATATTATCTCTTATGCAAGCCGAGTCTTCATCTTAAACTTACCTCGACGGTGTCTAGTATAAGAGGTTTGGAAGGGGAGATAGGTAGTGAGTTGATGGGAAATGGATTTTGTCTTCATATTAAAATCTTTTAATGGGGTCACTCTTCTTTTGAGATCATTAAGTAGAAAGATTTACCATTGTTTATCAAGAATATTAATAATCAGCTCTGTCTATGATCTTGGGTTGTAGGTTTGACGGCAAAATTCATTATTTTGGAATCACTATTTATCAGTATAGTGTTAGATTCGTGATCTTGTCAACAAAGTTTAGTATGAGGGGGTCTATCTTATGTCATTGCCATTAAAATTTGTCTTAGTGGATGTGAAATTGAGGTTTGGTCTTCTTTTTTTTTTATGTAGAAGGTTTCAGTCTGAAATATTGGATCTAAATTCGAACATCAGAATTGTTTACACGGTACAGAGTTTCTTAGTTTTCTGTTTGCCTTTGTAATAAATCAGTAATTATTTCATAGAATTGTATTCTGTTGGCAAAAGGTAGTTGGATTGGTTTTGCATCTTACAAATTATTACATACCATCTTGAGATTGAATATTGTGATTAAGTTATGTTAATTCCGATGGCAGTCTGTCTATCAAATAGGTAGCCTTCTGGACTTGTGGAGCTTTTGAAAAGAGAAATGTTTTAAATATGAGAAATTATTTCTTGTAGGTAGGGAACAAAATATTGTTACATTTATCTCATCTGGAGACTGACATATTTAGTGACAATTAACCATTATGTCAGTATAATGATATGTAATGGCTCTTCGTTACTATAGCAACATCTTGACAAGAAAAGAGTTATCTGATCACGAAGTTATAGGATACTGTGTAGCTGTTTCTATTTTAAGTGAAAGAAAAAAGAAATTGTGAAGATAACAGTGTTATAAAATTGTGTCAGGCAGCTTGTGTGTAGTGGAAGGGAACATTCTCTGTCACATTTAAGTTTCTGTAGCAGCTGATATTGTTAAATATAAGTGTAACAGTAAAATCAAGCTTTTTAATGGGGTAGGAAATGTGACCTTTCAAACTGTTATTGTATAAGTTGGTCCATAGATAGGATCTGCTAATTGTTTCCCACTTTTTCAAAGGCTTTAAGAAGAGAAAGTTATCCCCTGTAGGAGCACATTGTCCCAGGCAATATGACTCTCTAAACTTTTAACATTAACTTCTGTTTGTGGGATTAACAGCAAAAAAAAACATAATAAAAAAATCTTTCACGAATTTTACTAGAAGATATTTTGCACTTAAGTAAAAGGTGGAATTGAGTTGTTCTATTTCCGGAATTTATTTGGTTGTTGTAGAATATGGATGATTTGTTCGGTCACAACCTCTTTTTGTGTTGATTTAACATCCTATCAAGATTCCCATACTTTTCAGTGGTTCGAGGCTATAGCTGAGCTTTAATCACATTTATTGGAGAGCAATATTTAAAACTATAAATTCCATTAATGTATAGGTGGTAATGTGGCTGGTCTTCTGTAGGAAAAGCTGTCTATCGTTTTCATGTATGTCGGGATGTTGCTGTGAAAACATTTTGATTGGGCACATTTTGAAACGTAGAAGGAACTTTAGGGAAGATCAGGAGAGGAAAGCCGTAGATATAGGTGTCATAATTTACAATGGGGAAGAGATTTTGTCCTGGCAATGTTAAATGTGTTGTGTTTGTCTATTGTATGTCATAAAGAGAAGTTATGATGCACGTCAAGAGAAATTAATTGTATGTTTCTAGTAATTTATTTTATAATTGTGATGATTTATGTAGATATGATTGATTCTTGGAAATGTTGATATGTATTTTGTCATGTGAACGAGTACTAATTTTTCAACCACTGTATTATGTTACTAATGTGCATGATCAGACTTAACGCAAGTTGCATGCCCTAAATATCAAAGTGTCTCGTAGGTAGTGTAAAACATTTTTTACTTGTCTGATACTAAGACGATATATCGTTCCTCTACCCCTTAGATGAAATAAATAGCTAAAAATTAAAAGGAGAAAAAAAAATAAAGGAATTTTGAAATGCCGCAAAGTAAGTCTGATGAGCTGGGGTAGATGAATGGGAGGTTTTTTTTCACAATTTTTGTCGATTTTCCTTTTATTTCTTTTGTTCAGTTTAATAATTATCTAAGAAAAAATTTTTCTGTAGTCTTACTAAGTTTTGTTTCTTATTGATTTTATTATTAGATGTGCTTTCTTGTCGTTCAACTTTATCACATGGTGTTGTTGATATCATCACACTAAATTTCAACATATCACCACAACTCATAAACCACAAACAACCAATACATATTTCACTTAGTTTAAAAGGGAGTTAAAGCCAAGCAATGTCATAACCCTGAGTTCTGCATCAATAATTAATAGCAAGTTAATGTGTCATCACTAGAGTCAACAATGGAAATTCTCACATGGCCAACTGCAAACCTGATTGGCTGCATCAATTTTTCGTTTTTATTACTTTTTTATCAGTCAATCCATGGTAATGAAAAGAAGCCAAAAAATGTTTTGTTGATGATAGATATCTACAGGTCCTTTTATCATTGTACCTCTATCTGGGATAGAAAAACAGATATGATACCATGTTAAAATCATTGAATGAAGATAAAGGTTATTGTTACATTAGGGATTTGAAGTAGTATGACTCGGTACTGAAAGATACAGACACTTAGAAACAGGAAAATATTTTCATAATATCATATTTTTGTGGAATAAATCTCAATAACTAACGCAGAAAAGAATTTCATGCAGGTATTATTTTTTAAAAGGATTTTAAAATTGAATGAGTGAGATGAACTCTTCCTGCTTTTAACTTGTTACATTTCAAGATTCAAAATAATAATTTGAAAAAATTAAGTGTAAAGGGCAGATTTTCATTGCATTGACAAGTAAATCTTCTGTATTGATTTTAGTCTATAGTCAAATGGTTAAGGCAAAGTTTTCCTGCATTCAATAAAATCAATAGCGATGTAATGAAATTTGCATGCATATATAGACTTAACTTTACAACCAGCTGATCTTTTTATGTACATGCATATCTATAGCATTTCTGCTGCATTTGTTTTGCATTTTAAATGTACATCACAAAATATAGAACTACAATTTCATGTCTTTACATATCTGAAATCATATACTTTATTTGATATAATAACCACTCCAACTGCCACTAGGATCAAATATGAATTTACATTTTGTAGAAGAGGTGTTTTAAGTTTTCATTAAAATTGGTGTTACATGTTTCAACTCCAAGAATTTGGTGTGACCAGAAATTCTTATAACTTACATTGTAAAATTTTTTGAAAGTCATATTAATATTCTGTATCTTTACATCAGAATATACAATTTGAGTAGTACGGTTATGTATAAGATGCCAGTGTATGGCAATGAAGAACCATCTTTACATCAGGTGGCATTAGGTGGAGTGCTTTTATGTTAAATACAGTAGAATGTGACTGTTTGCTGTTTCTATTATGGAACCTCTTTATGAGGCCATCCGGTGCAGGTAAAACATGATCAATATCAGGAAAGGATCTGCAGTATAGAAATAAATCAATGAATGGATACACACATCCTGTAAACAGTCTGCATCAGATCTCGTGTTTTTTTTTTTTTACTTTGCATATGATCATATTTGTATAAACAAATTATTGTTTGCAGAAAATGCTACAGTAATATTGATATTTGACTTCATTTAGGTTGAATAAAATTGGTTTCTGTATATGTAAATGTTTGAATGAATTTTTAAAATTCATATGTGTATAAGTTTTATGATGAAACAGCAAACAGTTTAATCAACAGGAAGTTTTGTGTGCTACAAGATTCCATGTGATGCAGATTTTTTTCTTACAAGAAAAATAGAAAAATAAAAATAAGATAGAAATAACTGATACTAGGAATCTAGTTATCAATTTCCTGGCAGAATGGACAGGTACAACTACTCATATCTTATCTAATCTAAAGTATATGCTGGTAAAGGTGTGTAGAGTAAAATTGGGTGTCGGTAAATTATGAGCTAAAAGTTTAAAAGACATGAAAATCTTGTGGCAATACATATCAAGACTTTCTATGTGAATCTGCCTTAGCTAGATGTATAACTAATTTACCCTATTCTAATATATTACCCATATGAGGAGGTGACCCTTGCCAGGGTCAGCAGTTTAACACCCAGAGGTGAAGGACACTGCTTACAGCCAAACAATATTAACACACCCAATATTATATTCACTATTAACATTTTTTGCTCATGTTGTTTGTGAACCTTGGATTGATGTCGTGTTTTCTTTTCTTTTTTTTCCTTTTTTCTCTCCTCCCATCCCATTCATTTACCGATCCATTCATCCATATCGACCTATCCATGCCAAATTTATCCATCCGGTAACTCCTCAACTATCTGGATGGCACCACATTTGGTTTGGTTTTTTGGCGGCACTTTGATTCACCAACACAAAATGACCTGACAACTGACCATGTACACATGGCAGTGTTAAACTCAATCCCAGAGGCAGGTCCCACGAAGAGAAGTCGCTCTTTTCTAGCACCAAGTGGCACGCCCCCTACCCGTCCTAAGAGCACAATGAACCTAAGCACGAAGGAGAATGTTCGGCTGAGGGACCCCAAGACTACACCAAGGAAGCCCCGCCCAGCCAGTATAGCAGGTTCCGTACCAAGCTTTATCTCTGTGGAAAGTCCCAAGGGAACCTCACGAAGCAAGAGCACAGACAGACTAGCCAGAGGTCAGTGCATTTAGACTAGGGATAACATATCTTGTAAATGTAACACTTAAGTAAAGAAGAGGTCATATGTCAGTCGTTGTTGTTCATAACTTCAACAGACTTTGAGATAAACAAGGTATTTAAGGTGAACTTCTAAAAAACAGCCATCATATTTTGACTGTTTATCTCACTAGAGGTAAGAATGCTGATGTTTGCAGTAGCTCTTGAGCTAAGAGACAGATCTTGAAAGGATGTTTTGTTGCTAGGGTACTAGGTTTAATAAAAAAAAAAAAAAAAAATTTCACTGTTCAATGATGAGTCCAAAAAACGCTTGAAAAAAAACCCAACTTAATCACCTCATTTCTCTGATAAAGACTGAACCAACCATTTTGATATGTTCAGAGTTTGATGAAGGAATGAAAATCAGACTGATGAGGCTGGCATGGTAGCATTGAATATTTATCTCCTTCATTAAATCTGATTACAAGGAAGACCAGTAGATGGTGCAAAGTCCATCCTGGTATCTGATTTTCTGTTCAGAGCAAGTTCTTTGCCATAGAGGACTTAATTAATATTGATAAAGCTTTAGTACTTTGCTTGATTTCAATCTGGCGTCTTTTTAAAGACGTTGAATGGAACATCCCAGTAAAAATTATCGCCTTTAGAACTAATTTATTTTCCAGACAGGGTCTCATTATTATTTTAAAACAATACTATGCAGGACCAATGTTTTTTGTCTATTCTACTTTCACATTCAATTTCTCCTCAGATCGGCAGAAGACACCTTTGAGATCAACTCCTAAAAGAGAGAAAGACGAACAGAACCTACAAGAGAAGAAGGTGATTGTAATATTTGTATTCCTGTTATATGTTACCCTATAATGCAATTAATAACCGCATACTTATTTTATAATTTCATTTTGATATCAAACATTTACAAATGGATGAAGGTTAAAGAGACCTAAAGATTTGAATTTGATAAAAAGCCCAGTGTCCATTCAATACACAAGCTGAAGACCAGACCCCATTGCAGGTTAATTATGGTAATCAGCCCAGCAGTGTTGGCTCTAAACTTGACAGGTGTGTGTATAAGGTGTGCCCAAGTTTGTGTACAAAGTTAGGAATTCACAGTTTGGATACGTTCATGTCTTATTCTGATATGAATTACCTGTAATATGATACTACAATTAGCTCTGTTGGTATTTCATTTCTCTCACAAAGGGAGACGATTTGTAATTGTATAAAAAGTAGGTGATGGTGAAGATAAAGGTCAAGTATTTAAATTTGATGACCAATTTACATATTTCATGATATAGCCAATATTTTCTAGGGAAGTTGGTACATTACATAAAAGTGTTTTGTTGTTGCCTCGTTCTACCCTCTACCCTTACCATTTCTTGACATATTGTGATTTTTGGTCAGGTTTAAGTCACTAACGTAGATTATTATCCAGGTCAGGAATACTGACCAGAAGTCTATTTCCTGAGAAAGGAAAGTCCATGCCGACCAGATCTCCATTTCCTGTTAAAGAAAGGTTAATGTAGGCTGAAAACTCACTGTCTTTTATATGCAAGATTGTTTCTGTAATATCAGATACCTCAACTACATGTAATTGTTTACTGGAGATAGATAACGCCCCAAAACTTTCAATCCATCTCTCATTTGCAACATGCATATATCTACTTGCAAAAGTTTGTTAATTCTAAGAATATACTATTTAAATTATTCTTCACTAGCCATTTTATGTATACGTATGTTTTTTGCATCTAATAATTAAAAGATGTTGATATTCACCACGATGTTATGAATTGTTTCAAAGCTCTATTTCCTGTTCCCTTATTTGTTGATGTTAATATTGAGTTTCTGATGAAGCTGTTCGAAGTTTACCAAAATAAATGAAATCCTGAAATAAGCATTACATGTACAGAGTAATTTGCACATATGAGTTGTGAGGTGAAATGAGGGTAAGGTTTCATACCATTGGCAACTTTTTAGTTGTTAAGAAATACCTGTATGTAAACACTTCAATTTTGTTTGTGAAACCTGCTCCAGTTACAAGGGGAATCTACAAGCTTTCTTGGTTGTTCTGATATTCCAAGAACAATTTTTTTTTTCTAATACATCATGAACAAATGTTTTGTAGGATAAAAAAGGAAGCAGTGTTGATATTCGAAAACTCACAGAGAGAAGAAAAGCTGAACTTCAGAAACTGGCAGAGAAAAAGAAAGACGCCAAGGAGGATAGTGGAAGTGACCACGAGAAGACACCAGAACGATCTACATCCCGTGTTAGTCAACAGAGTATTGACCGCCTGTCAACACCCAGGATTGCCAAGTACAAGAATGAGACACCAACTAAAACAGATACTGTGAAGGACCGAGTGACTCCCTCAAGAGAACGGGCTGCCACACCCACTCAGACAAAGGTAAATATTACTGGAGACTCGGACACCTAATCTGTGGATCACTTCAGGAATGCTTGACCTGTCATTTCTATTGGGTCATTATACCTGTTTAAGATGACCATTTTGTATGAAATTTCTGCTGTTGATGTTTATTCATGAGCTTATGTTGCGTGTTAGAGAAATATTTGCTGTGCTGCATATCTTACTACTTGTCAGTAACATACATGTTTCTAAGTAAGATGTATTGATTTCTGTTGCTAGTGAAGGAAAAAATATAGATTGTAGCTGGAAATATAGACCAAACTAAAATCAATTATGACCTCTGTTTTACTTAATATATTTCATGAAATTATTTGAATGAAGATTTTTCGACCTATAGCAATATATGTAAAGTAAAACTTAAGACACTGTAACAAGTCTTGTAAACTGAGACTGTGTGTGCTGCCCTTTTGCAGGGAACAAAGAAATCTGTTACAATTGTAGCTCCCCAATCTTCTCCTAAGAAGGTTAGTCCAGTGCATGCATTTATCACCAAAACAAACCCTAATTTATCAGGAGGTTTATAAACTGAATCTTTTGTCCAATATAAACCAGTTTTTTAGTGTTATCTATTTTGATATTTGAACATGTTTCTAAAAATACATTTTTTGGTGTAATGTTGGACAAAAAGTTCAATTTGTAAATCCTTCCTGTTGTGGAAAGTATAATTAAGGTTGTACAGTTTTATAATTTTATTTATACACCTGTGGTATCATTGTATGCTGTTTAACTGACATACTAACATTTTTTAAAATTTTTTGTTTTTGATAAATCATTTGATTTTCAGCATGTTATTCTTGATTTGAACATTGTGGCCATCATAGATTTCTTCGCTCAACTTTTGGTAGAAAGAAATTAAGAAAAGGCATCTAAGCTCTCCTACTGTTTGCATATTCCAAACCTGATTGGGTAGAAATAGGACAGTGATTGTTCATAGATAGAATATGTTGTTATTTTCTGCATGTCGATAAAAAACATGTACTTTAAAGACAATGAAGAGTGAATGAAATAAGATTTACTTTAATTTGTGACCACCATAAAATACCTCTGCGTATGTAATATTACCACATTTAAGGTTTCGTTGGTGAGAAATTTCAGACCTCTGTGGTCCACTGGAAATAGAAGAAAACTGTTTTACTAAGTTACTTCTCAGTCATCTACCAAATATTGGTGTGAATTAAGGTTGTCCTTAAGGAGTTTGCAGATGCTTGTTTAGTGTGGGATGAAATATGCTATGTGGTTTGCAGAAATTTGTCTGGATAGTCACTGTTATGTGTTGTTTTTAAGCTGTACACTTGTAGTCAGCGACTCCTGCGAATGCTGTTTGTCATTCTAGATTCCTTACACTTGTGTAGTTATCAGAAATGTTCTGCATGAAAAAAGGTTGATTTTCATGTAAGCTATCAGTTGATTTTTGTATTTCACAAACTATTTTAACTTGTATTTTTGGGTAAAGATCACTCTAAAATTGATTTTTTTTATGAAATAGCTAATAACATTGATGTTTTCAAATGATTTATGATACATATGCTGTGTATTTTAAATGTTACTAACAGGTGACGGGTTGACTACATAATTAAGAAAACAATATTACCTGTTATCATATAGTGGACAATTCATTCCATACATTCCTGCATTTATTAAATCAAAATTTTATATAAAACTACACGTTTAACAAAGGCAGTATTAACATTGCAAGCTTAAGAGAATTTGTTGCTGATATAAACATTAGTATCTATTTGGAAAAAAGGAAATTGAATTATTATTTTCAATTAGCTTAATCTCATATTATAATTGGGGAATTTTGAATATGAACGATGTCAAAGTTATATTTCATAGTACTACCAGGCACAATACAAAACCTGCATTGTCTGCCTGACATATGTTTATGTGTATATAGGTAGTAAAACATATATGTGAGTAATTATCCATGCTTTTGTATATTTATAGAGCAAGTGTATCAAACTTTTTATCGGAAGATTTATTACTGTAATGTTTCACTGATGTGACACCATAGATAAAACTCTAATGGCTAGCTTGACCTTTGAACTTGTAGTAAAAACATCGACAAGGCGAGATGATGCATTGTTGGTACAGAAGGATGCACATTTATTTGCTTTTTAGTATTGTTAGCTTTGACTAGTCAATTAACAGACTCAATTGTTAGGTTAATGTAGATATGTACCTAGCTGATGGAATAGTGACGAGGTATGCTACAGAGAGATATTTAGAACAATTTTTGTGTAGGTGAGGGGAAAAAAATGAGTTAATGATGTTTTGAACTCCAATACAACTTATGAATCTAACTAGACTCATACAAAATGTTCTGGTTGTTTCGCATCCACCTTACTATTTCTGTGTAAAGGTATATCACCTTAGCAATGGTCACTGGTCAGAGCTGACCTTAGGTGAGTGCCACGACAAAGGCATAACATGAGTGGTCAGTGGAAGTGTAGTATATCTAACCTGAAGTGAGCATTTGTAGCCAAAAGTGATATTGACTAGTACTTGTCTCGTTAAGTCAGACTTCAGTGGAGAGTGAAAGTCTAGTTCAGCCAAGTATAAGGAGAAAGTGAAAGCCTAGCTAAGCCTGATTTAAGTGGAGAGTGATAGTCTTGTAAAGATATAGACCAATTAGAAGTCAGTAAAAAGCTTACTCAGCATTGCAATGTTTTTGGTTGTCATCAGTTTTACTGGTAAAAAGAGATAAATTCGGTGTCACATAATTATGATAGCTCCAGTGTGGAAATCAATCTGTGCTTAATTACACATCTGCAGATTGATAACTCCTTGTTTCCAGCCATAGCAGATTTCAAATCGTTCCTTATCTCATATTATGGAAGCAATGTATTGATTACCACAGAATATTCCACAAAGTTTTATTAGGTTATGTGTGCTTTAATGCGGCACTGAGATTTTAGAGGTAATAAATTGACTGAAAGGCTGTTATAATATCATTTTGTAGTTATTCAATTATTTGTCTAATACCCAGTTTCAAAACTTTATACTATGGACATGGTGTGTTACAAACAGATGGATTGTAAAGTTTGTTCTGCATTACAGGTTTATGATTAATAAATTGATGTTATGTTGCAGACAAAAACACCCAAACAAAAGGATAAAGAAAACAAAGAACCTTTGAAAAGGAAACTAAGCAGTAAGGAGAGCAGCACTGAGGCCCTAGACAGCCCCAGAGCCTCTCCAAAGCCCACTAAAGATGTCAAGGCAGACACCCGTGCCCAGTCTGAAACTGAGGCTCCGGAAGAATTGGCCAAAGTTACATCACCTCGGTCTGTTTCCCCAGCCTCATCCAAGTCTGAGGATGAGGAGAAATCTGTCCCAGTTCCAAAGAAGACTCCTGAAAAGGTTGTAAAGATTGTAGAGCCAAACGAAGAGACAACCCCATCAACTCCAGCACAGAGTAAACCAAGTGCACCTTCCACCCCAGCTACACCTGCATCTGCCCCCAAATCAAAGAAGGAGATAGAAATGGATGAATATAAAGCCAAATTGGCTGAAAAGCGCAGACAGGCAAGAGAGAAAGCCGAGAAAGAGGCAGAGTTGGAGAGACAAAGGCTGGAAGCTATCAGGTAAATGAACATACTACTTGCACCATTAGTGGGTAACAGAGATTGAATTATGGCCGAAAGCATGGTAGGAAACAAAATTGACTCTGACACCTTTCTGCACTTAATCGATTAAGAAGTGGAACATTGATTTTGTTAAGGTCAATTTAGGCAGTGAGTATTACATTACAGAAGAGCAATAGTCTACCTGATTAATAAAATTAACATGTCTATCCTTTAATGCACCCAGGGGACAACACATGAACTTTGATTAAAAATAGGTGAGGGGAATATAGCAGAACAATAGAATAGCAATAATCATAGGTTGACTTATTACCAGGCATGGGCATATGGTTGGATATATTGATAATGAGTTTTTAGTACTCAAAGATGAATTAGAAAATGGAGTATTGATATGTTTCCTTTTCATTATCACTTCTTGAGATGGAAATCAACTTGACACTGTTTTTAAAAAATGTACACAATGTTCAGGAATGCCAGAGTTTATTTGGCTGTATGGTTTGATACTTTACATTATCTATCTGACGACAGACTAGCAGAAGAGGAACGCCAGCGTCAGGAGGAGGAAGAACAGCGTCGGATGGAGGAGGAAGCAAGCAGATTGGCTCAAGAGGCTAGGAAAAATGAGGAAGAGAGGCTGAGGAAGGCCATTGAGGCAGAGGAACTCCGAAAGAAAGAGGAGGCAGAACGCCTTGAGCAGGAAAGGAAACAGGTGTGAATGGAATGATATGATCTATTTTCCACTCATTTATATAAATACATTGATTCTGGCTGTCAACATCTTGAGAGATTTCATACAAAATCATATAATAATATATTCAACAGTACCTTAGCTATGAAAGAGATCAATCTATGGATTAAAAGACTGGTAAAAACATATGGATGATTGTCAAATTGTTATTGTATGTAGGAATACATTTATAGAGTTTCCTTTGCTCTTGCATAACATGATTTATAAGCCTTCCTTTGATTTTTACACTATTGGCCAAGTGACAAAACAGGCTAAAGTTAAACTGCTGCAAATTGTCTTTATACAGTAATTTGTATGAAAAATATGTCACAAAGTGTATTATGGTAATTTTGAAAAATATTTTGAAATGATTACATTTTTAGAAAGAGGAGGCTGACAGAAAAGCTAAAGAGGAGGCAGAAAGGATGGAAAGAGAAAAACAGGAAAAAGCCAAAAAGGATGAAGAGGAGAGACTAGAAAGGAAAAAGGTACTTCAAATACACATTACAACACATACAAGAAAGAAATCCAGATTAAGTTAAAATGATATGATGGCATTCATAATAGGTTTGAATACTACCTGGTAGTAATATCTACTAACATCACATCAGTAAATTTCTTCTGCATCGTGCTAACTTTGTTAGACTTATTCATGTGTTTTTATACACTTTAGCGACTCGAGATGATCATGAAGAGAGTTAAGTCTGACTCCCCTATGACCGGATCCATGACTTCCTCAATGATTGGTACCAGCAGTTCAATGTCCGGATCACAGATTGGCTCTATGACTGGATCGATGTCTAGTTCCATGATCCTGATTGGCTCTGATAAGGTAGATTCATCTTAGAAACTTCAAATTTCACAAAATTAAAATGATTCATAATTAAATCTCTTTTATTCTCTTGTATTGATAAATTTTTCATCAGTTTAAAATAAAGCTTTTTTATTTTTCATATCTTATATTTATCACCTAAATTTGTGAAAATTTTAAATATCAAAGATATATAGATACATAGATCAAATTTTCATTCTCGGTAGAAAATTTTACAATAATTATTTTCTCATAACAGAAAATGTTTTGTCTTTTTATGTTAAGGAGTAAGTTAATGTTTTTTTTTGTGTTTTGATAGTAAATAACATGTGAAAAGCTCAATTTTCCATCTTATTTGTCACCATTCAGGGAGACTCTCCTTACCAGTCTCTGTCAAACTCCCCAAGCAAGAACAGTCTACAATCTAACGAGGGTGGAGAAGACAGTGCTGATGAGGCCAATGGGCTAGATGATAAGTCTGATGATAAGCCCAAGACAATGCTGCAATCTGCCACAGACACGCCAAAATTCAAATCACCTCTATTACAGAAACTAGTGGAAAGCAAATCTCAAAACGGGGGCAGCGAGACTCCCAAATTTAAGTCGCCCTTGCTGCAGAATCTGATGGGTAAAAAGAGGTTGGGCATGGATAAAACTGAAGACAAGACTAACGAGGTAACAACCAACGGGAACAAACAGGAGGAGCCAGTGGAACAAAGAGAGGAGAGTGGTAGTGAGCGAGTGACCGAAGGAGAAAAGGGACAGGTAGACTTTATGGTGATAGCAGACAATGGGAGTGAAAGAAGTGAGTCAAGAAATTCCAAGTCAGATGGAAGTGTAGATAGTGACACAAGTACTGCCAAGGATGTATCATTAGCAGAACATAAGTTAGGTTCAAACACTGTGATAATTAAAACTGAAGTGTCTTCGTCGTCACTGAATGGTGTATCTCAGAACGGAGAGATGGAGCAGTACCCACAGGAACTAGTAGACTCTAGGTAAGTCCTCTCACTGGTGTGTTGTGTTTGTGTTCACATAGTACTTTCGTCAGGAGTGGTACACACATCAGCTGCTAGTGCCACACAGTGCCAGCCGTTAGGGCCCCGCACTTCTAGTGTAGTATCCACGCCAGTATTCTTGCTGAAAACACAGCTCATGTGCACATTTGACATTCTCTTTCATCCCCTTCAGGAACCTGTAAATAATGGAAAACTGTAATGTACTGATTAATTTTCATTTTTTTAATGGAATTTCTTTCTGCAGAACTCTTCTACACTTTTAAGCTTACCTGACCTAAATAAAACAAGCTGGATAAACATTACACATGTGGATAAATGTTGTGATTAGTTTCAGTGGAGCTCTATGCTTTATAAGGTCCTGAAGTTGGAATAAAAACTGATTTGTACTGCTTTCTTATTGGCAGTTGCTGATTGTGACACATTTACTCAATTTGGGATTAAGAACCACCAACATTAAATTTCTGCAAATGTAGAATGTTGGGTTACATATTCCCAGAAGAACATATGTTTTCAAGGATGTACGTATATTTGAAGAATAAGAGGAGTGTAGATGTGTAGCACAAATTGTAAGAAATATGGTGATGACAGAATATGGTGCTTGAAATTTTGTTACGTTGACGATGTTGAACTGTGATATTGAAAATCTGTGTATGAGGACACAAATATGGACAAAACTATATGGAATAATTGTAAATTGATTTGGAGCCAGATCTGGAGTGATTCTGTGGATATTTTACTCTGTGGCTTTATGCATGCATATTCTTATTGAGGTCTTTAAACTTATATATATATATATATATATATTTCATATTAAGTCTCTATCATGCATGGTCAAAGTGCTTACATGGTAAGGGAGGTAACTCAGTGTCAATAAATTCATTGAGTTAATAATAGAATCATGTGTTCTGGTTCTTTTTTCTACATCTCTGTTCTTTCCTCATTTTCTCCTGTCACATACTTGGATGGAATCATGTAGCCACTTATCACGTTTCTGGTATCATAGCATGAAATGGTTTGCCAAACTTAGGATATTGACAAAAAAAAAAAAAAAACAAATCACTCAGTTGACACAGTAGTACATAACAAAAAATGTTGAAATTATATTGTTAACTTGTAGGTAGCTGTACAACTCTATAGGAGACTGGTGGCACTTTCGTTTATAGGACTGTTTGTTTAATTTAGATTTACAGGCCATAAATAATGACAAATCATCATATGAAGCATTTCTGCATATTTAAATATCACTATAACAAAATACATGATGTACAACGTAAATTGAAGTGAAAGTAGTGGTTTTGAAATATGAAAAAACTCTCCATTTCATATTAAATTGTTGAAAATTTTTGTTAAATTTGACATATACTTATTTCATTTATGAGAAAAGCATTCTTTGCCATTGTCAGAGGATCAAATGAAGCATACTTGTGACTCAGGTGTATATATAAAGTTGTCGTACACTTTTAACATTTGTCTGGTAATGGAAAATGTTGGTTTTGTGAAAGTTAAAAATGAAGTCGGAGCTAGCTTAACTAATATTTGTAGAAGTGATTAGAGAAAGTTCCTATAGGCTTTCAGGATAGAATTATTAATATTGTGAAGATTGTAGAGCTAATCTGTAGGTCACAGCTTGGAAAAGGATTAGATATGTGCAGACAAGCTTAAATATATTTTTGTAGTCATTGAATTTTTGTGTGTTCTTTTTCTTTTTTTTTTTTCGGTTTTTTTTTTTTTTTTTTTGCATTTTTGTCGGAATCCTAGAAAAAGTTTTTTTAAATACATGCATTAAAATGTTAATGTATGGTGATGTCAAAAGGAAGTTTAGTGCATTTGGCACTCCAGATCTAGCATATGAGTTATCTTTTTCATTGATGTGTTTGACCTATGTTAGACCTATACATAAACACATATATACAAGGGTTTATATAACACAGTGTTTATCAGTGGAATGCTTGAGTGTTGTTTAGATGAGTGCCTTCTTCAGACAAATAACAAGAAAATGTATCAACATACATGCACCACAGTTCAGACAAATAACAAGAAAGTGTATCACCATACATGCACCACAGTTCAGACAAATAACAAGAAAGTGTATCACCATACATGCCAGGGCTCTCACACCCCATTTTGGGACTGGGGCCCGGGGCCCTTAGAATTGGAAAAATAATGGTGTTTTCCTTAGAATTGGGAAAACTTGGGGTCTAAATTAGGAATAAAAGATACTATTTTGCATTGGAATTCGGCCCCAAATCTGGCAGATCGAGAGCCCTGCACGCACCACTGTTCAGACAAAGAACAAGAAAGTGTATCACCATACATGCACCACAGTTCAGACAAGTCTAAGTATACATAGCTAGGTATGTGTAGAGTATATGTAGAGTGTGGTCCCAAGACATGACTTCCATTCCATAAGTGTAACATTATATCCATTGAAAATTAGTCCACTGATTCTCGTCAGGTTTGTCATGTGAATCATCTGTGACCAATATGATAATGAGAGGTGAACATAGCACTCTGGTCTAATTGTGTACCCTGGTATGATGTATTACCTATCAAATCTTAACTGACAAACCCTATTTATACATACTGGTGTATTCAACAACAATGACAACAAAAGGACATAGCATTTTACTTACAGTACTGCAGCAGTGTTTGCTATAGTAAAGCTAGTAATATGAAAGGTGAACAAGCAGTGTTTTATAGTATCACATACACATGAAAAGGAAGAAGAAAAAGTGGAAATTTTATGCTTTCTGTGATGATCAAACTGTTTATGATTCCAGATTTTCTTGTTTCATCTGAAGGATATTTTACTTGTTCTTGGATGCCACTAGCCTGAATTTTCCCTTGTATTATCAGTTCACCTCGCTTCATATGTATACAACCTTTACCCTGGTATCTGTCTTCTGTTCACAGTGCGTCAGACTTTTAAACCTGACTTGTCTTAGCCTATGGCAAAGTCAGCTGTAGGTTACATCAACTTATGCATACGAGGATGCACTGGAAAATATGTTGTACAGCTTAATAAAATCTTGAAATCTTAGTTATTCATCACCTTAAATCAACAGAATAGTGATCTAATGGCAATTCAATGTTGAATATGTACTGTTAAGGTCAATTCAATTAGTGCAAATGTGAGCTAAAGTTGCTCATTCTGAAAAGTGAAATGTTTTTACATAGCATCAAAAACTTCTTTTTGGAATAGAATTCTTTTGAAAGCTTTTAAATTGAAATGATGATGAGGCTGGTCTATTGGAAAATGCAGATGTTTTCACAAGATAAAATCATTAATTTAAAAAAAAAAATGCTTCAAATTGCATTAACACCACAGAATCATGATTGGCCAAGTATATACTTCATATACTATGTATCATTCAAGGCATTGACATGTGGTAACTATGGGAGTGACCATGACCTGCTAGTACACATGTAAGTGACAAGTCAACAGCTACATGTAGGCATGTCTAGCTCCACTGTCAATCATTATAATCAATTTACGCAGGTCACTTGGTGCAGCAGAGGTCATCCCAGTATATGTACAGGTACTGTTGATGCATTTTCAGCTCAAACCTGGCCCAGTCTATGTTGTGCTACTGCAGCATACAGCATTTTTGTTCATGATTCTTGGGTTTATATAGAGTTGGACATGAAAGTGGATATCAAAGTGATCAGAGATATGTTACCTGATGTAATATTATATATTACTATTGAAACATAAAAACCTGAAAAATACAGTTTGATGTTTACAATACATGTACAAAAATCTTTTCATGAAAATACATTGTAAACTGTATCTGACCAAAGACAAAATGCAAAAGCTTTTATGTAAACGTTAAAGTCAAATTGCAAATGCTTTTGTAAAATGTAAAAATATAACATTTTAATGCCCCTGACATTTGATATGAAGTGTTACTCATGAAATTCGTGTTGTGTCCTTTCCTGTTCTGAATCAGTGTCTCCAGTTTAACAACTTCATTCTTTAAGGGATTTTACTCTATTTTGATACAAAGGTCAATAATTATAATACGTTGGATAAGTGGATGTTTCAGGGTTCCTATAGGTCAAGGTTTTTGTTACTTTTTATATCAATGGGTGACATTAATCTAATTCATTCCTCATAGGATTTCGATCAAATTATACATGGGTCAATGATGCCATATTCTCGGATGAAGTCCTTTAAGGTTCCAAGGTCAAGGTCATCATTACACAAATGTCAAACATTGTCATGAGAATATTTCAAATAGATTCATGTTTTAAGATCACTTTTACTCTCTCTGAAAATTTGTCAAACAATTATACTTAAAAGCATAAACATAGAGATGGTGGGATTCTTTTATTACAGACATGTTCTAGTTTGCTGTTTTAGATGAGCTGTTAAGATATTGATAAATCACAATAGGTCAATGTTATGAGTTTCTGGATAAATATTTTATTTTTTTTTTTTTTTTTACTTTTCCATCTCTCAGAGAAGACATGTTATAGATAGCAAATAGATAACCTCGTACAAAACTGTTTTATTTCCTGGTGATAATGGAGCAGCTGATGTCCACACCTTGATAGTCAATATCTGGGACTATTATAGATACAATGGCCACTTATCAGACATGCTGTTTACTCTTTGATAAACATTGCACAGATAAATGTACATATATATCTCAGTAGGTGACAAGGTATCTTTATCATTTACACTGGGTGTGTACAGCTTAGTCATTCTCACATGCATAAAAATTACACACAAAATTATGTGGAAGTTTAAAAGAAGTGTTAGAATTATAGAAATAAGGCACTTAAAAAATGTATACTAATAGATTCATTTTCAAAAAGTAAATGTCCCGTTGACATTATCATATTTGACACGGGAGGTAGATAAAGGTGAACTACCGTAGCAAGGGGAGTCAAATAGTTTTACATATACATAATTGTTGGATGAGACAGTAACTGTTTCTGGATTATTAAATAATTATATTTTTAAGGCCAATCTCTAGCTGGGTCAATAACTTAACTTTTGCTGGGATAAAAATCTTAAAATCAGTAATTTCTGATGAAATTTTGCAAATGCAGATTTTTTTTTTTTTTATTTTGAACTGTACAGTTGTTACAGAAAATTGCTAATGTATTTGGTAAAAGGTTTCCGGATTGTGAATGCTTTGTTTTAAACAGGTGACACTGCACAGACAATCCATATATCAAAATAAGGTATATGGTATAGTTTATAGAAGATGTAGTGTAGATATGGGCACAACAATAGAGAGGTAATTTCATTGTCGTTTGAGTCCTCTTTATCTCTACTGTATTTAGTCCTACTTATCCTGATAAGGTGTATGTATATGGCATTATTTCACCGACAAACCCACGGCTATAAAGGTTTAATTGTATGTAAATGAGCACTTCAGGTATATATATATATATATGTGGACATTCCAACAGGTAGATGGATAAACAGGTCACGTGTCCCGCAGGCATCTCAAAAGCTTTTAAAGATTTATGTTACAATGTCGAATGAAAGGTCAACTTCTAGTGTGTACTCCTGTCATGAACACTGGTTTCCACGTAAACCTATTCATGATGCAACTAAAACATGTCACACCAGAATTTGAATAAACTAGCAAAGGCTTTGGGTAAGGATTGGTTTTGAGATGGCCCCTGAGTTGTACACAGGTAACATACTAGAGGAAGTGCTGTTTAGACACAGGGGTCACACCTTTCAATATGGAGTTGTGTTCAGGTAATGTTGTGTTTCTTTTCTGCATGTGCTGAACGTTTGCATCTAGTATTGATTTTTAGTTGTCGGGTCAGTTTTTACTCTGTTCTAGAGGTAGAATAGAACTTGTGGGATGGTACATACAAGTAAAACGTCGACAGGGATTGATATTTGAATGTGCGAGGTCCATGCCAGGATGTAGAGTCAATTCAATAGTTTAAAGGCCATAGCTTCTAGACCGCCGTGAATCTTGTCATATAAACATAACAGGGAAGCCATTTTGTTGGCCGCATTTTAACACATGTGTAATACAAAGTGCTGTTGCGAATGTTAGCTATGCTCTTATTAGGCATCCATTAATTCAGTTTGCTGTTGCATATTTCTTTTGACACATATCTTATTAGCATTAGCATTCAGATTGGTTGTTTGTAGATTTACCTGAAAACTCTTGCTGTAAGTGACTCATACCAGATTTGATTTATCATGATGTCAGAGAAAATGTGTGTTGGAAATGCAAGATTTATATGAGTTTTAAATGAAACGAGACTCTTTTCAGAGCAGACTAATTATCTGGAATGTGTATTCTTGTGTGCATTACAAAGCTGCTTGATTGCATTTGTCATCTTGTAATTTCAATACTTTATAATAGTTAGTACTCTGACACTGAAGCCTTAAAACATATATTACTTAAATGTCAACTGTAGAAATACATTATGTTAGATGAGTATGAAATAATGACTTGTTTTTATGTTATCTGACCATAAGTCGTGGTCATTTACGATCATTCTTCATCTGTCGGTGTGTATTAATTTTGTCCTGTGAACACAATCACTCCAGTAAACATGCATGGATTTTGATGAAACTTGATACACAGCCTTGTGCCATTAAGATCTCAGATTAGTTTGACAATGCCACTGATGGGATATAACTAACAGTGTTACAGTTTTCTGCAGTTTAAATTCGGTTGATATTAGTTAGAGGACTGTTACGGCCTACGGGCCTTGTGTTAGTGTCCTGATTCTACAGTATTAATTTAGATAGGTTACATTGCATGTGTGTATGATGTTACTAGATAAATCACATTATTTGCTGATTTTGTGGGTGCAATTTTTCAAATTGAAAATATGATGGATAAACAGATTGATTTCACTTACAAGTAACAGTGCTAGTGTATACATGTATCTGATGACTACCAGTTTTATCCTGCCAGAACAGTTACCTCTAACTGGAGGTACTTGATCAATCTAGTATTAAGCTTCATTTGGCTTTTTTATGCAAGTGTTTATTTACCTATCTTCACAAACTCATCTTCATAACTTACAAACTCTCCTTCATAACTTCAGTTCAGGTGCCAAGAATTTCTTAGTATTCCCAAAATTTATTCAATAGAAAATAATGTGACAATGAATTTTTTATTTTTACTAATTAAAATCTAGTTGAAAATTGCATGACCCTTTATTACTGGTTACAAGTTTAAAATGATACAATTATGTTAAATTCATGTTAACATTGAGAAATTCTATTAAAACATAACATGATTATGACCTCACAATAATTTCCTCATTGTTTTTGTTTTCAGTATTAGCATGAGAACTGCCGACTCCTCCCTGGGAACATCCTCAGACCAGTCACTAGGAGGGAGCCTTGTGGATTCTCAAACTATATCCACATCTGTGGAACAGGTTTCCACGGCCACAGATAGTGGATCCACAGAGCCCAACAGTGAATTTGAAGATTTTATAGATCTAAGTGTAACCAATAAAAACTTTGAGGTGAAGGCACAGCAGTCGCTGTTTGCTCACCAGACAACGGATGACTTGCTGAACCTCAACACCAACAGTATTGACAATAGCCTGGACAATATCAGCTCTGAATCCCATCCTAAGCCTCTAATTGCCTTTGAAGACAATGCAGCCCGGAGACAAGAAGTCACAGGTAAATGATAGCTTGGGTTAATGGTGAGATGTCAGAGGTTAAAAAATCAGCATTGGATGGTGAGATCACATAGGTTAGACTGTTATGGGTCTATAGTAAGATGATGAAGCTTCAATTGTTATGAGTCTTTGGTGAGATGATGAAGCTTAGAATGTTATGGGTCTGTGGTAAGATGGTGTAGGTTAGACTGTAATGGGTCTGTGGTAAGATGGTGTAGGTTAGACAGTAATGGGTCTGTGGTAAGATGGTGTAGGTTAGACAGTAATGGGTCTGTGGTAAGATGGTGTAGGTAAGACTGGGTCTTTGGCAAGGTGATGTAGGTTAGACTGTAATGGGCCTTTGGTAAGATGATGAAGGTTAGACTGTAATGGGTCTGTGGTAAGATAGTGTAGGTAAGACTGGGTCTTTGGCAAGGTGATGTAGGTTAGACTGTAATGGGTCTGTGGTAATATGGTGTAGGTTAGAATGTAATGGGTCTGTGGTAGTATGGTGTAGGTTAGAATGTAATGGGTCTGTGGTAAGATAGTGTAGGTAAGACTGGGTCTTTGGCAAGGTGATGTAGGTTAGAATGTAATGGGTCTGTGGTAAGATGATGTAGGTTAGACTGTAATAGGTCTATGACAAGGTGATGTAGGTTAGACTGTAATGGGCCTGTGGTAAGATGGTGTAGGTTAGACTGTGAATTGTCGGTGAGTTGTTGATGGTTTGATTATCAGGGCTTCTGGTGAAAGGTCAGAAGGGTAATTTGTCAGATAATTCTGGAACCATAGGTAAGATGCCATAGGTTAGACTGGCAGGGATCATTGGTGTGTGGTTGTTTAACCTTTGAGTTTGATTATAAGGGGCTATGGATAAAAGATCAGATTAAACTGTCAAGAATATTTGGTGAGAGGTCAAAGGTTAAGCAAGCAAGAACTCTCGGTTAGATGTAAGATTATCTTAGGTCACTGTTAAGAGGTCATAGAATATATTATTAGAAAGCTTTGATCAGAAGTCTATGTCATGATGAGTGGTGGTTGAAAGAGATACTCTGGAAACACATGTCTCCATAGTAACAAAACATGAATATGTGAAGTAATTACTAGTCAATACTCCCTTCACCCTGAGTCAGACAGGGAAATGAGGTGAGACTTTGTAATATTTTGTATTGATTAACTGTCACACAGGTAAGGCTCTCACAGTTATTGATTTGTATGTAGGATTTATAGCCATGTATTTTATCCCTGGAGTATCAGAGATATGTCATGCTTGTATAATACAAAATGGTACATTCATTAGCAAATTTTGTTTTCTGATCTGGTCTGATTTTCTCTTCTCCAGGTAAATGTCAAAATATTCCCGATTCAAAGAGAGAAAAAAAAAAGATATCAAAGATCATTATAAAAGAGGAGAAAAACACACCTGAATTTTAGAGTGGATCCCATAATCAGTCCAGTTTTCAAAGTGGAAGTGTTGATAAATATGTAACAGATATTCTTCTGTTTTATAGTCTGCATTAATTTAGACCCTTGTCAAATTTCATTTCAGACTTCTTGTCTTGAGGTCTCCTATGACAGTGTAGTGACCAATGGTGTCTCCAAAGACACACACTATTCTTCACACCAGTCTGAGGCTGCATCTTCATCCCCAGTTGGGGACAGCAGTGGCAGTGAATTAGTCGGTGGGCTTGTGGTGCCACCTAGCCCCGTTGAACTACAGGGCCAAGATGACAGTGATGAGATCATCGTGACAATAAACCGGTCTAAAACCAATGGTGTGGAATCTGAAAATTCTATACAACTGGACAGCAGTCCTGAAGCTCAGTCACAGTTGGATCAAATGTGGCAGCAGCTTGAGGCGGCGATGGTGCAAAGCCAGGACCAGGTCCGTGGACAGCTCCAAGAATTTGGAATCGGGGAAGGGGAAGAAGATTCAGAGTCAGAAGAGGGTCAGATGTGGAGAATTGTTCAAGGGGATTCTCCTTATACTATACAACTAGTATGATCCTGGAGAAAAGGCACTTCATAGATTGTGGAAGAAAAATTGGATATACTACATACATCACATTGATTCAAAGATAACAAAGGCCCATAGTCCTTAAAGGGCTGATTTCTATGCTCAAATAGCAACTATACAATTTCAGAGTTTTTATTTCGGGAAGTATAACGAATTAGATATGCTTGGCTGTAATGTAAAGGTTTAAAAAATGTATAACCCTTCTATGTGTAAAGTGTTGTGAAAGCCTTGAATTGCATAACTGTTAATTACTTTTCATTGTTAAATCAAAATATTGGATTTGTTATTTATACCTTATTTATTATAATTAACTTTTAAACATTGAGAGTCAGCTGGTCTGAAAAAAATGTCATCTTTTAATTGGAAAAAAATATCACTATTCAGAATTTATTAGCATTTTATTCATTTCAATTTAACAGTATTTGCATGTATGTTCACCGGACTCTCTCTCCGATACTGGTAAAATGATGGGAAACAGTTTAAATTGCAACTCAAGGGACACAACTCTTTGGACAAGCTTTTATTTTGATGTGATCGAAATAAGTCCATGAAAAATCATAATAACCATAGAAGCCGATTATTTTTTATTTAGGATGTTTGGAAGGTTAAAAATCTCGAGGATAAATCATGAACCCTTTATCAATATGCATCATAATTGATTAATGGCTCCTGAGCGTGAATATTTCATTGTCAAAGAAGAGCTCCAAAAACAGCACATTATAAAAGACCTGCTGTTTAGGATATGTTGGAGATGCTAGACACTCAATCTCTTTCCTCTGATGTTTGCCTTGGTTTGTATGTTTTCAAGGGAAATGTCGCCAGGGGATAAAGAGCATTGCCATTCTACATCAAAGGGGAGTAATCCATCATAGGTAAATCATTTTAAGTAAATTGGACTTAATTTATGGAAGGAAAGAGGGTTAGGTATGAGCCTTGTTATTTTGTGTAAAGCTCTGAATTTGTAAAAAAAAAATTCAACCAAGCAATGCTGGAGATGAGTAAAAATCTGTATGTATTATATTAGTGGTCCAATGTAATCGTACCATTGTGTATTTCTATATTTATCACAGTGAAAGTGAAGGAAGAATGGCTTGGAGCTGTTTGATAGAAGTCTTAGGCTTCTTTGCAGGTGTTCGTACCATAACAGCTGCCACATTAGATCTGCTGTTCAAGTGTAAAACAATTGTGATAATGCTTTAGTGAAATGTGAAAAGCTTGTCCAGCAATAGTTGTAGTTCTTGTGTTTAAATGCTCTGAATGTGCAAGTGAAAAAGTGATGTTGAATGCATTCTACATAATTGAACAAATTTGAATAGGTACCTTGCATCATATGCATATGTTAGATATACAAGTTACTATTATTAATTTTATTATTAAAATGTATTTATAATAATTATTCTGTGTATATTGCATTTATAGATTTATTAAATACCTTGAATCAATTAATGCATGAGTTTGTATATTGAAGCTGCAGTGAAGTCAGCCCACATGTTATATATGGTTATGTACATTGTGTAGTTACTGTTGGACATGATAAGTCATTTTGCAGGCATTAACATTACCGTGATTAATCATTCATCTAGTCCAACTCTTTGCCCAATTTGTGCCAGTGACACGCACATGGTTAAAACATTTGAAGTTCAGTATTAATTTACAGGACTTCATTGTTCTCTGTTGATTAAAGATGAATCAATAAATTTTTTTATGTAATTGTCAGTGCTTGCTTATTTTAATATACAATAATATCGTATTCTCAGATTTTTTTTTTTTCTTTACATTTTGTTTATACCCGTGGAGGATACAAACAAGTGTTGTGACCTAACAGGAAGAGAAGACCGTCTTTTACACTTTTGCACTGCATATTTTTGTTGTTATCAAATTATTGTTATTCAAACAAATATATTTGTTCTTCAATTTTGCCTATGCCAGTTTTTTTTCAAAGGCATGATGTCGTGGTTTAAGATATAAGTTTGGCCTGAAAGTAAAGTATGAATACAGAGTTGTGTACTGGAAATGTGATAGATGATTTGTAAATAGCTTTGTTGTAAAAAGCTACACATGTGATATGCTAAATGAAATCTTCATTCCATTGTCACGCTTTACCTGTCCAATAAAATACCCAACAAATATAAAACAAAAAAAATATTTCAACGTAAGAAATCTTACTGTGTATCTTCAATGTTGAATAAAGTTCAGACTTTGCTGAGGAATTTAACCATAAACTATAGTTGTTTCTATTCAAATGTTTTTTTGATAATGTCTTCATTACCTCAAAGATTTTGTGTTTGAAATGATTTAAAAACAAACACTTTTTTTTTTATTTAATAATTTTTTTTATGTCCTCAAAGCATTCATTTTGAGAGACTTAAATTCACTATATTACAATTTAGTATCAACCTTCAAGTTTAATCATCTCATTTGAAGCCAAATTCAAAATTCTATCATTTTTCATACCTCACCTCAAATTATTATGTAAATAAGTAATTTCAATAGGTGACAGAAAAATGATTGATCATAAATTACATGCATCTAGCAGTGTTCAAGTTGTATATGGTTTTAAGTTCCTCACCATTATTTACTACATCTTTGTGAATGATCTGAAGTAAACAAGCAACTTGTGGTGACATATTAGAATTCAGTAGAAAGTGATAAAAATCAATGAGTGATGTATTTTCAACAATTTCATATGTTGAAGAATACTTGTCTTTCATGGAATATTTTGTTGTGATCTAAGCTATGTTTAAGATGCTGGTGCTTTATTTTCAGTAGAGTTATCTACCTTTCTTAGTCTGGAAAATGAAGATAAGCATATCACTCACTTATCGTTAACGTGAAGTTTCACTTAAATGTTAAACCAACATTTGTCAGTGATTAAGTCTTTGAAAAGTAGTACCCAAAGATGATAAAATTACCACCAAAAATGAGATATATCACATAGAAATGAAACTGAGAATTCATTCATCCAAATTTTATGTCAATCATTTTTTGTGTAGGTGAAACTTACATTGCATTATACTGTTAACGAAAAAAAAACCCAACCTAATATGTAATTCACCTATGTGTTTCACTCTGTCATGAAATATCGGTTTCTTATACATTTATTTACAGTGTGAAGGTAACTGGCCGTTATTAGTGGTGGCTATATTTGACTTAACCAGAGTCCCCATGGATTGGTAAGCATTACATGGGGGAAGGTTCTTGAGTATCCTGCAGAGCGTCAGTTGTCCAAATGTTTTAATACTATTGATGATACCAATATGAAATAAAAATATTGAAAACATGAGAAAGTGTTTTGTTTATCTCTTATTATGATAGGTAATAATAATAATAATAAACTTCATTTATTTTACAACAGTTGCGAAGCAAGTTTTTACAACTTACATTAATCACTCTTGTTGGCCCGGATGGAAGGGTGTGTAGGGTCTTATTAAACAATTCTTGTTACCGCTATTTCTGGAAAAGTACTAGATCGATCTTTCTCAAATTTCATACGTAGGTTCCCCTTGGTCCCTAGTTGTACCTTTTTTGGACTGATTCGAATTCAAGGTGGCCCACAGACGGCCATCTTGGATTTTGAAAGTAAAAGTTTGTTATCGCTATTTCTGGGAAAATCCTTGATGGATCTTTCTCAAATTTCATATGCAGGTTCCCCTTGGTCCCTTATTGTGCATTTTACCTTTTTTGGACTGATCCGAAATCAAGATGGCTGACAGGCAGCCATCTTGGATTTTGAGAGTAAAATCTTGTTGCTGCTATTTCTGAGGAAGTACTGGATGGATCCTTCTGATATTTCATAGATATCGGTTTCCCTTGGTCCCTAGTTGTGCATTGTACCTTTTTTGGACAGATTTGAAATCAAGGTGGCCCACAGGCAGCCATCTTGGATGTCGACAGTAATACAGCACAAGCATATTGTCCATTATCTACCTGTAACCGACTGCTATCTAATAATACTTTGGGATCTTTTTCAAATGATATTAGCTAATAGGTGCTTAACAAAAATATCTTGTGCCATCATTGAGTACATTTACAACACCTGTAATAAACAAACAAAAAAAATAAACAAATCTTCAAGAACTGAAAACAGATCCTCAAATGGTGGGCGCCAAGATCCCACTGGGATCTCTTGTTGAATACATTAACACTTTAATTTCTCTGATTCAGGTTAAACTAGATAAATCTATATCAAATGGTGTCTGAGATAATAAGGTGTACAGTAACATAGAGAATATGGGGGGGGGGAACCTGCACAATATTTAATACAAGTTTTTATAAGGTGTTAACTAAATGTGAACTATTGATTAATGTATTGCAACAAAGGACACAAAATAAGAACATAATACAAAATATAGAATAAAAAGTGTAAACTAATCATAAATAGTATCATACAGGGAATATGATTCTGAGAAAATCCTTATCTGATAGAATAATGTTTGTTGTTGTACGTCATGATCAACCATTCTCTTATGTTTCAATAGTGTATAGTGTAGACCGATAAGGTATGGCCCTTCACAACAAGGACAATGTTTCTATAACAAGAGGCCCATGGGCCTTAACGGTCATCTGACATAAAATACAAGATTTCTAATTTTGAACATGAGAGAAGTCGAAAAAGCGTTTTCAAGATGGCGGCCATGTTGGATTTCGGACCAACCCGAAATTAACAAACTTTGGTCAGGATCATGTCACGATCATTTCAGGTAAGTTTCAGCTCAATGAGACATGTAGAACTTGAGAAGAAGTTGAAAATGTTTACGACGGACGACGCCGGACAAAAGGCGATCGCAATAGGTCATCAGACCTGAAAATGAAATAAAAAGTGACCAAAATTTGGGTGGCTTTAACAGCATCTGGATTTAGGTCTCTGAACACGCAGAAGTATACCTAATCCAAGAAAGATAAATCTTGTTTCCTTCAAACCAAATGAGAAGTATGCTAATGAGGAGAGTAAGGAAGACCCATTGTTGACACGTAGGGGAAAGAAAGAAGTTGTGTGGTTTAAATTTTTAACGTCCGATCATTAAGTATGGTCAGCAAAACATTACTTTGGTGTCAGATGCCATTCCTGTATAAAAACAGGTAAAATGTGCGAATAATTATTGTAGGATTGTAGAGAAATCCCTAACTGTTCAAACCGTAGAGCCGGAATTTCCCAGGGAATATGCTTTCAACAGAACAATCAAAATAACGGACTAAGATACATATGTTTACCTATATCCGTGTAAAAATACCCAAAATTATGTTATCAGTTGTAACCAGGCTGTAGTGTATGCATTTATTGGAACAGAGCACATCTCTTCTCATCTGTGAATTGGGCAAGTAGGAGTGACGTGTACATTGGGAAATGTTGCTTCTTCGCCTCATTTTTTTAAAGTCGTGGTTAACACGTCAAAAAATTCGGGTTCAATTCTTTTTCACCTGTTCATTGCATTTGAATAATCATATGGAATCTGCATTGAATACCAATGAGAGTGGAAGAAAATATTTTTCTATGGAATTAAGGGTATATGCTACACAATTATGATATAAACGGAGTCCTTGTGATTAGATTAAACTTTATAATAAACGAACGAAAGATCAAGGGAAGTAACTCTGCTAGAACTGTAACCTAATGTATGAGAAGGGAGCGGCGGGGATAGCCGATCTGAGTTGGTTAATTGAGAGTGGGAAATCGGGTTGTTTTACTCATCGCTAGTTCAGCACATGATATTAAGTCTATTGCAGCTAACACTTATATTAAGGGCAGTGACATATATGAGGATTGAATTACAGACTGTACTCAAGTAATGATTCCGGAACGCAAACCGAGATTTGTTTCATCATGTTATCTCTGCTCTGGCTCCGCTTCCTTGTCTTGAATTTGCTCGGATAAGGACACAACTAGGGATACGTCAGACATCTTGTAAGTATGAAACACGCGCAGATGCAATATATATGTATCGAGAATAGTTAAATGTCAACATTATAATTAAATAGATAGCCGTGAGTCATTATGGTATTAGGACTGATATTTTCCAGATATTTTCCAGTACAGGTTGTCGCCCTTGTTTGCATATAATTATTCCGTTAGACCTATTATGCCACAATGACTTGTAACAATAATCCGGGGGAATGGTGGATTCTTTGGTTATACTACAGCTGGCAAAGGTGTCGAACGAAAGGCCAGAGAAACCCACATGCCTCACAGAAGTCGCCGCTGTTCGGCAAAATACTAGTTATATATAGTTTGTCATTCAAGCCACCATCCAACAGAAATATTGTTACAGGTCTCTGTGGCTTATACGTGTACTGTACGTTCATGGCTTGTCTCGTAAAAATATCACCGACTCGAATCGATTTTGCCATACAGTAGGCATAATACAGATATGATAGACACATATAATTCAAATTAGTGAGTCGTTCTTGATAGCATAACAACAAATACAAAAACATACAATCCCTGAAAACACAGTCCTAAAAATATGTACCAAAGAGCCATGGGCGTAGCAATTGTTCACACAGACAAGGATGTATGAAATAGCCCTAATACCACTGGCTCAAGTCTGTGCTAATACAAGCTGTACTTTTCCAATAAAACACAAAACATACATATAGAATATATATAGATCAGCGACATTTTATAACACAACAGCAATACTTATACATTCTGTGGACTCGGATAGAATTCATTATTTGCTTCCAATAGGAAAAGGCAATCAATAAGTCCGAGCGAATGTATATTTGATAGTTTAGTGAGCTCGTTATTACAGAGAAACCTTTGATTTGTTAACGATAACCAACAGTGCAGTCGAATCTTATTTATTATTGATACGAATACTTCAAAATTTACTTCATTGTTTTATTTTGATAATTATTATGTCCCCCTACTTCGGGGACATATTGTGTTTACTCCGTTTCTTATCATTATTCTTATTTCTTCCACTTCCTTCCGCCGGCGAGGTTTCCGACGCGTTTCTCAAAAACTATTGCATGGAATTTAACATAACTTTACACACATATTCATATATGCGAGGCGGAGTGCAGGCCACTTGAATTTTTCCAAACGGTCATATGAGTGGTCAGCTGTGGTCAAAATTTGGCCAAATTTTAGATATTGTCCGATTTTCGTGAAAATTGGTATATATGTATTAGTTGGCACTAGGAGCAAAATGGCATAGTCCATTTTTCATTCAGCCATCGATCGGTCATCTGAGCGGTCAGCTGTGGTCAAAATTTGGCCAAATTTTAGATATTGTCCGATTTTCGTGAAAATTGGTATATATGTATTAGTTGGTACTAGGAGCAAAATGGCGTAGTCCATTTTTCATTCAGCCATCGATCGGTCATCTGAGAGGTCAGCTGTGGTCTAAATTTGGCCAAATTTTAGATATTGTCCGATTTTCGTGAAAATTGGTATATATGTATTAGTTGGCACTAGGAGCAAAATGGCGTAGTTAATAGTTCATTCGGCCATCGATCGGTCATCTGAGTGGTCAGCTGTGGTCTAAATTTGGCCAAATTTTAGATATTGTCCGATTTTCGTGAAAATTGGTTATATGTATCAGGTGGCACTAGGAGCAAAAAGTTGTAGTCCATTTTTCATTCGGTCATCTGAGCGGTCAGCTGTGGTTAAAATTTGGCCAAATTTTAGATATTGTCCGATTTTCGTGAAAATTGGTATATATATGTATTAGGTGGCACTAGGAGCAAAAAGGTGTAGTCCATTTTTCATTCGGCCATCGATCGGTCATCTGAGCGGTCAGCTGTGGTCTAAATTTGGCCAAATTTTAGATATTGTCCGATTTTCGTGAAAATTGGTATATATGTATTAGTTGGCACTAGGAGCAAAATGGCGTAGTTAATAGTTCATTCGGCCATCGATCGGTCATCTGAGTGGTCAGCTGTGGTCTAAATTTGGCCAAATTTTAGATATTTTCCGATTTTCGTGAAAATTGGTTATATGTATCAGGTGGCACTAGGAGCAAAAAGTTGTAGTCCATTTTTCATTCGGTCATCTGGCCGGTCAGCTGTGGTTAAAATTTGGCCAAATTTTAGATATTGTCCAATTTTCGTGTTGGCCAAATTTTAGATATTGTCCGATTTTCGTGAAAATTGGTATATATATATGAGGTGGCAATCGGAGCAAAAAAGTGTAGTCCATTTTTCATTCGGCAATCGATCGGTCATCGGAGCGGTCAGCTGTGGTTTAAATTTGGCCAAATTTTAGATATTGTCTGATTTTCGTGAAAATTGGTATATATGTATTAGTTGGCACTAGGAGCAAAATGGCGTAGTTAATAGTTCATTCGGCCATCGATCGGTCATCTGAGTGGTCAGCTGTGGTCTAAATTTGGCCAAATTTTAGATATTTTCCGATTTTCGTGAAAATTGGTTATATGTATCAGGTGGCACTAGGAGCAAAAAGGTGTAGTCCATTTTTCATTCGGTCATCTGAGCGGTCAGCTGTGGTTAAAATTTGGCCAAATTTTAGATATTGTCCGATTTTCGTGAAAATTGGTTATATGTATCAGGTGGCACTAGGAGCAAAAAGGTGTAGTCCATTTTTCATTCGGTCATCTGGCCGGTCAGCTGTGGTCTAAATTTGGCCAAATTTTAGATATTGTCCGATTTTCGTGAAAATTGGTATATATATATGAGGTGGCAATCGGAGCAAAAAAGTGTAGTCCATTTTTCATTCGGCAATCGATCGGTCATCGGAGCGGTCAGCTGTGGTCTAAATTTGGCCAAATTTTAGATATTGTCCGATTTTCGTGAAAATTGGTATATATGTATCAGGTGGCAATCGGAGCAAAAAGGCGTAGTCCATTTTTCATTCGGCCATCGATCGGTCATCTGAGTGGTCAGCTGTGGTCTAAATTTGGCCAAATTTTAGATATTGTCCGATTTTCGTGTTGGCCAAATTTTAGATATTGTCCGATTTTCGTGAAAATTGGTATATGTACCAGGTGGCACTAGGAGCAAAAAGGTGTAGTCCATTTTTCATTCGGCTATCGATCGGTCATCTGAGTGGTCAGCTGTGGTCTAAATTTGGCCAAATTTTAGATATTGTCCGATTTTCGTGAAAATTGGTATATATATGTATTAGGTGGCACTAGGAGCAAAAAGGTGTAGTCCATTTTTCATTCGGCCATCTGGCCGGTCAGCTGTGGTCTAAATTTGGCCAAATTTTAAATATTGTCCGATTTTCGTGAAAATTGGTATATATATGTATTAGGTGGCACTAGGAGCAAAAAGGTGTAGTCCATTTTACATTCGGCCATCGATCGGTCATCTGAGCGGTCAGCTGTGGTCTAAATTTGGCCAAATTTTAGATATTGTCCGATTTTCGTGAAAATTGGTTATATGTATCAGGTGGCACTAGGAGCAAAAAGTTGTAGTCCATTTTTCATTCGGTCATCTGGCCGGTCAGCTGTGGTTAAAATTTGGCCAAATTTTAGATATTGTCCGATTTTCGTGTTGGCCAAATTTTAGATATTGTCCGATTTTCGTGTTGGCCAAATTTTAGATATTGTCCGATTTTCGTGAAAATTGGTATATATATATGAGGTGGCAATCGGAGCAAAAAAGTGTAGTCCATTTTTCATTCGGCTATCGATCGGTCATCTGAGTGGTCAGCTGTGGTCTAAATTTGGCCAAATTTTAGATATTGTCCGATTTTCGTGAAAATTGGTTATATGTATCAGGTGGCACTAGGAGCAAAAAGTTGTAGTCCATTTTTCATTCGGTCATCTGGCCGGTCAGCTGTGGTTAAAATTTGGCCAAATTTTAGATATTGTCCGATTTTCGTGTTGGCCAAATTTTAGATATTGTCCGATTTTCGTGTTGGCCAAATTTTAGATATTGTCCGATTTTCGTGAAAATTGGTATATGTACCAGGTGGCACTAGGAGCAAAAAGGTGTAGTCCATTTTTCATTCGGCTATCGATCGGTCATCTGAGTGGTCAGCTGTGGTCTAAATTTGGCCAAATTTTAGATATTGTCCGATTTTCGTGAAAATTGGTATATATATGTATTAGGTGGCACTAGGAGCAAAAAGGTGTAGTCCATTTTTCATTCGGCCATCGATCGGTCATCTGAGCGGTCAGCTGTGGTCTAAATTTGGCCAAATTTTAGATATTGTCCGATTTTCGTGAAAATTGGTTATATGTATCAGGTGGCACTAGGAGCAAAAAGTTGTAGTCCATTTTTCATTCGGTCATCTGGCCGGTTAGCTGTGGTTAAAATTTGGCCAAATTTTAGATATTGTCCGATTTTCGTGTTGGCCAAATTTTAGATATTGTCCGATTTTCGTGAAAATTGGTATATATATATGAGGTGGCAATCGGAGCAAAAAAGTGTAGTCCATTTTTCATTCGGCAATCGATCGGTCATCTGAGAAGTCAGCTGTGGTCTAAATTTGGCCAAATTTTAGATATTGTCCGATTTTCGTGTTGGCCAAATTTTAGATATTGTCCGATTTTCGTGAAAATTGGTATATATGTATCAGGTGGCACTAGGAGCAAAAAAGTGTAGTCCATTTTTCATTCGGTCATCTGAGCGGTCAGCTGTGGTTAAAATTTGGCCAAATTTTAGATATTGTCCGATTTTCGTGAAAATTGGTATATATGTATTAGGTGGCAATCGGAGCAAAAATGTGTAGTCCATTTTTCATTCGACCATCGATCGGTCATCTTAGCAGTCAGCTGTGGTCTAAATTTGGCCAAATTTTAGATATTGTCCGATTTTCGTGAAAATTGGTATATATGTATTAGGTGGCAATCGGAGCAAAAATGTGTAGTCCATTTTTCATTCGACCATCGATCGGTCATCTTAGCAGTCAGCTGTGGTCTAAATTTGGCCAAATTTTAGATATTGTCCGATTTTCGTGAAAATTGGTATATATGTATTAGGTGGCAATCGGAGCAAAATGGCGTAGTTCATAGTTCATTCGGCTATCGATCGGTCATATGAGCGGTCAGCTGTGGTCTAAATTTGGCCAAATTTTAGATATTGTCCGATTTTCGTGAAAATTGGTATATATGTATTAGGTGGCAATCGGAGCAAAAAGGCGTAGTCCATTTTTCATTCGGCCATCGATCAGTCATCTGAGAGGTCAGCTGTGGTCTAAATTTGGCCAAATTTTAGATATTGTCCGATTTTCGTGTTGGCCAAATTTTAGATATTGTCCAATTTTCGTGAAAATTGGTATATGTATCAGGTGGCACTAGGAGCAAAAAGGTGTAGTCCATTTTTCATTCGGTCATCTGAGCGGTCAGCTGTGGTTAAAATTTAGCCAAATTTTAGATATTGTCCGATTTTTGTGAAAATTGGTATATGTATCAGGTGGCACTAGGAGCAAAAAGGTGTAGTCCATTTTTCATTCGGTCATCTGGCCGGTCAGCTGTGGTCAAAATAAACTCTTTGTCATACTGAGGTAGGGACACTTCTCTTTATACCAAACTGAAAGCTTCACCATTTCCTCTCTTCTGAGGTTTTAAAAATTTACGTTCTCATTTCCATTCAAAATTGGTGTGTTCATGTTTGGTATGACCGCAGGTCTGATTATTGTGATCATTTACTGCTGAAGGGGTCCCCATTACAATTAGCACTTGTTTCTTATTGTGTTGGCATGTCTTTTATCCTTTCTTTCTGTTTACATCTGATAGGAAACAGTTGAGATGACGTCACAAGACTCCAAACCGAAACCCGAGTTTTATCGGAGAGTCCTGCCAGAAGGATGTATCGCTTTTTCATCCACGGAAGGGAAGACGATCTTCAAGGAGGCCATTTTGTCAGGTCACATGGACTGCTATTTCAAAATGGCAGCACAATTCAGTACCCAAGCAGAGCCAGCATTCTGCGGCCTAACGACACTAATCATGGTGCTTAATGCTCTCGAGGTCGATCCAGGGAAAGTCTGGAAGGGTCCTTGGCGTTGGTATCACGAAGACATGTTGGAATGTTGTGTGCCATTACAAGAGATGAAAGAAAAAGGTATTACCTACGACCAGTTCCTATGTTTGGCCGCCTGTAATTCTCTGGAAGTAGAATCTACGAGGATGGAAAACTCCGCATCGCTGGAAACATTTCGAGATCACGTGACAAGACTGAGTAGACAAGATGACCATTTCATCGCGTTATCCTATAGCAGAAAGACTCTCGGTCAGACTGGAGATGGTCACTTCTCCCCTGTTGGAGGTTATCATCCAGACAGAGACCTTGTGTTGGTGATGGACACAGCTCGGTTTAAGTACCCTCCACATTGGGTTCCTCTCGCTAATATCTGGGAAGCCATGAAACCTGTCGACCAAAGTACAGGTAAATTATTGTTTACACTACGGTAGAAGATAAATTGAAGAGTCGTTTGAATTTTACATAGATATCATCAAAATGGTGATTTGCAACCCATCAGACGAAATCCTGAGATAATATTTCAAAGAATTACTGATATTAATGTTATGTTGCATATGTTTAACGAGAATCTAAAGAAGCATGGGCTTTATGCTACCGGAAAAAATTTCTTTGTACTCATCGTCAGGTGTAAGTTATGGATCATTTGCATACTATGAAACAGGACTATATAGTCCTAGTGCATATATTAGTAGAAAGTCAGTTTATCACGAGATTGCATGTACTGTAAAACGGGGCCCCTGCAGCTGCCCAGTTTAGAGCGAACCATTGCTAAGATGAAAAATATCGATACCCCCTTCTATCACTTCGTGGCTATGTATTTGTTGAGATGTATGAATATGGCTATGTTTTGAGAACTAGTTAGGATTTGTTTTGAAAAGGAAAAGTTAGTAGCTTATATTTCATTGGAGCAAGTGATTTAGTAAACTCACATGTAAACAAGTGTTTTTATGAAATCGTGTTTATTTCCTTTCAGGGAAGTCAAGAGGATATTGCATTTTGTCGAAAACTCACAAGGACGGTTCATTAAGACTATTCAAGTTGTCGAATTCTTTCAACATATTTCTGCCTTGTGCCTGTACCAGCAGTGTTTCGTCATTCTTGCACAAATGGCGGGAATGCTTATCTAAAGACGTCACAGATTTGTCACCAGTTGATACAGATAAGGAATCTAATACAGATAACGGGATTCCATCTGATCATATGGACATTTTTAGACAAGCTATTCCATTGCTGCTGACAAGTGCCGGATGCATTGCGCAGGACGAGTGTATTCTTACTACATACATGGACATGGCGACTTTTTCAGCGGAGCACATTGCGCTGAAAGAGACCTTGGTACAACAGATAGAGTGCACGGAAATATACGGCATTACCAAGAATGTTTTTCAAAATACAATTGTTGAGTCCAGTGCGTATTTGAATATCGGGACAACGACTGAGAAAAATGTGATAACATTAAATGATAAATGCTGTGGTATGTGTTCAACGAAACGTTTGAAGATCTCGGAGACCAAAATGTTTCCGGCGCATTTCATCACAGTCTTCCTGCTATGTTGGCCATTCGAACTGTTCGGGTCTACAGGGAGGGTGACTTTTGGCGACAAGATGGATTCGTATGTCACGAGATGGATGGGAAGCACAACATGTAAAGAGCTTAAAGAGGAAGTGTCACAACTCAAAAAACAACTGTTGGTGCTGTTAAAGATGCGTATGTCAAATTAGCAGCGATGTGGCCCCAATACATCGTGCAGAATCTCTCCGTTCGGGACCGCTTCATCACGTAGCGGGAATTCATAACCGCCATCATATATATAGAGAGAGATTACAGATCCTACATTTCATTACAGTGAAGAAAGCACTTCTTGTCATTTGCCTGTTCGCTTTTCTATGAGCTTTAAGATAGAATAGAATCCTAAACAGCTATTGAAACATGGACAATAGGTATAAACACATCCAATAATTTGATCCTGTTGAATATCTGTAAATCGTATAACAAATTCATTTTTAACCGATACCGTAGCCTTAAGGAAGTAATAAGGTTAAAAACAATATGCCGAAAAACTTGACGTCAATTTCAGAGGTCTGACCTACAGGACAACAAAATACAAACAACTCTCAGCCGGTAACTAGCGACATTTGTATAACTCATTTAAAAGTAATCATTGAATCGACAGCTTGTAATGCAGATGACGGCGAGATATAGCTTTAAAATAAATTGGTTAAATTAAAAGATTGATAAATGGATATATGCATGAATTCGTTATTTAGTAGATATCGGTTTCATGGATATTTGCATAGAGATAATGTAACCAATATGAGGTATGTTTGTAGATATTCACAAATCCTACCAAGCTTACAGTCGGAAGAAATATTGTTTAAAGTACAGCACAAGTGCACCAGCTTACTATTGCTAATATGGTATAATTCATACGGGAAAATGTCCTGAGCAAAGATCAGATATATAACATTTGTACAAATTGTTACAAAACAGTATATGCAAACCGTATATGATATCAAATTGACGTTCTCGCAATATTCAATGCTATGGTTAGAGGAATGATAGGGTCAACAAAAGGACTCTGTTATAGTACCATCAAACCGAGATGTCGTCATCAGACTGAGCTGTTCTTACTGCCTGGCCTCTCACCGACGTCGAGCTGAGAACAGGAAGCACCTATATTACAGACTTTAGTTTTTCTTGTTTGGGTTACAGAACCTATAGACTGATAATCTCTGTCTCTCTCTCTCGAGGGGACACTCGGAGATAAAGATCCAAATATGCTATAGTGTCAAGATTGACGCCACGAAGAACTGAAGTGTTGATAATGTAATCGTTTATGTGAAAACCAGATGTATGGTATGCTTGTTTTAAATGTGACGTGCAGCAGGTAATAGGGAGCTTTTTGTTGTGTATAAAATGTACATGTGTCGTTTTTGATGGATCTGTATATCTAAATCTATTTATCTCGATATTTACATCTCGGTGAAGTAAATTTAAATTAAGAACGCAACACGGAAATGCAATTCAAATTGGGCACTAACTTCTCGTCGATACACCAAATATAATCAAGGTTTGTAATTCCTACCGACCAGTCAAAACGATGGAAAGTTTGGCTTTTTATAACATTAAATTACATTCACTGTATACCGGGTAATTTTCAACCTTATACCACTATACACCAGTTCGCCTCATGTTCATTTCACCATTTGGGGATTATATAAAAGGGTTATGTAATATTGTAACAATTTTTTCGTCCCCATCTTAAATTCGCTCCCCTTGTTCATGAAAAAAGGGTCGATAATTTCGCGGTATAAAATAAGTGGGAAATTAGCTGTTTACAAATTTGTATACATACTTTTAATTAAATAATTTTTGATTAATTGGTCTCGCAAAAAACAAGATATTATGAAATATAAAATAAAAAAAAACATCGTTGTTTTTGTATTAAAAGAAAAGTTAAAACTAATAGATGGCTGTAATTTAATAATGAATGTTTGTCCGTAATGATACACATCTGTATCAGCATGTGCTAACTTGGCATTACATACTCGGATTGGCCAAGGTTTACATGGTAGGTGTTGTCTACGAGGCAGAAGACCCATACTCTTCAGAAACAGCTGGTCCTGTTCTCCTTGTACCGTTCAGGAGTATATATGTAAATCTTACTCTTGTTCATATTTTACCGTAGTTTTACTGAATTTGAGTTTTGAATAAATAAATGATTGCATCTCTAAAAATTTAATTGTATTGTTATGAGACGGCATTAAGACAATAAATGTGCAAATAAATAGATAAGTAAATAAAAAATGAATAAATAAATGATAAAGTAATAAATAAAGCCAGCTTGTAAAGTAATAAATATCAAACGATAAAGGTTTAGTTCAAGTGATCGATCTGGCATTCAAACAACGAGTTTACATATGTAAACTCTCTTTAATCTCATTAATGATATGTACATTGCCACCATGTTGTAATGCATATTAATCATGTTGTTGTCTTTGTAATTAGCTATTTATGTCTTTTGACGAAGTCGGATCTATTTAATGATGTGAATAATTATCAGATGGTTTGCTAACGGATTCCTTCATGCATGATCTATTGTATAGAAACAGATAGCTACTCTTCCGTGGTGTCAGTGTACAAGACGTGCAAATTTATGGCACTGTTCAATACATATTTATAATTACATGTATGTGCAAATATATGATTAGATGCAGTAGAATCAAATAATAAATAAAACTGCACTATACAGCTGTCTCGTGCTTCAATGTCTCTTCAGGGATGCTAAGGGCCTAGTTTTGAAATTGAGGGCAACCAAAATTGATTGAAAGAAATATTGAAATCCAGACGGAAGTCACACTCACACCTTAATTCAATAAATTTCGTACGTATCATATATATTATAATAATAAAAGTACATGTTGATATTTCTGAACTGTACCACTATTCGAATGAATTCAAAGGTGGCTTGTAGGTTGAGGCAAACCTCGGAGACTAAACGACCTCCAATAACGTCTACCTCCTTCAATTTCAGGGATTTACAAAAGTCACACATCAACAGCACCTAGCAATTTAGAATTTGTTTTGCCAAATAGTGAACTGAATTGCACAAAACAGTTATTTTGTCGTTCAAGAGCGCTTCAGTTTTGTAAGGGCATAACTTTTAAAACATCGGAGGTGACTGAGGAAAATCAAATTTGATCGAAAGAATTGAAACACGTCTTTTTTATTTTCTAAACTGGAGAAAAGTAATATATGAAACATTTTCACTTGTTACACGGACAACGACCTGTGTTCATATCAGGCTCTCTTTCAAATGACCGATGTTCATGTCAGGCTTCCTTGCGAATAACTGGTGTTCATGTAAGGCGGTCTTCTGAATGACCGATGTTCATTTCAGGCTTCCTTCCGAATAACCGGTGTTCATGTTAGGCTGTCTTCTGAATGACCGATGTTCATTTCAGGCTTCCTTCCGAATAACCGGTGTTCATGTAAGGCGGTCTTCTGAATGACCGATGTTCATTTCAGGATTCCTTCCGAATAACCGGTGTTCATGTAAGGCTGTCTTCCGAATGACCGATATTCATTTCAGGATTCCTTCCGAATGACCGGTGTTCATGTAAGGCGGTCTTCTGAATGACCGATGTTCATGTCAGGCTTCCTTGCGAATAACCGGTGTTCATGTAAGGCTGTCCTTCGAATGACCGATGTTCATGTCAGGCTTCCTTGCGAATAACCGGTGTTCATGTAAGGCTGTCTTCCGAACGACAGATGTTCATTTCTGGATCTCATGAAGGCTCTCCTTCACATGACCAGTATTGAATATTGCAGCAATAGAAACAAAACTGATGCATATTTTATTATAGTATATGTTTTAGTTTGTTGTATATTTGATATCATTTTTTAAATCATTTATATGAACTGAAATGTGTTACACAATCAATATATATAACCGAATGTTACAAGCGAACTACAAGCGAACGTCACATTGAATGTATGTCATGTCAATATTTCTCTATTAAGCAGTTTCTATCAGATTTAAAAATAAATATAAATTATTCATCAACGAAATATTGAGATAAAGTGGACCTATTTCAATAACACTAACCGACTTTCTTTCTATCTAACGAGTATTGTTTGGAGCGTTAAGGTGAGTAGCTTGTAATCCGAACTTGTCAGAAAATATCTGGTTGTATTGATAGACTTATATTTAGAAATATTTTGTTTGTGCTGGTGACAAATGAATCTAAGGAGATAGAGGATATGTAAGTAGAGATATGTGATATTAGACAGGAAAGCAACAAACATAACCATTTAACTAGTCTTGATTGACAGACTTGTATGAGACAAATAAATAACACCTTTCAATACAAATAATGCGAAAGAGAATTTATGTCGAATAAAGAATTAAACTGCCTTATGATTCGTTTTTTAAGGATTCATCAGTGATTTTAAGAGTTAGACTTAGGAAAAATCTAAATTGGTCTAAGTAAATGATACAATAAAGATGAGAAGGTACAATGGAACCCTGATTAATTCAATTAGATAGATTCAGATTATATGATGTTCTTAAAAGGTTTCGGGAACAGATTACTTTTTAAAAGAACTTGGAAATATGATACGAGGTTAAGAGAAAGTCGAGAACTGCAGGGAAAGAAGGTCACATCAATGGTAGCGAAGTGATGGGAGGCTTTCTACTGTAGTTTAATTCGACCAAGTTTGTAATGCATGTATATTTCTAAAAAAAAAAGTACCAACAAGTCAGCATAATCAATATCAAAGCTCAAACTCCACGATACTAGGGCAAAATATGAGCAAAAGATTTACACTCGGACTCTTGAAAAAGTACAAGGATGATGAGACCAGTTGTTCCAGAAGAGTAAGCGTCTTTTGCTTCATCGACGACATCCACCATGCAAACATTGGTAAATCCAAGTAAGTAATGTCACGTTCTCAAATGGGAACAAGGTACGCTATCACGGAACCAACAGGCAAACTAACGAGCATCAAACACGTCAAGTTTCATATCGTACATAGAAGTAGAATATTTCTCAATGTTTATAAAAAAGTATTTTAGCCATGAGCAATGTCATTTTATAATCGATTCTGGAGTGGTAAATGAATTAAGTTACTATACGATTGAACTGTTGACAGCTCCCAAATCCATTAGGTTCATGCTGGATATCGTACATCTACCCTATCGTGATCTTTTTAATAGCAAAATCGAAGTCTGTTCGACCACGAAATACACATTAAACGTTATCTGTATTTAAATGTTTGAGACTACATTTTTTTAAGGAAAAATTTGTCTCACCGGATATGTATATACACTACAGCATTCAATTAGTGTGACACATTATGAGAAAACAAAACATTAACATAACATACAAAACATACCTTATATTAACTCAACTAGGTATCAACATACTGCTTAATGTACTACAGTCATATTTTCCCAAACCAAAGAACCTTCCCTCTTCCATTCTGCTGCCTTCTAACGGTCCAAACACGCAATCACATCCAGACCTTCCGGGACCTATCTATTCGTTTGACTTCATGGAGTTTACTCCTACAAATCATTGTTGGACTCTACAATGTTGTAGAGAATCTCCATTATTATCAATATTGAATCCAACTTGCAACATACTTCCAAAAAGTGAGTTGGTTATTTTATTGGGTTGAACATATGTAAATAACAACGGGACTAGGCAGTTATTTTCTAGACGGGTTGATTTATTTTCACTCGCGAGAAATAAATATATTGCTTACGTTTGTTTATAGATTGAAGTGATTTTTTGAAGATAATGAAGTTTTTGAGAATAACGGTTTATGAGCTGGCAACAATATGTCTTTTCAGAAACCCCACATATATTCAACCGATGTTTTTATGGAGATATTTTTCAACCATTCATATTTTAATTCAAACATTTGAAACAAGCATGCACATCTTCCTTCTATCAAACAAAACATCTAATTTTCGTATTATATTAACTGGGTTTTAACCTATAAGAAATTAGAGTTATATTCTTTTGCAGGTACTTCTTTCATTTTTCATAATGTTTTCTAACAGGAAACACCGAGAATATTTAAGATGACTTCCCAGGCTATAACACCTAGTCATGGTTTATACCGAGAAGCTTTACCAAAGGGATGTATTGTTTTTTCATCCTCTGAAGGCAGGGCGATATTCAGGGAGGCCCTTGAGGCTGGCCATATGAGATGTTATTTCAAAATGGCGGAACAATTTAGTACCCAAACAGAGCTAACCTTTTGTGGCCTTACAACTCTTGTTATGATCCTGAATGCTTTGAAGGTCGACCCAGGAAAAACCTGGAAGAAACCCTGGAGGTGGTATGACGACAACATGTTGTATAACTGTGTATCGATGCCAATGATAAAAGAAATAGGCATAAGTTTTGACCAGTTTGTATCTCTTGTCATGCTTAATTCACTTATTATCAAATCTGAAAGAGTTGACGAACTCGCATCCATAGAAACGTTTCGAGATCACGTGACAAGGCTGAGTAGACAAGATGACCACTTCATCGCGTTATCCTATAGCAGAAAGAGTCTCGGTCAGACTGGAGATGGTCACTTCTCCCCTGTTGGAGGTTATCATCCAGACAGAGACCTTGTGTTGGTGATGGACACAGCTCGGTTTAAGTACCCTCCACATTGGGTTCCTCTCACCGCTATTTGGGAAGCCATGAAACCTGTCGACGAAACCACAGGTAAATCATTTCAAACAGAAATACGTATTAAACGAACGCAATATTTTAAGTGACAACGATAGGTCCTATTTCGAAGTTTTCAATTAATAAAGTTGTAAGCCATGGTGTCCACTGATTTAAACACAAGTAAAGTAAAGTTTTAAGATTATAGGACAGTTTTAATGGTATAATTGAAATTACATTAATTAGGGTTTTGAAGAAAACGTATTCGTTTGTAAGCCTGTGAAAATAATCTCCTGAGTTTGAAAAAAAATATAAAAACTTATTACTATCCTTTTTCATTCATGAAATATTGAAAACCTTTTCCACACCGTATGACAGTAATGCGAAAATATAATGAAAACATTCCCTTGCTACAATCAAAAGAAGAAATTATTCCATTTCAGGAAAACCCAGAGGTTACTTCATTTTGTCACGGAATGTACAACGGTAGAACGAGGTCTTTTGTTTCAGTGACAATTTGACATCACTGTGTATCATACGGATGATTCTGCATTGGGAACAAAATCAAAATTATTTCGACCTGAAGCTATGAATGAAAGGAGGGACAAATTTCGATAGACAATCGTTTCATCCACAGCTAAAGCTATCAGTTGTCTATCAGGGACAAGAAAATCAGCTGTTGTATTTTGCAAACTCAAATTCAGTCTCCAAATTATGCTGAAATATATAACTTTACTATACATATATTTGGAAGAGAGGAAAATGTTAGGGCGTTTGACAATTTTTGGAAAGTTGACATGTCATATCAGAAGAAAAAGATGGCTATTGGCGCACTTTTACATAAACAGTTGTTGCAATGTGACATGGATCTTCGCCATAAAACTCTCGGTAAGGGAAATTACAGTTCACAAAGTGCACCAACATTTTACGTTGCAAAATATTTTTGTATAATAAACAGATCAAAGTATGCATGTTACTTTTGTTCTGATCAATGCTAATCCACATTTTGCTAACCATGAACTTCTTTTATTTCAAGATAAAAGACATGGAAAAAACATCATTTCACGAAAGTACGAGATAAGGAGACCTTAATTGTACATTTTCGTCCACAAGCCAGTAGTGTAACATCAAGTATTGTATCAGAATATAATGTAATGTAATATTCATGAGAGAGAGACAGAGAGACAGAGAGACACAGAGAGAGGGGGGGGGGGGGTGGTGAGGGAGGGAGAGACAGAGACAGAGAGAGACAGTGACAGAGAGAGAAACACACAGAGAGAGAGAGAGAGAGAGAGAGAGAGAGAGAGAGAGAGAGAGAGAGAGAGAGAGAGAGAGAGAGAGAGAGAGAGAGAGAGGCCTTAAATGACATCACGATTAATTTCTGACTGGCACAGCGATAATGAAACGCATCAGGGTATACTTTTACATGCGCACACTGAATATCAGGTGGATGATGTGTTTAATAATAGAAAAAAAACCATCACAAATAAATGTATATACTTTTTTTGCATGTCATAATAATAGATAAAAAGTATCATCCGATCCAAAGATAAAACAAAGAAATCACGAGGAAACAATGTTTTTGGAGGCATTGACACGTCAGTATAAAACACTGTAGAATCCTTGACATCATATTTATATGACATTGGATATTGCGACAACGTAACGAACGAAATACAGCATTCAGGTTATCTTGGATTTGAGCGATTTTATTCTTGGTAAGCTTCTGCTTTTGATTACGTCACCAGTCTCCAATTATCTATCAGACATATCTTACATGTGATTACTATCGACACAACAACACAAATATACAACTTTAAAGTCTTCTGGAATAGTTCCTGCAAAAGCACGCACTTGAGTCCAGGCAGAATGTTATCGATATACCGTGTGGTTAAGTTTCCCAAAGGTAAAGCAAAGTGATTTTGACAGGATAAACTCTTGTGACTATAAACAAAACGACATCAAAATCTTGTTGACAAGTTAATGTAGTTATTCTCATTAGGACAATGTGCTGGAAATCCTTTCTTTATTAAGTATTTACCGAAAAAGCGGGGTCGCAGAAATGCATGCATTACCAAGAGTTTATAAGATCAAGACTTAAATAACGCTCCAAACACAAAATGAAGTTTCTTCCTCCAACTAAGTATGTATCATTTCAGAACACAAAAGCACCAAGAAAATACTAACATGTCAACATAATCATAACCCAAATTCAATGACACTAGGACAATATATGGATTTCAGGACGATTTCACTTCTTTTGCTTCATCGAGAACCTCGATGTAAACATTGGTCAATCTCTACCATACAACTCTCACAGTCAATTTCATACCGTCATGTGATACGGGATTTGTACATGCATATTTGTGGCTGTGTACATAAACTTAAGCTTAAACTTCTCACACTACAAGCAGAACACGCGCTTTGATACTCGGCTGACATACTATAGTATGGAATTTTAAAGCTTATGAAAAGGTAACGTATGTTTTTAAATATCATTTGGTGACGACATATAAATTTTTGATAATTTAAAAGAAAATTCTCTATGTCAGTGATGGTAAAAGTTAATGTAAGCTAGTGTAAATTCGTCTTTGAGACAACATCTTAATTTTCAAAACCTTCACAAAAATGTATTGAGGTATTAAAAGTTTCACAATATTTGCTACGCCAATAATTAATAAGACGAACGTCTAACAGTTCAGTGACATCAAACCGATCTTTACTCAACCAGTCTGTACAATAACAGAAAACATAGAAGAGTTCCACTAAGGGAAATAACTCATGATCAACATAGTAAACACCAGTGGCGCTATTACCAAAACTCGTACACCTAATATTCTGATCATTATTTAAATGTTTATTTTATCTATCCTATTCCAATACACATATGTTATCCAAGAAGCACGTAAGAATAAATCGCATATATTATTAAGTTATTATACAAAATTATGGTTTGGCTGTCAAGCAAGATATTTTCTTCTATCTAACAGAACGAAGAGGGATCAAAGAGAGGGTGTAGTCTAATAGTAAATTAACATTATATTAATTGAAATATCAACAAGCCACAACCCCCAGGGTTTTGAAATTAGTTGGGATTGATTATAGTGCAAATTAATATATTTTCAAAATGTTGACACTCATTGACTTACATGCATAACATTTCAATAGTGTCCTGAAACAACTTTTGCTAAGATACTAGAATTGAATCTAGGTTTAGCATTCAATAACAAGAGAGGCTAAATAAAGCATTGTACAATTATGTTTGGTCGTATATGAACACAGACATTATTATAACAAACGTGCACATAGGGCTATGGTGTGTGAGTGTTGAACAATCAGTTGTTGTTTGTTAACACTAGCCAACTGTGTTTCCAGACTTACATAGATGAAATATGTATTATATGTAAATCGGGAGAGTATATATCGAAAGAGGAGGTATACACATTTAGCTCACCTGGTCCAAAATACATTTTTAGGTAAAGGGGAATTAGCATTGTATAAACGTTAGGTATTGGTCGTTCTAGGAGAGGAAGGGGCGGGACCAGTGGGGAAAAATTATCTAAAATCCTACTACATGTGTAGGAATGATGCCCAAATGTGGTCTTAAGTATTCTTGGGTGAAGGGGAATTATTTCTATGTATTAAACGGTGGTGCCCTCCTGGGGTTTAGAATTTAGATCCTTAGCGTCATTGGCGAGTGCCAGTTTGACGAGATAGCTACATGATGCAGTTTAATTATCTAATTGGCTCTGCTATATCTTACTCTGAATTTGTATTAAAAGATAGCATTCACTTGTTTGTCTTTTGTACTATCCTCTTGTATATTTCCCAAGAAATATTTGGATAAAATTTTGTAATAGAGAAATTGATGCTTTCATCAAAATAACAAGGTTGTTTCTTTAATCTATGCTTAAAGCGAGTCTAGTTATTGTTGTTTTGTTGTGTAAACATAAATATAAAATTGTTATGTAGTTTCCTTGGCATTGGCAATGTAAAGATATAATGTTAAGTTGCTAAGGTTAATGACTGATATTCGAGATTATTGTCTTCTTTCATTAACAAGGTGCAGTTAGAAAATTTCTTCTATAACCAGTTACCACGTTACAATGTAAGTTGTTGAATTTGATTAAAATCAGCTGTTACGGAACTTGTGTTCGAAGTGCTATGGTTGTACAGGTGTAGTAGATAAAGCTGTGTAACAGTTCATTTTAATTGGATTGCAATATTGTTGCTGATGCAAGATGTAATAATAACACAAGTTTAATTAGAATATTTATTTGTAATGCAAATTATACTTAAGTACATCAACACAAAATGTTGGATTCTGCTACCATATCATTGTTCCTTTGTACTGCCAAATAAATAACTAAGATATTCTGAAATAATAAATTCTGGTATTCTTATCACAAAATAATTAGTCAGGGAGCGTTTAAAATTTCATTGTATCTATGGAGATGAATTACCCGAATTGTGTGTTTAGCACTAAATTTGAGGTGTTGATTTTTCCACATAATTTGTTTGCACGACGATCTGTGACCAAACTAAAGACAAAGTTGAGACGACAGGTGAATGTTTTATTTTCATTTTCAATTACATTTACTTTGTATCAAATTTCCAGTTTGTGCATGTATTTCATATTTTAAACCTTACAATGTATATATCGAAATTGTTATTTTCAAATCGATAAAAAAAAAGAAAACCACTCGAAAATACCAACAAAATTGTGATTAGAGATTTATTCGAAGAACACGGAAAAAAGAGTCATAAAAGTATGCCCAGGAAGGGTGTATTTTTCGTTACCAGTATCATAATGCTTACTAAAAAGTTGTAGCAATGGCAAAGTAAAATCAAGATATTCGGGGAATGTGTATGAGTCTGTCGTATCCTTTATTTTCAATTCTACAGGGGATATTCCATGGTCATCTAATTTCTTGTTTTATAAATCGAAAACTCATATCAATATATCAAATTAAAGGCCTTTGTTACCAGATTCTTTAAGCTTTTAGATAAATTTAGTTTTGTCTGAAAACAAGAACAAGTCAGCTGTGAGAAATGGAACAAGCTGTCTACACAATACAGGGTTTTGAGGAGATGCCAGTTGATGAGATTTGAATAGACATCTTACATTTTACATCTCAAATTCAGCACTACGATATGTACTCGGTATGATCAAAGGGAGCAGGAGTATTTCATCGCCACACCATGTACAGATCAGGTCCAAATGTCCGGCATTTGCTCCCTCATTACTATGTAGTAACTTCATCCAAACCACAGTATATTAACCAGTTTATGACTAATACAAACTTGACAAGGAGACTTTATATCTGAATACCATAAATAAAATCATTGTACAACCATTGCACCTATGTCATTTACACCATAAATCCGAAGACATTGACGATATTTGCAGGAGATTAGAGGAGATATTTATTGCTTCTTTGTAAACACGCTCTGATGATCATTTAAATAAAAGAACAATAAATTTTTCCCATGTTGCTCTTGTATGCTACCAGAGTACTGTTACAACAGCTGAATGGAAGGTGACGGAGCTCGTCACAGATAACATTATCAGTGTAAACACTTAACATTCCTATGAGGTCGAAATCCGCCCTGTTATGTCATAATAAGTGGACGGCCAAGTCAGTTATTCACTGACTGGTCAATGTGTTGACCACATGCATGTTGAAGGAGAATGGACATAAGCAGCAAGAAGGATACTAAACGACATAAAGAATTTAAGGTAATTATTTCCATTAATTTTAATTTTTCATTTTTACTTATTACAGCTGACAATATAACCAACATATTGATATTTATTCATACTTATGTAATCTCAAATGATATATAATTCAATTTCATGACCAATAATTGCAGGCGTTGTCTAAATAATTATAATATTATCAACAACATAAAAGTGATGACTACCATTTTGAGAAAAAAAATTAGTCTTTGTCGATATGCAAATGTACAATACCGAATGCTGCATAAATTTGTTGAACGATCTTACCAGAGCTGTTATTTCACCTGTCGTAGGTAAAATGTGTATTACGAAAACAATTATCTTATTAAGTTTAATTACTAATAATTGCAGCATGGTTCATGATATTGGGTAGGTATTGTTTAAATATTAATATTATTTACAACAGAAAAAGTGATGATTATCGTTTTGAGAATGCAATAGTTGGTTCTTTATCAATACGCAAATGTACAAAACACCTTTGCTGCATTAAAATTGTTGAACTGCCCCTTTCACGCTGAAGACACAAAACAAAGCAAATAACAGAAACACATTTAACGTTGTGCATACTGTTGTTAAAGATTTTCTTTTGAACCATTTTTTATCACAATGAAAGACTGTTTTAGAGGCTGATACTGTAGTTTCTTTTACATTGTGTAATTTTATTTTTAGTTCAATATCTGTACTCATAAGAACATATTGTAGATAGTTTTCTTAATATAGAATCAAGTATCATATCATCATTCATGTGTATTGTGACCGGATGTGAAAACTTCGTTCTATACTGAAACGCATATTTGCTATTGTGACCTATTGCGTTTACATGGCGACCTCCATATTTTGACTTTCTGTGAGAGCTACCCTTGTAATCTATCCATTGTAACCTTCATTTTGTCTCAGAATATTTCATTGATATAAACAATCAATAGGATTAGATAGCAGGCTTAATTCTTTATAAGTCTTCTCCGAAGATAACACTGTGATCACACAGAAATATAATACACCATAAACATTGTTACCTTATGTGAGATATTTCCCCGTATTATATATTACGGCCTGCATATACTGTTGGGATCCTCTATGTGACTTAAATGTGCTTACCATGAAACCTACGTTCCATATCATCATTTGGGAGAACTCTTCTTGCGTTCTATATAACGACCAACATTCTCTCCAATGACCTAGTCCACATGTTCTATATAACGACCAACATTCTCTATTGTGACCTCATATTTGACGCCTTTCTTTGATTTATATTAGGATATTCTCCAATGGAACCCGCTGTGAAAACTGTGTATGTTCTACATTTTGACGTATGTTCCATGTCATTGCTTTCTGGGAGAGGCTTCCTTGTATTCTGTATGAGGACTTGCGTTCTCTATTGTCAACTGATGTTTCTCTGTCTTATGTAATGACCGACATTTTCTATTGGGATCTACTGTGAAGTCTGTCTATGGTCTTCTTACTTTTTCTGCTATGACTGGCATTCTCTATTGCGACCGGAGGTGAAAGCTCTTGTGGTGTTCTATATTAAAGTTGTTTATTTATTGTGATATGCTGTCATTACGTGCTGTATTGTAACATTCGTTCTGTATTGTGACCGCTGTCTCACTGACAGACATGTAAACAGGATCTTCGTATCTATGAATGGGCAAATTATTTGTTTAGATTACATTTTTGCAATAATCGCACCACACGTAAAATCCTGTAGCTAGACCTACGTCTATCTACTATGGTAATTACATTAATGATGCATACAAAATAAGTACAAGGCGGTTTGCCGTTACCTGCATGTAACGTTTTGATTCATTCGCATATTGACAAGGTTCAGAACAAACATATATACCTGACATCATTCCATACTGGGGGAGGGGAAGGGGGTTGTAAATGCGTCTCACTATCAGGTTGCAATATTTATTTCGACAAAGTGCACAGATTGAATTTACTTTGTTCTCTGGTTTTCAGCATTTGTTGTATTGGATCGATGGCCATCGTCATCGTTTATTTCAATATATTTCAGATGCGAAGATTTATGAGTTCTTGAAGTTTCGAAGTTCAAGACTCGATTTACAAGATGTATAAATATCTTCCACATTCCCCGAGATTTATTTAATTTACAATCGCAATGTAAATGGTTTAATATATCATAGAAAATGATAAAGCCAAGACTCTCCCTAGTATAATGACTTTAAACTAACTACAATATATAAATATTATAATATCATATGGTATAAATGAATACGTAAAACTAATGGTTGTACAAAGGATATAAAAGTGAATATCGCCTTTCAATCAATCAAATAAATATACCAAATGATAAATTCAACGAAAATAAATTATATTTATGGATTTGGAAATTAACAAGCTCCGTATATTAAATTTCAATGTTGGGTTATTTGAAACTCAAGAACATACAATTAATATGTACTGTGATACTAATCCTTGGAATAACGACACGTGATACTTGATTTATCTTCATTTCTTTTTGTAACCTGTTTTGGAGGTCCACTGTCATTCCATAATCAGGAAATGGTGTTGATGATGGAATTTATCTTAATTCTCCCGAATTATATCCCACGAATCTTGTTCTTGTCAGAACATTTTGTAAATTACACATCAACACAAAATACCTGTAGTTGTCAACATTCCACGTCAACACTCTGATCATAAACATTTTCATATCCTTGTCTAACTAGATGAGTTGCCAATATATAATACACATGACTATAACTGTATCAAAACTAAAACTACAGATCAAATGATTTCTATATCATGTAACGTCATCATGCAGATAATTTACTATTGAAGCAGACCTATAATTCACTCATTACACCTATACAATTTTCTGCTGTAATTTTGTAATTATAAATATCCCTCTGGATCAAACGATGTTGCTAGTCTAGATATATTGCTGTATATCTTGAGATTCGTGGTCATGTGTTGAGCCTTTTAAGATCTTACTGTGAAATTATTAATTTTCAAGAATTTTTTTTCGAAAATAAACCTGGTATTTTTTAAGCCGTGACTTATATGTGTTTATGCTGAGGAGGGCATTGATTACAGACTTAGCCAAATGAAACACGATTCAGTGCAACATATGTATTAATATGTCGAAGGTAGATTTTAAATAGTGTTATCGTAGACGATGGCTATATCCGAAAACATACGTCATTCACTTCTCTGTTATGACGAGATATCGATTTCAGTTTTCCAGCGATTAAGTAGCAAAACCATATATAAATACCTCCCGAGCCTCGCTTATCTATAAAACGTATCGCGGCAACACGACACCACAGTTTGTAGTATTTTCTTTATCTGTATAGGAAGCAAATGTACATTTCTTGAAGAGTGTACATAACTATTAACTCTCTGTTCTATTGTTGAATTTCAGACGATGTGGACGTTGTTGCCTATTGTGATCCTTAAAGTAATCCAGTTACAGGTTGGTCTAGTTCTGTTTTTATGTGCATAGTCGTATAATTTCTACACCAGAGATAGAATGCTGGTGCTATCAATTCGATTGATTGCTTTGTAAATAATACCGGTCCGGAATTATTTGATGATTCAGATTCAGGTAAAGAAAAAACAGCACGAGATATCAGGACGTTGTTGAGCACGAAGTATGTTAAAAAGAAAAAGGCGTTGTTGAGAATGAAGTATGTAATAAATTCGGAACGATCCTGAGAATAAAGCCGCGTTTTAATTCTTTAAAATAGCCTAAGAATATACGCGTGTATTTGACGTTATCAGACATATAATAATTCATAGTACACTTTTCCATTTAGATTTTTTTTCGATCACTTTCGATTTTCTCCAGTCACCTTCTAGGTTTCAAAAATAAGGCCCTAAGCATCACTGATGAACCCTAAGATGCTATCACTTGCGTGTCTTGAGTACAAACTTGGACGCTTACTCTTCAGAGACATATTGCCTTCTTCTCATTGTACGTTTGCAGGAGTTGCACATCTTTCTTTTGTTCACAGCTTGCCCTATTTTTATTGGATATTAAGTCTGAATTATGACTACGTTCATATGTTGGGATTATCTTGTTATTTTTGAGGGGTTTCTGCATTGGATACCATACCAGTTTGACGTCTCTAACAATAATATATTAAGTTCTGCCGATTTATAAGTCCTTTTTATTCGACCCTGATTTTCATTACATTTTAAACATTCAAGAAAGGTCGAATTCATTGATATCAGTACCATTGAAAAAGCTCAAGAGATGTGAAATCTGAAGGAACATATCATGCGGATCAACGTCAAAGTTCATCCATGTAAGTTTCTTAAAGTGAAGAAATAACAAGAGAAAGACCTGGAATAGCTTTCTTTCAAATCTTTATTTATGATTATGTCAAGGTCTGCACTCTTCATTCAGACTCTTTGTACGTGTTTTTCATGTCTCCACTTATTTTTAGCGATTCATCCTTTGTTATACGTTATTATAGATTTCACTCGTTTGAACTCTTGTATTAATAATTTCCTGTTGATATCTTTCACTCCTGAAGCAATGACCCTTGTGTATCAGGTATTAAACAGCATCCTGTTGGGAGGGTAACCAATTTCCTTTGTCAGTGTATTGTCATCATATTTGATATATCGGATACAGGTACTTGTAATACAAATCTCGTGATAGGTCAAGGGCGTGATAATTAGTCATGTAGATTATTATAAGAATTCATCATCATATAAACGATTGCGATAAGCAATGTTATATATATCACTATGTGAGAGTACTGGTAGTGAATGTTCAACAATGTTACTGGAAATGGAATGAACAAAAAACACACAACATAATAGCACAAGTCTTTAAGGAAACAGAGTAGAACAGAATAATGAATTGAAATGCATAACAGTTTCGATTTTATAGGACTCTTTAATAATGCTGAACGCCAAAGGATTCGACAGTAATTGGTCGGCAGGTGCAATAGACCCATCATTTAATTTTCATGATTTTCAAATCTGATTGGATCATCAAGTATTTTCTCATTAAATTAGTCTACACATTTTTAATCAACTAATTTTTGGTGTGAATAGATTCAAACTTTGACAGAACATGAATTGCTAATAAATTGGCACGATGTAAAACGTACGGTGACAGTTAAAGCGTGTTATTTAGGGGAAAACGGTACTGACAACATAGTGAGTGAAAAGTTTGATAATGAAATGAGGTAGAGTAAGAAATGGTCGTAGTCATTTTTTTTCTACAAATATTACGGTAATTTTTACTGTCACAGCCATGATGTCAAATTTAGTTTTAGTATCCACCCCTGCCTCTTTTGGCAGCGACAATCGATGTTCAAGGACTAATATTGTCCCGTTTCCACCATGCTGTTGCATAATGACATGTTATCAATTACAAAATGATATTATTGGTGTGTTATCTACTATTCATGATTTAAGAATATAGCACTGATTTTTTTTTTTTAAAAAAGGCATATCTTTGAGGTTTTGATTTTGAATAAATTATTCAATTGATATTTATTTCCCAGTCTTAACACACAGGTTTATTTTCCGGAACTTTTCTTTTGAAATAGAACAAGCAGAAAATTACTTTTCCATCATTTATATCGTATTGTATACCATTTTCAGAACGTATCGTAACAATAACTTAAGCTGTTTACTAATAGGAAACTGGTGGAACCATACTTCCCAATCCGGAGTGCGGAAATACTAAAGGCTGCTACCCGGAATCGTGTCCTGTTAATGGATGTCCAGATTTCTTCATGAGCTGGGAGGACGCTGGAGACTACCTCCGATTTGTGATGACGTTTGAAATATCTGCTGGTGATGATCAGTGGGTTGCCATAGCATTTTCAAAGGACACAGCTATGGTAGGAACAATATATAATTTATGATCATAACAATGCGTGACAACATGAAATGTTTACATAATGCTATTCGATGATCACTAATATATCTCTCTTTATGTTAACATTCTGTTTCTTGGTTATTCAAACTTAAATGTGATCTTATTCAATGACGTTTCATCCTTGTGTAATTTGTTACATTTCAGACAGATTCCAGTGTAGTTATGTGTAGATTGGAGGGCGGTGCCACGTTGGTAGAAATGGGTCATACTTCTACAGTGGGTTTCTCCTACACAACTTTATCGGTACGAGCATTTACACATAGTTTGTAACGGTTGCTGAAATCTTTACCACATGTTTATCTTACCTCGTACGCCTCATGAAGGTGTAAATATACGTATGTCTTAGCTCGAATTGATGTTCTTCATGGATCCAATGGTGCATTATTGTGTTTAACGTCGTAAATAGTATACCAAACGTACCATCTTCCCAATTAGAGGCTGTATGATAATACACTGTAAAGCTAAGCAACAGGTATTTAACGTCTGACAGCTTGTAGGCTTACGTAAAATCAACGGTTTTATGTGTTTCCACCCGGCTTTTGTTGACCGCTATTTTGATAAATCAGATATATTTGTTAAGACAATTAAATGACATAATTATTGGTACTGGTACTGACCTTGAAATATCATTATTTTATACATATTAATTGGTGTTGCCCTTGACATCTTGTTGTTATATATAGTAACTGGTTCTAACCTTGAACTATCATTTTTGTTATATATAGTAACTGGTATTGACCTTGACATATTGTTGTTATATATAGTAACTGGTACTGACCTTGAGATATCATTGTTGTTATATATAGTAACTGGTACTGACCTTGAGATATGATTGTTGTTATATATAGTAACTGGTACTGACCTTGAGATATCATTGTTGTTATATATAGTAACTGGTACTGACCTTGACATAATGTTGTTTTATATATAGTAACTGGTACTGACCTTGATATAACATTATTGTTATATATAGTAACTGGTACTGACCTTGACATAATGTTGTTATATATATAGTAACTGGTACTGACCTTGATATAACATTATTGTTATATTTAATACCTGGTTCTTACCTGTTACAGAGTAACTATGGTCTACAAAATGCAGCTGTAAGTCGCAATGGAACTGAGGTTGTCTGCTCATTCGATCGGATAATAAACGCAACTCAAAATGAGGCTCAAATATTTGACCTTGATCAGCCTTTGCATCTCCTTCATGCTAAAGGTACCATCGCCACAGGTACGTTTTTGATGATTCAAAATAAAGTAGAATTTCAACTACTGAACGGATAAAACAATTTTGTTCTCGTGTCGTTTTAGTACACTATGCAGTTGACAATGCCAAATTTTTTTTTCATTATATATATATTTATTCTTGTGTTCCCGATCAATACCATTAATCCTAGAAAGTATTCTGACAAATATTTTAAATACTTCTGCTTCCTCGCTCGAGAAGTAATATTCTAAAAGTTTCTTGTCACTTTACGTTAGTGAATAGCACCTTTATCAATACAGATATGATTTAGATTCAACATAGTCTGATAATGAATGAATCATACATCAGTGGTTTACCTTTCTCAGGAAGCCCGAATTACCATAGTAGCCGATCTTTTACAACGGAAACTATAGACTTCCTCAATGTGACGCAGTCGACTCCAATAACTACACCTCCTAACACGCCTTCAACTGCACCGGTGAGATTTGGAACACATCGATAAAATCCGATTATCCAAATCGCAATTCTCTTAAAATATATATAGTTAAAGCTAAGTGTCAGTCTATATACCTTCTAGAAATGAAATCGTAATGCCTTAAAAAGTGACTATTTGAAACTAAATTGTTCTTTATAAGCATATTTTGGATGGTTTAGTTGCAAATTCTGTCTATGCAACCTCAGTAGAAAACAACGACATGGTGATTTTTTGGTGATATTTTGCCTATCTAATCACATATTTTAACTTCCTTCTTACCTGATTTCAATTTTCTTCCCCAGCCAGGAGGATCCGTTACACTAGATCCTGCGTGTGGAGTGTCTAAGGGATGCTTTTCTGACTGTGAAGACTCCGGCTGTTCTGTGCTCGTCAAGTGGATCACTATTGACGAAGAGAACATAGAATTCGAAATATCCGCAGATGTCCCGACAGGATCGAATAACTGGGTTGCAATAGGATTCTCATCTGATAAGTCAATGGTAAAAATTGCATCTTCCATCACAGTCTAATGTACAGCATATTCGATCAATGAGTTAAGCAGTTTCATATTGCTGTTTCGTTCTTCTAGGACTTGTCAGCGATGGCAAGGGTCTGGAATTCTCGTAGACGGTTGTGGTAATCTCATGCAGATGGGGAAATGCTTTTATATCAAACTTTTCTTCAAAATTTTTTTAAATGTTGTTTCATATATTGTAAAGCTTTTCAAGGTCCAGTAACATCATTCTGGGCATGATATACGGGCTTGTTGCATGCAGGATAAATTTTGCGGGCGGGCAAATATTTGGGTTAGTTTCGTATAGAAGTTTCCTATTGGAAGCGTGGTACCAGCATGACACTTATGTATTCTCCGTGTGATCTGCGTGCTAAACGCATGGATGACGCGTGGGTGCTTTCAGTATGGTCTATGTTATTTCCCGGCCACAAATGGGCACTTTGGGCTTTTGCTGCTTGCGAAGTGCGTAATACCTTTGTGGGAGTTGCCATCGAGGCCCAAGGGCATATAAATACTTTTCGGGTATGCAGCCAGAAGTCAGTGTATGCTCTATTTCCTACTTATTTTGATGTGATATAAATGCACTTGTACATGCATGAAGCCCAGATGTGTCTTCATGATTCCCAGTGGATACTGAAAGCTTACCCTGTTAGCTTTCCAGAATAGAGATCCTCTTGATTCAATTTAAAACTGCTGCGAACTTTCTTTAGTTGTTCTGCGTGGACCTCTGCAGGCCAACTCCCGCAACTTACCCGGAACATGTTTCGAACATCGTTAAAACATGGTTACGGGCTTAACGGACTCCTGTGCACTCGGATGCCGCTAGATGCGGACCATATGCGAGAGCTCCGATAAGCAAATATGCCCCTGCAAATAGCACGCAAAGATGGTGCATCTGTGTCTTTAAATTACGTTCTTATCAAAATTAATGTGAAAGATGTAAGAAAGTTTCTGTTGATATTTGAATTAAGTACAAATGAAATTTGAAAATTTTATCAGGGGTCAGACAGCGTTGTAGCCTGCGTCAATTCCGGCACAGTGTCTGTCCAGACCGGATACAACACCGGCAAAAGTTACGGATCACTCACGCCAGTATGTAATGTATACACATTTGTAATCAAATGATATTTTCTGTTGCTAGTATCTTTTGCCAGTTACCTATTGAATAATGATTTATACGCAATTGTGAATTTCACCAACAGATAATATCTGTATCTTATTTGTCTTTTTAATTAACAGTTTGCCAGTAATTAGCAGATATTGGTTCATAATTAATGGAACGAACATCATTTAATTTCTCAATTATTTAACAAATTACTTTTGTTAAGGTTAATGAATATAGACAATGTAGTAAGTTGATCGGCTACAAGTACTACGGGTAGACTCATTTATTAGCTGACACAACTACGCTGTATGTGAACATTAATTGTTTATGTTACAGGATACTCTTGGTCTTTCATCCATATCCGGCAGCGTGGTGAACTCTGTTCTAAACTGCAAGTTTACAAGGCAAACCAATATCACAGGGGAATCGTCATTCTTCGATATCCGACAGGATTGGTATCTTCTCTTCGCTCGCGGACCTGTAGTGTCAGGTGCATATGATATATTTTTTGTGTACTTTGCGTAGTAGAAAATGAAAATATCCTATTGATAGCCTTTCTTGTTTTAATCGTAAGTAAATGATAACATGATAAAAAAAATATGAGAAGAAGGAAAAAATAAAGAAAAAGATTGAGAAGGTTTGCGTGTGTTACTCACAAATAAACTCATTTAACCAAGTTACTTTTTGAAATATTGTTGAAGGTGTCATACGACGGCATAGCGGAACTCTTATAAGTGATGAGACTGTTGATTTCCTGTCTAGTGACCTTCAGACAGGAGGAAAATTGTCCTACGTCCTAGTCCAGGTTCACGGTGGGTACAGAGTATTACCTTACCAGCAGAAATGGTTGTTTTAGGCTTTGAATTACAAATGTTATTTCGTCCAATCGAAAACACTGCTCACCGTTCGGCCTTCAGTATTAAATCTGATGGTTACGTGGGCTTTTTTATATATATTTCCGATTTCTTTGTAATTTATTTGAAATTGAACGAACTTTGTAATGATCAATAAAGTAAATTGCTATTGCATTACCATAATTTGCATCGTTTACGATTTACAAACAAAACCCAGATGGCGATTGTTGGTCTTTATCCAAGTTTTCTCTGATATATTATACAATAAATTGTTGATAAGGTCACAAAAATAAATATACGACCATCTCAGTTTTGTAGGAACTTCCTGAATGTGATGGAATACATACACACATTCTGTCCTTTATAAGGTGGATAATGGTTACTTTTTCTGATGATGTAATTTCACTTTTGATTTCAGCACACGGAGGTCTGTGTATTTTGTATATAATATTAACATGCGTTATGTACATAATTTCCAATTTTGTCTCAGGTTCACTCATGGTTGTGGCCTGGGTTTTGTTCTCTAGTATCGGCATCTTCATCGCACGATACCTCAAGCCGATGTGGCCTAATTCCACGCTACTTGGACAGAAAGTCTGGTTTCAGGTATTCAAAAGTTACCTTATATTAAGATTAAAGTTCACAAAATATTTGATCTCATAATGCGCCTGATATGAAATTAAAAAAAGATATAAGTATTATCTTAAATGCCTTTAAGAGAGCGTAGCTTTCTACAAAAGGAATGAATCTCTTAGATATTGCTATTTAAGTACGTAACTATACAGAAACTAATTATGATTACTTCCTCCTTGACAAGTATTTCACTTGGAAATTATGTGATAAAGGAATCAGTAGTCTTATGATAACACTGTGCGGTTACATGTCTTCGCTGTCAACATAATTTAGCGCTTTTTGCGTTGAAATTATTGCACTAGGTGCAGTTTCAATATGCTACTTGTATAGTAATTATTGTTGATGCACGAATACCACAAAAGATAGTTTTATCCATGTCACGGTTGTGCCGAAGTATGCATATCGATGCCAAGATAATTACAAAATAGTAATAAAATCAATTATTCAATAAAACCAGAAGTTTGGACGTCTTTACTTGTTCAATAATAGCTTTTTCATCATAAATTCTTAATACAAAACACCAGGTGTTACCAAAAGCTGTGGTCTTCACAGGATTACCTCTTTCTTATTGTATAAACGCCATTGTGCTTTTTTGATTAAACCTGAAAAGTTTATATAATTTCAATCGATCTTCTTGTAGATTCACAGAACGTGTATGATAACCGTATTGTTACTCACTGCAACAGGTTTTGTCGTAATATTTATTGAAGTTGGTGGATATGCTGATGAGGTAAGTATCCTATAAATAACGATTGGTAATATATTTAGGCCTAAAACCAATGCAAGCAAAATAATAATATATAAAAAAAGGTTTTGCAATAATTCGCAATAGACTTTAATTATTATTTTCAATATCGTTTTAAATTTCTGCCTCGCACTTATCTGTATTTTGTACGATCCTATGGAACTCTCTAAGAACGAATAATTTCTCAGTTTTTTCCCGATAGGTTGGCATTTCGGATGAGAATAATTCCTTTGCTACTTACCATCCTATTCTTGGTATAGTCGTTATGGCACTCACAGTCCTGAACGTAAGTACACGGGATATTAATATATCATAAGGGCCAACCTACATTCAGATGTTATGTAAACCACCTTTTCTGTATCATATAACAGCCAACGCTTACTCCACTTCCACTTTAATCCAATGTATTATAAATCTATTATTCAAATATACATTAATCTTAAGTAGAGTAGACAAACTCATTTACATTCAATTAATGATGCCACGAAGTCATAAAAGACACTGTTAGTAACGCTTAATTTAATAGCAAATGATCTCGATTTAAATTACATTACAGCTGAATACACACTGAATTAATCTTTACTTATTAATTGACAGCCACTTATAGCGTTGTGTAGATGTGCTCCGGATCACAAGAGGAGACCCATCTTTAATTTTTATCATTGGTTTTTCGGGACTAGTGCACATATTTTAGCAGGTAAGATTTTACATATTGTTCACATCACCTGGTAAATAAACGTTTTTGATAATGTTTCATGAGTCTAACTCACACACATTAGAACAATAAGCTTTCACATATGTATTACCCTTCTTTCAGCCCTCATGCACATGAAAATGTTCATTTAGCTGAATATTTCTAAGTAACACTGATACTGTCCACTCGACTTATCAAAATATTTAATTTGATGCAAATGCCTGGTATGTTGTTTTTGTTGTTATATACGGTATCGGTATGTCAACAATTTTGTATTCACAAAAGATGTGGATAATTTGCTGATACATATATCTTACTAACATATATTTTGTTGTTGTATATATTTTCTTTTATTGTATAAAAGAGATATTTAAAACTTTAAATTTATATTTTACAGCCGTGACGATTGTATTTGCCACATATTTGGACAAATCCAACGTTCCAACGAGTGCAACATACATAGGAATATCCTATATTTGTGTGTTTGTCTTTCTCGAGATAATTTTGGAACTATACATGCGTATCTGTAACAGAAAGTCAGGTATGTTCTGATATCATTTTTGGAATTTCATTATAAATAATTGGACTGTAAGCAAAATTAACGGTGAAGATGATTAAAGTGACAAATAACACATGTTTGAAATGTCATGTCTATATACCAATTTGCCGTTTTTAGCGGACTACATGGCACTTACGTGTTTTCTACTGAAATGAACACAAGTAAGAAATTGCATATACCATCCTATTAATGGAAAATTGGGTACTCGCAGATGACATTAATAATGTATATATATATGACCAAAATGTTATTCTCTAGATTTATATTTCAGTTAGAACACTTGACCTGGAGCTCAAGCGACAGGGAGATGACACAACGTCTGATGTTTCTAAATCAGCTGTCAAACAGGTCCGTCTGAAACTACTGTATCCAATGTCTAGGCAAATAAATTGTGATAAATACAGTATTTACGATACGGTTTTTGCTGGAAAAAATCCAGCTATACAAGAGTATTTACTGTAAGCTGATATTTGGTATGAAGCGGTAGGATACTTTTTAGAAAGTAGGGAGTGAACATCTACAAATTGTATATAAAATGATATTTTTCAGTACTCAGGTCGCTTTTAGCAATTTCAAAATGCACTGATACTTATAGCGAATATTTGACATTATTTTGAATGATGAAATAGATAGATTTGCATTTTAACAATTTACAATTACCGTAGGTCATAACATGTACTTACTTTTTCTGTCAATAACCCTTTTAAAATTTGTTTCTTTGTACGGGTTTATCAATTCGACTTCAATCTCTTTCAGAACGTCACACCATTTGCTAAATTACTGCTTGGCATACAACTGTTGTCGATGCTTTCCTTGGCGACTGCCTTTATTGTTCTAATAGTCAAAGGATCTGACGAATGAAAGCTTCGAATTGCCATCCCTCAAGAAGAGAATCGTTTATTAGAAAGTCATAGAACAAATATTGTATATCTCTTTACATAAATAATTTTAATTTTTATACGCTACTTTAATTTTTCTGCTTCTTCTATCTCGTTGAGAATTGATAATTATTTGTTGCTAAGCAGAGGAACTTTTACTTTTGGAAGAAATATCACGCTTTGTTTTTAAGTTAAAACTAACTTGTGATTAGTGTTGTTAATATTGCCTGTGATACTATACAGTTGTTTTATTTCCTTGTAACACTGTACTATTTTGCAACAATAAAGGAACTGAATTACCTTTTTATACCATAGCAGTGTTGGAATGTTTGTGTGGACGACAAGTGTACAGACGAAAGAAAATATTGTCAGCGATCAGATGTAATTACAGTATAAATTATATGTGAAAGAGACTATTTATTGTTATGTAAACAAAGATTCACTGTCTTTATTTTGACGGTGGATATATACTGAAAGAATAAAGAAACGCAGGGTAATATTTATTCCGATATTTTGAAAACGCGTTCTCCAAATAAAGTGAAACTTTGTGGATTGAGTAATTAGGTCATATTACACCTTGTCATGTATCGAAAATTTAGTCACGGTACAGTGCGCAGCTCTGGTAAATGGAGGAAGGAAAAAACAAGAATCTCGTGTACGGTGTTGTTCTGGTCTCATGCAGCGTTGGTCAAGTCACTCTTCGTTAGTCTTTATACAGACCAACTGCTTCCCTAAAATTAATTGAGAATTTGATTCGTTTTAAGAATGGCACGACTCACAGAAGTTCAGAGGGGTCAGGCCATTCGGATGCTGATGCAAGGACAGCTGCAAAATCAGGTTGCTAGGCACCTTGGTGTTAATGTTTCCACCATAGAACGTCTTTGTAAGACGTCTTTGGGAAACTGGGCGATTGGCCGATCGACCTAGGTCAGGACGTCCGCGCGTAACGTCACGACGTCAGGATCGCTATATCGTCGTCTCTCATGTACGTAATCGGCGCCTTACTGCCGTTGAGAGTGCACTTAATGTTCGTGGAAATCATGGGCATCCTATAAGTTCAAAAACTGTAAGGAATCGATCACGAGTAGTTGGTGTAAGAGCACGTCGCCCCTACGTAGGTCCACACCTTACCCCTGCTCGACGTCAGCGCCGTATGGCCTAGGTCGCTGCACATGCTCCACGACGGTTTCGATTGAGGCAGAGTAGACAAGTTTTCTTCACGGATGAGTCTCGATTCTGTCTTTATCGATCTGACGGCCGTCAACGTGTCTACCGACGTCGTGGCGAACGTTTTACGGAGGCTTGCGTTGTAGAGAGGGATAGGTTTGGGGAGGAATCTCACACGGGTTAAAATCACAATTGGTTGTTATTGATGGCAATTTAACAGCAGCTAAGTATAGAAATGAGATCCTCCGACCCCATGTTATCTCTCTCTTACAGCAGCATAATCTAACCCTCCGGCAGGATAATGCTAGGCCCCACGTAGCAAGGATTTGCCAAGTCTTTCTGGCCAACAACAACATTCAACCACTAGATTGGCCGCCATATAGCCCTGATTTGTCCCCGATCGAGCATCTTTGAGACCAGTTGGATAGACAGGTTCGAAAGCGCCAGCCACCCCCTGCTACTCGAGAGCAGTTGACCAGAGCTCTGATTGAAGAGTGGGACAACATCCCCATAAGACGGATTAACGCTCTCATGAACTCTATGACCAGAAGAATAAGGGCCGTGACCCAACAAACGGCGGACACACAAGATATTGATGACTCAGTTCAATTTCAATTTCAAAATCCTATGAGTCCATTCAATTTAATTTTAGTACCTCTAAACCAATTGTCAGATGCAAAATATAGACTTTGGAAATTTTTAAGCTTTAATTTATCTGTAAGTATACAAAATTTCGTTTTAAATGAATTTATGCCATTCCCAAAAATCGAAAAATAATTGAACCCATCCAAATCACAGCCTTACATGTCTTACTGACTGAAAATAATGCGAATCCGTACATTTTGATATGGAAACTAAAGCTTTCTGGTGACTGACTTTCTAAACAATATTTCAGGGACTATGTTACTATGCAATATATATTATTCTTATCTGTACATATAACATTCGTACTTGAAATTCTTGTTGCATAGTCCAAATGTGTTTAAAGGTTATGCTTTGAAGAACCAGACAAATAGAAGATACACTGTGCACGGAGTAATATATGAAATACTGAAGATAATCTGATGTGTATTTGTAAGTTGTATCCGGGATAAATATCCACACAGTCAATTGTAGCGAATTAAGTTCAAAATAACTATCATATAAATTGTCTTCCCCGTAAATTTCATCTTTAATTTTCTTACATCATATATGAATGCTCCTCTTCAAATGAAAAAATACGTATTCGAAAATTAATGCATTATTGATATAACATTGGTTGTCATTGTTGATGTTTTTAAAATAATTTTTTAACAGTTGCAACAAGATGCCAGTCACGCGAAACGCGTTAAGTAAAGTATAATAAAACTAAGATATATCTTAGTTCATATCATTATTACCAGATTATCTATACACGAATGAGGACACACAGCAATCCGGAAGTGAGTGACCTAGCGGAAGTAATTGACAACTCAGTAGGCACAAACATCTCATCGGCTTTGTTGGTCACACCACTGACTGTTAAAGGCTAAGAAGGGAAGGTATGTTATTTATATAGTTTGCATGAAAAATTGAAAAGAAAATTTCGCAAACGTTATCACTTTATGGCATTGATCAAAACTGCGTATCAGTTATTCACAATGTCCATGTAATGGAAATTCAGTTATTTTGAAAATAGCGTTGTGCTTGATACTCATCTATTTATATTTATGTTTAAGTGTGTCCAGCTTATCCAAACATCCTTGATTCAACTTAAACTTAAACAACCTATCCTTGTTATTTGTTTGAGATCATTCAGATAAGAAAGAAAAAAATTAAACTCCACTCGACAAACATAATTATTGTGGCTACGCGACGTCTTCAATATGTCTCTTATATTACGTTGTATAAGGCATTGTTTCAACTTTTAGTGACTAGTTTTTCAATCCTCTAAATAACAGATTAAATCTCAGTGACCATTTATTAAACAAGTTATGCAGTCGTAATTGATTACAGAATTGGAAACAAAACAGACTATTTTTCCATCAGCTGTTTTCCTCGATCTTTTATTAAAACGAAATCAACAGGGACATCTTTTCCACAAGTAGTGTGATAAGTGTGATGATTTTAATGTTCCTATCGCGAATTTTCCATTTCTGAATTGCATCAATCCTGCGTCCCCAACCTATGATGTTTAATTGTCGCTGATGTTTCGATCTTCAAGCAAAGCCAGTTTCCAATACAACAATTTTCGTGCAAGATATTTACAACTGATCGACAAAATCACGGGTTGATAAAGATCACGGGGAAGTTTCACTTTCGTTATCACGATCTCATTGAGAATTAGCCCATATCTTTGAGCGATTTGAAGCTCTAGTGTTTCATGGTTGTTGATATACCATATGTTTCTGATCCTGTTAACCTTGTTCTCATGTTTGGCACGTGACAATGCTTACTAGAATCGACCAAGATTTACACGGATAGTTTTGATGAAGCTACAGATGCTAATCCTTTCGTGGCCCCTGACCTTTTTCATCTTGTACTTTTCTCAAGAGTCTTTGTGTAAATATCGTTCTTGTTCTTATCTTGCCAAAGTTTCTGTCATGAATTTCAAAACTGAAATGAACAACAAGGCATCAAAGCTAGACGTTATATTTTAATTCCCATTTGTACAATCTCCTTTCAAACGTTACTTTTTCATTCTTACAAGGAAATATTTTCAACATTTCAAACGATCACTTTTTATTTTCGATTGAAAATTTCAATTTGATGGAAAAGAAAATTTTCCCATATCGATAAATAGAACTATGAATTCTAAGAAAACAATCCGTGCGGTCAAGCAATGACGTAGATGATTTGAAAATTTCTTCATATAAGTACTATCTGTGGGATGTGACACATCTTGCCTATGTGTAGTAATTGACACTATCGCCGCACATATTAGTTCCACATTGTTAACAAAACATGCGTCACTGCTCTCTCATGCATGCATGACAAAACAAACTATTTCCTGTTTGACGCGCCGAGAACTCGATCATGGTGAGTATCGTCTTGTTGTAAGGATTAACAACTGCATTGAAAAATGTTCTTGCAAGTTTGAAAAATTGTATATACTCGCTAATTTCCGGACATTTTAGTATAAATACTTAAATCTATATATGTCAACCATTGATTGAATACCGTCACTAAAGCTATTTATAGTCTGATACACCCGTATTGTTAACATTGTTTACGTAAGCGCTGTACATACTTACCTACTGACAAAGGCTGCTACATCCCTGATCCCTACAGTGAAATTACAAAGCACATTGGAAATCTTCAGATTAAAACTTTTTACCTAAAACGTAAAATAACTGAGCGATTGCATTATATATATGATAAAAAGTGTTACCACATAGACAACGGATATTATAAAAATCTAGAAATTCAACACTGAATACAAATAAACACTGTACCTGATTGATATCAGAGATATGGTAATGACAGAAAAAAAAACACGATTGTGTAGATAAAATAAAAACCTTAAATTCTTCCCTCTGAAAATGGAGATGAACTGAAGACAAGATATTATCATTAAAATTAAATCTGAGGTGTCAGCATTTTTTTTATTATTATTATTTATTTTTTACCTTTCCTTACACGTTCATTTATCTTCATCTTTGCAGATGTCGTGGGCCAAACTGCTTTTTTTCCTGTTAGCTGGTTTCTACGCCCAGGTATGATGTAAATAATTATTTAACGGTGCTTAATCATATATGTATATCTGATTGTCATATTATATTGATTTGTGCTATAACATTGTTCCAATAATCATTCAATTAATATCCAGATTGTCCAGTACAATGATGAAGAAATCATCGAACGTTAATATGATAAATTTTATTCAGGAGAAAAGTGTCATAAATTGTTAGATGTAGACTGAATGTCAAATAGTCTTAGTAATAATGAATATTAACTTAACAGTAAAAAAGTAAATGTTTAATTCGTAAATGATATGTATTCCATGTTATTTTTTCTGTTTTTAACTTCTACAATTTTTTGATTTTGCGAACTTTTTAATTTTAATACAAAAATATAGTACATATTCAACTTTCGAAGATCATTTTCATATGTCATTTATCGTAGAAAGGGACATAACTGCTTCATTTTGTATTTACATTTTTAGTTTTAATACAAAAATATAGTACATAATCAACTTTCGAAGATCATTTTCATATGTCATTTATCGAAGAAAGGGACATAACTGCTTCATTTTTTATATACATTTTGTAGACTTTGTAGGTATAAATGTCATCCTGATTTTCTTCCGATAAAATGCAATAATTGATTCATCATATTCTCTCCAACTTTACACTTTTTCAACATAACAGCACATCCGGTCCTCAAAACCATTACTATGACATCATGATTTGTGTCGACCAAAATGATGATTAGTGTAATCTTGGAATCCTAGGACGACATCGTGTAAATCAAAACGGAAACAATGATTAAGATAATCGACCTTACAATATTTACCACTAAGTAATTGCTTTACAAATCAAGAATGCTGTATAATCACTTTTTATAAATGCATCTCATGATGAAAATTCATTTTGAGACAAAGTAAATTTGCCTTAATTCAAATTTCAATTTGTTCTACGCAGATACATTTAGTACATTTTGTTGTCAGTGAAATCGTGTCTTATTAATAAAGTTGTTATAGAATATAACCATCATCGTGTTAATGATTTGACCAACAACTGTTTGATTAGAAAACAAAAACAAAAACGATTAGGTGATACTATAAAACACTTTCACTCAACATTACAATTACAATTACAACAGGAATTTATATTTGAGAACTTGAAAATATAGTACTACTAACTCTACCAAGAAACCAAAGAAAGAACACTACCACATTCGTTAGATTTGTAAGCTTTAAACATCACATAATGTTCATATAAATACAAAAATATAACACAAACATGAATAACGATATCAATACTTTCAATTTCGTAATATAAGGAGGTTTCTTTTTCTATAAGATCAAAACGTATGATACGTCTCTCCGGTGCTGCTTTTTACTTTGTATTTACGTCTCTTGTATGTTGATTCTATCCAGTTGTTCTTTCTAACCATTATCAATTAAAATATTTAGCTAACTGCTGGGGTAATCCCTCCGGACCCCGAATGTGGAGTCAGGAAAACCTGTTGGCCTTCTGAATGTCCCACTGGCGGATGTGATCCATTTTTGATCAGTTGGTGGAACACCGATTTGGACTATATACGCTTTGAGATGAGGGTTGAATACGTCATACAAAGCGAACATTATATAGCACTTGGATTCTCAGAGGACAATCGGATGGTAAAAATTCCAGATCATGTATTTAAACGATCACCTTAACTCTATATCATTATATTCAATAAGTTTGATAATAGCCTGGGATTAAAGTTATTATTTAATGTTTAAGAGAAATATTGACTTTGGTATCAAACCTCGAAATTAAAGTCAAGTCAGTACACAAATAAAACGCGTTTCGAATTTTTCTCTGTTTGTATAAGGTGAAAATATATATCAAAAACTTGTTTTTATTTGACAAGCCGGACAGCAGTATTGTTATGTGCCGAAGCAATGCCAATGTGGAGCTAGGATACACACAGGGACGTTCATACGTATCTGGAACAGTATGTACATTTCAACATATACTTTATCGCAAATAACATCACATACAAAATAGAAGTATAATAGAGCTATAAAAGCTGCTTTGATGCAGAAAAAACACTCAGATCTGCTTTCATTTTTTATATCGTCTTTGAAACTGGTTTATTTGTAGAAAATATTATCAGATTTTGATTCCTGTTTGATAGTCCAAATCACAGATGCACTTAAGTACAAAGTAAGTATGCAACAGATACATCAATGATGAACTCGTAGTTAGCATTATTGGAAAATTCAAAGTATGACTAATTCCATGCAATTATACAATGAAAGAACATTGTTAAAATGTATTCCGATTATTTGGTATTTTTTTTTCTTTTTGCAAAATTTATTTTTACAGTACGTATATTTACGTTTTCATCTCACTGATGAAAACAACAGAAGTTTAAGAAACTGTAATATTTCTAAATAGAAGGAGTTTATTATCGAGTGAAGAGGACATCTCAATAGCATCCCCATGCCATTCAAATGTTGTTTACAGTCATCTAATGTAATTTACATATTAACAAATTACGTGGTTTAACTTTGTTATTGGTAACAATAAATGCAATTTACAGGACGTGTACGGGATTCGAAACGCAACATTTTCAACTGCCGATAACGTTACCACCTGCTCCTTTGACCGAATCAAGATTCCTATTAGGAACCAGAATCAGCTGAAATATCTAACCAACCCGTTCTTCATCCTTCGTGCATGGGGATCCGTAACAGGTAAGGTCATAATTGATTTCACCAACATTATACACACAGGTATCTATTTATAGCTTCTATCCTATTTCCGTGAATAAATCATTAACAAGTTTTTACATCATAAATATTTTGCCAATGTCTTGAATTAATAAATTACAAAAAAAATTCACGATTTACTCCTTACAATCAAATGTGTATGTTTTAATCACCAGTTCATAAATGATTTCCATGTTAAAAATTACATTTCCCCTTGATTCAAATACAGAGAAATATAGGCTCTCATATCAAATTTTTTAAACTAAATAATATTCTTCCCGGCAGTAAAACATATTTTTCTTCGTGTATATCGCGCAATAACATTTTAATTTTTGTATTTCATCAGGTAATGTACCCAACTATCACGGTAATGCCAACCGAGGAGTGTCACCTAATTCCTTTTCCTATCCTGTCCAAGTGGCCTCAGCACACAGGATAAAGCCACTCGCTGCAACTTTCTGCGCCAGTCTCTTGGTCTTCTTGATGTTCTATAACACTAAGAATGATAGTGGATTTTGAACACCAAATTTCTACAAGATGTTTATCTACTATTCTAGAGAATAATCACTATTTGATTAAGAATAGGGGAAAAAACCTTGATCAACTCGTAGCAATAAACTCCACAGAAAGATAAAAAAAATAATGATTTCATAGCGTTTCCGCCTGCTAGTTAACAGTGTGTAATATAGACAATATGCCACAGGGAGCATTAAATATTTGAGAAATGATGTCACTTTGATTCTGATTAAATAATGAATGTAATAGCATACTCCTAAATCTGTTCAATTTTCTGATGCTTAAAAAGAGGGGGAATGGTAATCGAAGGTTATGATATATAATGTATCTATATGCTTGAAAACAAAAACACGTCTATAGCCGAAAGTAACGTTCATTAAGAGTTTCCTGTTTAACACAATAATTGACTAGTTAGATAAACTGGTCGAATTCATAATTATCTTTTAATTTATGTATAACCATACTCGATGTTATATTAAACAGTTATTACATAACAATAACAGCATTACGTTAGCAAAAGAGTCATAAAAGGTAAACGGAAGAAGGAGGATAGAAACATATTTTGCCCTACTTTTATTGAATTTTAGTTTGAATTATGATGCTGTTTATATGTTAGTATTTTTTGTAATATTGGTAGTACTAAATTTGAAAAGAAAAAAATTGAAAAAAAATTATCTGTGAATTTTTACATTTACATTAGGAACGTCGATAATGGTCCACTAACACAGATAAAGTTGTTAGGATTTTTTGTTTGAAATTGCAGGTCTATCCTGAGTGGGTTAACTGATAGCCATAAGGTTTCTTCATATTGAACCTATTTATGGCTATGATGCAACAAAAACGCGAAATTGATGCTTATACTACCGTCATTATATATATTTGCTCTAATAAACTCACAATTCTATTAACCGGAATTTCTGCACTGTGATTACTTTTGCATGAGTATAATAATAAATAACATAACCCTTTAACGTGAAACATATAACATTGATCCCAAATCCGAATATAAATCCAGTTAACACTTTGTGTACAGTGCAATTTTAACCATTGAGAGTCTCTATAAACATCCAGTCTGTACTGTATTAGTGAAATGACGCGAGGCTTATCCCAAATGTAAACATTCGGAAAAAATACCGAACCTTTCTATAGACACCATCAATATATCCATAAGTACAGCGTTAAACATATATTAGTCCCAATCTGCTGAGACGACAGTTACAGGAAAACATACCACGTTCACTTACTGGTCAATACCCGCTCACAACCAGTTATGTGATAGGCGAGACGACGGTCTTCAGGCATTGTCCCTAAAAGTAGATAATTAACGTCACTTCAGATGAATAATTCTTATAAAATTAAGGAAAAAGTATTGCAATTAATGAAATTTTAATTCTACTCTGTGGTACACTGTTTACTATTAAACCTTTGTTTTAATAATAACAGGTTGCGGTTTATCAAACTTATTGACAGTGTTAAAAGTAAGAAAACTCCAGGAAGCAGCACTCACCATTTATTTTTGACGCTACATTTGGCAATGTTTGGCGAAGTCAATTCCACCTTTTTGTTTCAATCTACGGATGTGTTATGTCAAAGCTGACGCTCTTTGCAATGCTAATTTATATACATATGGTAGTGTTGTCGTGATTGACAGCTATAGATAGACTAGACGTTTTGTCATAAAGCATGATATCTACACCCGGACATATACACGGCGCATTCAGAGCTGACTTCCATCATCATTTATGTTACATAATTACATATCATATACCAGTCGTTGATATTCATATATATATAAAGAAAAATATGTAAATGTATACTAGATTTAAAAGTTTATCTTATATCATGAGAAACGAGACAATAGTTCATACTTTCAATACTAATTTCATCAATAAAGTTACATACTATCATTTGTTATGATTATCCCATCTATCCTGCGTCTTTTTTTCTGATTTAATGTTTTAGTAGTATGTTAGAATACCTTAGCATTACAACATCTCTTTAAATACAATATTTGTGTTATATTATGATCGATTTTCTTAGTTTTTGTTAATTTCGATAAATATCTTAATGTGTCAACATTTTTATCTTTCGGTAGTTCGTCAAAAATAAAAGAATAAAGATAAACGTTTGATAATAGAATCGTTAATAAATCCCCCAGGAGAAAAATGGGCGTGGATGGAGGAAAAGGGTTTGTGTTCTTATTGAATCTATTTCCATCATTATGATGTTCGCTATGGAATAATTTGTATTTCAAATAATTTACATCACATTTTGCTTGGTACAGAAATTGACATGTAAACAGCAAACTTTGCAGAAATGTGTTACTGAATCATAACAAAAGTTTGTTGATTCACAGCAAAAGTATATTGATTTTAAGAGTATTCTAAATCACGTGACTGTTTACAAGACGGTAGTCTCCCTTTGGTATAACCAATCCCTTTACATTGTCAATCTCAGAATTAAGGTTATAATAATACTAATAAAACAATAAAAATAATTGTAGCTGTCTTTGATGTGTTGTTATTTCTGTATAACCACGTATATCATCACTGTCATATTAAGTCCAGATTCTGTTACATGGTACTGTGACCCAAAACATTAACTGTCAATTAAACAGCTACATCTGTTTAATCGACTTAACCTCTCTTCGGAAATTGGCTTTATTTTAATTCGCGATATTTCGTCACCAGATAATCTCAAGAAAAGGATAGATTATAAGGAAAGTTTCAAGGCTTTAAGCACGCTGAATTAGCTTGCCTACCGAAAAATGCACATCTTACATAAAACTGGTTCTGTTGTTCACGTTGTCTTAATATGGAACGTGACATCACTAAACAAGGTCTACATGGCGGGTGTCGTGAAGAAGACGTTTGCCATTACAGATCACCTGGTTGTACATCATATTTTCCCTAGTTCATAGAACTGAGTTTGAGTTTGAATTAAGATTCCACAGACATGTCCGTATTTTGTGTATTTTAACCACTAGATATTGGCTTTTCATATATTTTCAAAGTTTTCATTTCTAAAAAATATGTCTAGGTAATGAGTTTTAATTGATTAATAAATGGATGAGATCTAGTGTAAACTTGATTGGAACATCTGCAAATCGACGTTTTTGTGTTTTACTCTATTTAACTAATCTGAGATAAGGCGAATAAGATGACTACAAAATTTGAGAATTCCATCTTCAGTAGCTTCATTACCAACAGAAATAATAGTTGAATATGTAGGAATTTAGATTCGAATGCTACCATCTGATGAAAAAGTGATGCATAAAAAGAGGGGGAAATGGTCACTTTCTTACTTTGATGACCATTTCAGCATACCTTACCCGGCATATACAGCATTGCTACTTTTGTATTGAAAAGTTTTTTCCATGCGTGTGTCCTTGATATGTCCGATTTTAATGACAGGTTTAATTGCTATGAGGTAGGATTTTGGTCTCCAATGTTTACTGTGACCTTTCATGACACATCTATCCTCTTGTGAATATTGATATATCATGAAAATTGGGCAACTATGAGTAAAGTTAAAGAAAACTTCAAACGGAGTCCCATTATAACAAAATAAAAATAAAAATCCCTGATGGGTAAACGTCTCCGTTTTCATCGACGACAACTCTTCACTGGTTAATTCAAGTTAGTTATGTTACCTCTATGCACAACCAACTTCGAAGAAGGCGAACTTGAAAACATACAGAGAAACAGATAGTCAATTCACAAGTCAACAGATCGTGTTATAATCAACAGAAATTAATATATTCTACAGCAGTACGGAACATTCATCTCTGTAGATAAAACATGAGTATATTGAATTGCTCATGAATACTGCCGTGATATTAGTTTGATATAAATCAATAAAATGCATCCATAAAAATTATTTCGTCACTGGATATTTCGTAAACATTTTTATGCTGTCCGAAGGGAGAACATGTAGTCGCCGCTTTGTCCGTCCGTCGTATTTTTGCTCAACACAAAAACTGTAAGATTTATCAACATAAAACTTCATAGATAGAAAGACTGATGTCAACGAGATGGAGGGCAGTGCACAAAACTAATAACAATCTTATAACTCTTTCTTATTTTCCTTACTTAAATTTTGTCCTGTTCGGTGAGCATGACCCGTCTCTGATGGCGCTTGCTTTATTAGAACAGAGTTTTTTGTACAACCAGTAATATATCTCTACTATTTATGTTACACGAACTTCTATCCTATTTCGTCATCGATTATCCCATCAGCAGATTTTGAAATGGTATCGTAATGCTGAATCATACACACTCATTTAGTTAAAAATATCCAATCGGTGTAACATTGATTTGACACAACTCGAGCGTTATCGAAAACCATTTGTTATTTGTATACATTCTTCATTGTTTCATTTAAAAAAAAAAAACATTCACATACTAACGACGACCTACATCTATATCATGATCATATCATCTGATAATGAGTGTTAGGTCAAGGGAAAGAATATCAAAGAAATATTTATAAACATGGAAGGTAGAAATGATGGTTTAAGAACAGTTTGAAGCAGTGAAAAAAGGTTATGGAGGCTATATCTAAAAGCACGCTATTCTAGTTGACTATGATTTGTGGAAAGAAGAATCGAATCTTCAGGTCAAATCGTCCAATATATGTATTCGAACTTACACATGAAGCATAACAGATAGAAATTAAAGTTTTATTTTCGTTTGTATGTCTGTCTTTGCACAATTCTTTCATCCGTAATGAAAGTACTTTAAACTATCACTTTGTATTTTCTCTTCAGAATGTTTAGTTAACTGGAAGAGAAAACATCCGTATCCATTAGAAGAATCACAAAGTCATAGAATAAAATACGCGTGGCTGATAATTAATGAATTTAAATGAGGAGTCCTTCCTAAAATTATAGGTTTTAGACTGTAACAAATCAATCTTTAGCTAATGGCACCGTCACGACATACAATAGTTCTTATGTCTAACGAAAACGTATCCTTCTGAAGCAAACATACCAGGTGTGAGCAGATACAGTCATATTTCTGTAATATTTCTCATTACACATACATGACAGTATGTCCATGTATATGTTGTATGACGCACTGAGAACTAGAATATAGTGAGTATCGTCTGATTAGATTACTTAGTTTGATATAATAAACTATTTAATAGTGCTATACTGTGCTTACTCAACGATTTCAGATAGTTTTCGTTTATTCAGAATAAAAACATATTTAAAGCAATTGCCCGGGTACAGTCTCTGAAACTATTTATAGCCTGAACACCCTATATAATTAACATTGGTTTGGTACTCGCTATGACTTTTCACATATAGTCAGATGCTACTTTATCCAGAATAAGACACGACGGTGATAATTCAGAGGTTCTTGGAAATCAGCACTGCTTTTAAATAACGGGAAAAATCTAAAAATGAAGCATTGCAACATACAAAAGAAAAAAGGAGATGTAAAATGAAGTCGCTCTTCAAACACGAGTATTTTTATGAAAACTTGTGAATTCAAACTTGTAATTGAATATATACTTTTCACGAAATAGTTAAAAAAAAAATGATAATGACATAAAGAAACAATAATCTGTGGATGATTTAGGAAGAGAAGTCCCATAATTCTGGACTTAAATTCAATTGTTTTTTTCTAGATCGTTTATCACATTGACGTCATATACCTATTTGCATACCCGGACCAATGACTCTAAACTCAACTATAGTCGATTAAACTAGAGATAGCCTTAAAAGATGCAATGAAAAAACAAGGTTACTAATACCTAATTATTTTTTTCACAATGACACAACCTGTTTAGGTTATTAATTTGCGATAGCAACCTGTTGTACAGGAATTCGAAAGTTTCAGGTTCGCATTTTGTCGAAACCTGAGGGAGATCTTTCGCCAATCACAGCTATTTTCAGTCATATAACAAAGCTTAAACGACAAAGAGTTATAACAATATCTGTAATGTCACCAGAAGTAATATGCGGGTGCTAATGGAGGTTTCGTGTTAGTGTTAAGGAATATAGAATATACTGAACCCCATAATAAACGTACGTACATTTTCACGTTTCTTACGTCGGACTTGCTTTTCTTTTGGTGTTCAGCATATATGAAACACAGTTTAAATAGTATTTGCGATTTCTTTTTTTCTCCTTATTTTTCTTTCTTATAGCTAACTTGTGGAGTGATTCCACTGGACCCTTATTGTAAAACCGGCCTGGGATATGTACTTCCGGCGGACGCTATGCTTATTTGATCAAATGGTTGAATTTTGAATCGGATTACATACGCTTTGAGATGAAGGTTGAATATGCCGCACCAGGAGAACTCTATGCAGCCTTGGACTTTACAGATGGCGTGAAGTTGGTAAGAGTTCCATATCTTTGTTAAATATTTCGTTCGAACGAAACTCTTAAACGTTTTAAGATCATTTGTAATATTTGTGAAGATCTCCAGGAATAGATATTTACTCTTTTTACTAATCTATTGACCTCGTCCATCGTATTTAACAACCAGAATTGGATATCAAAGACAAAACAGACTCTTTAACATCAGTCACTTATCTCAATCTTTCCCTGCAACGAAACTATCAAGGACAGTTTTCACCAAGCTGTATGATTAGGGTCACGACTTCAATTTCCCTATTGTGAATTTTCCAATTCAGCAACATCATCTGTTTCATTCATGCATATAATGTAGATATTCAGCTACAAAGGTCTTCAACAACATGAATAAATATGGGAGATTAATTGTTATCTACGACATTGAGACAAAATTCTTGATTGGTCATTTTAAAGAGCACAAAGATTGGCATATAATGGAGAAGATATAGATTGCAGTGGGGAATTGTTATATCTCCAATTAAAATAATTTAGCTGATTCTCCTTATGAGATATTGGAGACACATATAAAACAAACATATCCAAAATTATGTATGGTTTGATGTCGGAGACATTTCGTCATGACTGGTGTAAAGTGTCGAAATGCTGATATTGCCTAATCCCTGTTTTAGAGAATGCTAATTATATTAATAGCACATGTATGTAACGAAATCACACGATGTAGTCAAAAGGGTTTTGGGAATTTATTTTACAATATACTCCAAAACGTCAAAAACATATAACTAGAAAAGAGATCAACAGAAAACTTCAAAGAACCATAAGCTACGTCTTAAAGTGAGATGGTGATATCGCCGTAATGTCCTGTGCAGTAGATACACCGGAGGAACAAACTGTGTTCAACTGCTATAAGCTCCATTGAATAGTCAGGTTTGACCTTGCTGTGTACTTTTGGCTGTAGTCCTCAAACATATCAAGGTTTCAACCCAAAAGTCCCGTCAAACTACCATAATGATATGTATCAGCCAATGTTGAGGAGCACGAGCAAAGTCAAGGCGAAGACGAACATGAGTAATATCTGGGTCCCAAATGCACACTTCACGGCAAAATCTTCTACCTACAAGAAAAACCATAGGAAAGTGTCAGATATCAAAACGTTCACGATCAAAAATAAGGAGGATGAATGAATGAGGGTAGAGGAATTCTTAATTGAGGATACCTTTGGTGCGTATGGTGATAAAGACGTATCCATGGAACAAAAACAGATGATGATTATGACGACGATGTATTTTTTATCGTGTACGCATTCATCGCCATTCTTAAAAAATACTCTTCAACCACTCGTTGGATTGGATAAGTATTAAGAAGAAATTCCTGACAGAGTATGAAGGCTCATCCCTTTCAATAGGAATTAGTTGTTAATGAGAGGTTACTATAACTGAGACAATAAGTGTGCGCTCATACGTGTAAACAAACCTCTCGCAGCCCTTCCGGTGATTGCGAATACCTCCCGCCTTCACTGACAAGTTCGATGTTTCCAGATTGACCTAGTCAAGTAAATTGAAAGTATGATATAAACTATCCACAAAAGGGAAGTATGCTCTATTGTTCGAAGGCAAAGTATATTTCACAATAAAAGGTATGTTTATATTAAATTTTTTTATGCTAAATTTCGCATTGTGGTAAGTATCTACCTGATGTATCGTTTCACCTACCTGTCGCCGCCCTTCGTTTAATCATCAAGTACACTTCCAAAACGATGTTTACAATCATAAACACCCAAATGTATGCAATCGCCACAGCCGAGGCACTTCCGGTTACCTGAGATTTTTCTAGATACGTCCCAAAGATGATTGTTAAAGCTGGAATAAACATATGACGTCAAAATGATTGATCTGATTAATTAAGTAATACTTTCTATTCTTTGCCAACAGGATTTTCAGTTTTCAAATATTTCATCGGATTTAAAGTGTTTATACTTCAATTCAAGTATGAATGAATATTAAAGAGTTAAAAAATTATCGTTTGACCTAAACTAAAAATTTCAATTCTTAAGATGTATGTCATACTTATCATAAATACCAACGTGTGAACTGAAAGCTAAACATCAAGGAAAAGACGGCATATATGAACAAAAGAAAATTTTACACGAAAACGTAAGTTCCGGAATGGTAAACGCATTTTACTTCATCGAAGATATCCTCCATTGTTTAATTAGATCTTGTGTTTCAAAATCAGAACAAGGTAGACGACTTCGGAACCACTAGTCATACGATATAATGCATAAAGAAATAGAATATTTCCCAATGAGATGTTTGTGTCGACTATAAAAACTCCCTGGTAATCTTCAGTGGAAATGGTAGTATAGATTAAAGTATCGAATCAACTGGCACGTGTAAACACCATAGGATGGGGAAGGAGGAAGATACTATCCAGAAATGGAAAATTCAGGATAGCAAAATTCGAGATCGTTTGCTGATCATACAGCTTGGTGCTGTCTCCTTAATTCCAATTCTAGCTGGTCTATACGATGGGTACGGTACATTTCTAACTTAATATTTAAAGGAAATACAGCATCTAGATAAATAAAAGAAACATTAAAGGATTTGGCAAGGAAAGTGTGACCTTTTTGGTAAGTTCTTCAATATATTATGCCTAACATAAAACATAAACTTATCAGCCAAAAGAGGGGCACAGTTTGTTGCCATGGAATAAGTCTTTTGGAAACTCTTTCCACCAGACAAAAAAAAGTAATTTCACAGCCGTAGGAAATCTTTAATCTTAATGAGATGTCAAAATTAAGCAGTAGTAGCAATAGAAGAAATTAATTACTTACCTAGTCTGACTTATCATAACACTGTCAAATGTATGTACTTACAGAAAAATACGATGACAATTTGGAATAATTGTTAAATGTATAATTACATAGTGGTGGAAACAATCGATAAGAATATCCTTTTGAATTGTAAACACTACATAACAGAAGCCAGAATACAACAGATATATAAATGTATCACCTGCAATAATATGTGCAGAAATTCCACAGAGACGATGAGCAAAGTTAAAGATGGGTCTTTTTTCGTGATCTGGGGCACAACGGAACAAAGCCATGATGGGCTGCAAAGGAATCATGCAAAATACACTATTAAGGGGGAAAAGATGATTAAAACTAAAACTGATACATGATAAGGCAAAAAAAAAAAATCAATATTGTTAAGCAAATATACTACCGCATAATTTGGAACATCCAGTCTTACAAGCATAAACTCTACTACACTTTAACCAATGAAACACATCATATTATATATGTGTTACGTAGTGACGGAGGATATGTAGAAACACGATGTTTTACATACGTTAATCACGGCGAGGGTAGTGACGATGATCCCCAGGATCGGATGGTAACGTCCGTATACAATACTACCTGCTGCCACGCTTATATTCTTGAAAATAAAAAAAAATAATGTTTATACACAGGGCTCTTACACCCCATTTTGGGACTGGGGCCCGGGGCCCGGGGCCCTTAGAATTGAGAAAAAATTGCGGCGTTTTCCTTAGAATTGGGAAAACTTTGGGTCTAAATTGGGAAAAAAGATACTTTTTTTCATTGGGAATGGGGCCGATAAATCTGGCAGATATCGAGCCCTGATACAGTATATTCCATGGGAGGTAAAGAAACACAATTAGACGATATATTTTCAGTAAATTTACAGTTATGTGTCGTATTTTTGATGTATTTATACTTGTATGTCTTTCGATCCTTATAGTTTGTCTAAGTAAAACTAAGTGCTTCTTTTTAAAAAAAATAGTTTAACATCAGAAGATAGATAATTTTTATGATATTCATGACATTCACTAATTAGTTACACAACCATGATTAATTCTAGAAATGTATTCCTCTAGCATAGTAATATTCCATTCAGAAAATTAAATTAAACCAGTGTTTATATTACAATCCTGATTTCTATGTTAATGACTGTACTACTGATTCGGGTATATCCTGATTGATAAGATGACCAGATCACACGAGGGCATTGTACAAGGTTGACTTGACAAATATACACAATTGAAATCCACTTTAAATGCGATTGCTCTTCAAGGTCAACCATTTTGTTAACAAAGTTTTTGAGAGACTCGGAAGTATTAATCTATAGTTCGCTACTTTGATAACACCAAAAAACTTATCGGCTGCTTTTTTCTTACAAAAGGACTATTGACAGGTTACCTGCTAAAGGTACTGTGGAACAAATAGTTGATAAATTAACGATGCCGTAGCTATGTAGAACCATGACACCACCCTATAACGCCTTGTAGGTTTAAAGCTCAGCCGGGACATTTGTTTTTGTTTTGTTTTTTTGTTTTTGTTTTTTTTTTCATTTTTAGATTTTGTTTTTATCTATTTTTCCGAGTCTTCATACCATTACTATGAAATTGGTGAATACCAGATCGTTTACCAAACTCGATTCCTACCACATAGGTCTCCAGTATTGGGACACGGTGGCATTTAAAATTCAGTAAGCTATAATTACTTATCATCGGTTAGTTTTTAATAATAATGATAATAAACCCACTTAAGACATACGAATTTCACCAATATACGCACATGTGCATAGCCTCCAACTTCCACGAATATGATGATGAACGATGTCACAGTGAGACTCAGGACTGTCCCCATACAAATTCTGTGAATCTAAATAGAAAATTTCAGGAAATTAGAAATAATAAAAAAACAGGTTTTCTGCAGTTTTTAGATGGGATTTTTTTGTAACTATATTGTATATACTAAAATATCTGAATAAAACATCATGATAATAAAAAAACATTCTCACCGGAAACCAAACTTTTTGTCCGAAGAGGGTCGAATCCGGCCAGATAGTTTTCATATACCTGGCATCAAATATACCAATACTGGCGACAAACACCCAGGCGAAGATCATTAGAGATCCTGAAATAAAGAAACCAGCACTTCAACCCGTGTGTTTTATTGCCAGAAAATTTCTTACAATCTTATCTGTATTTCACAAATTATTGATGGCATCTAGAAAATACAACAAAAATAAACAATGTGTCTTTAAATGTTTTGAACACGAAAATAAAAGATAGGAATATTCCGATTTTCTCTAAAATGAAACTCATATCACTTTCATGAAATATTTCTATTTTTGGTGTTTCAAATCAGGCGTTATGTAAAGAAGTGTAATGAATGAAAATGTGTTTTCACACCGTGTGCCTTGACTAGAGGGTAAGACACGGCTGCTCCAGCTAAAGTCGAGGTCAACTGGAAATCCACTTCTTGTGAACTGATAACTGGAGATTCTGAATGTTTCGTTGGGGTACCTGTACGGAGCATTACATAAAACATACATCGAAGTATAATTATATTATATTTGTCATATATATCACTTGTGTGCTCTACTGAGACTTGGAAATGCACCACCCAGAAAAAACTCCACCATTTTCTTTAAGCTGACTACGTCCATTTTCATATTACCTGCGACAATAGACTACAATGGTATGTTAATGCCGAACATTTTGTTTTGTACTGCAGTGTCAGAGGGAAAAGTTCTTAAAAAATCTTGAAAATGTTTATTTTCAGTACAGCTATTACAGCTACGTAAATAATATAATTAGATATAACGTTTTTACAATGTCACCATTCACATAAACATTTTCATCATGGTTCAGTATTATTAGATTGCATTAATTATCCTGTACCTTGAAAATAGTATCACATCAATGATAAGAATCAAAATTTATTTTTGTTGTTATAATTCCTAATAGCTTGTTTAATTCATATTATGAGAAAATAGTCAATTCTTTAATACCAGATGATGTTTGGCCTCGAGCAAAAAGAATGTGCCAGTTTTGTTGCAGATCATAAAACTCTTGCTGTCCTGGTATTGCCATCGTCCTGGTCAAACTACAATTGAGGATTGATCCAACCAAAGAGCCAGCGACAGCTGTCAAACCCAGATTTTTCTGAAATGTGTGATACATCTTATAATGGAATAAAACTGTAAATTACGAGGGCGAAACAACAGTATTTATAGTGATATTTTGATTATTGTTTTACCAATTCCCTCCCCTTGTTTATTTGATTGACAACCACGATCTTATCAGCTTTTTAACAATGTAATAAGTAAATAAATGTGATAATTATGATTTCGTTTGTTTTCTATCATACTAAATACACAGAATAAGACATCTAAAAAACATCTTTGCTTTTTGTCTTACAATGGAAATATATGTATACAGATATATCGACAGCGTTGAGAGATGTGTATGATCTACCGTCAGTTTTACGTACGTTAAACAGATGTGTATGATTTACCGTCAGTTTTACGTACGTTAAACAGATGTGTATGATCTACCGTCAGTTTTACGTACGTTAAACAGATGTGTATGATCTACCGTCAGTTTTACGTACGTTAAACAGATGTGTATGATCTACCGTCAGTTTTACGTACGTTAAACAGATGTGTATGATCTACCGTCAGTTTTACGTACGTTAAACAGATGTGTATGATCTACCGTCAGTTTTACGTACGTTAAACAGATGTGTGTGATTTATCTACCGTCAGTTTTACGTACGTTAAACAGACGTGTATGATTTACCGTCAGTTTTACGTACTTTAAACAGACGTGTATGATTTACCGTCAGTTTTACGCTCAATAAACAGATGTGTATGATTTACCGTCAGTTTTACGTACGTTAAACAGATGTGTGTGATTTATCTACCGTCAGTTTTACGTACGTTAAACAGATGTGTATGATTTACCGTCAGTTTTACGTACGTTAAACAGACGTGTATGATTTACCGTCAGGTTTACGTACGTTAAACAGATGTGTATGATTTACCGTCAGTTTTACGTACGTTAAACAGATGTGTATGATCTACCGTCAGTTTTACGTACATTAAACAGATGTGTATGATTTATCGTCAGTTTTACGTACGTTAAACAGATATGTATGATCTACCGTCAGTTTTACGTACATTAAACAGATGTGTCTGATCTACCGTCAGTTTTACGTATGTTAAACAGATGTGTATGATTTACCGTCAGTTTTACGCTCAATAAACAGATGTGTATGATCTACCGTCAGTTTTACGTACGTTAAACAGATATGTATGATCTACCGTCAGTTTTACGTACATTAAACAGATGTGTGTGATCTACAGTCAGTTTTACGTACATTAAACAGATGTGTGTGATCTACCGTCAGTTTTACGTACATTAAACAGATGTGTGTGATCTACCGTCAGTTTTACGTACATTAAACAGATGTGTATGATTTATCGTCAGTTTTACGTACATTAAACAGATGTGTATGATTTACCTTCAGTTTTACGTACGTTAAACAGATGTGTATGATTTACCGTCAGTTTTACGTACATTAAACAGATGTGTATGATCTACTGTCAGGTTTACGTACGTTAAACAGATGTGTATGACTGACCGTCAGTTTTACGTACGTTAAACAGATGTGTATGATCTACCGTCAGTTTTACGTACGTTAAACAGATGTGTATGATTTACCGTCAGGTTTACGTACGTTAAACAGATGTGTATGATCTACCGTCAGTTTTACGTACATTAAACAGATGTGTATGATTTACCTTCAGTTTTACGTACATTAAACAGATATGTATGATCTACCGTCAGTTTTACGTACATTAAACAGATATGTATGATCTACCGTCAGTTTTACGTACATTAAACAGATATGTATGATCTACCGTCAGTTTTACGTACATTAAACAGATGTGTATGATCTACCGTCAGTTTTACGTACATTAAACAGATGTGTATGATCTACCGTCAGTTTTACGTACATTAAACAGATGTGTATGATTTATCGTCAGTTTTACGTACATTAAACAGATGTGTATGATTTACCGTCAGTTTTACGTACATTAAACAGATGTGTATGATCTACTGTCAGGTTTACGTACGTTAAACAGATGTGTATGACTGACCGTCAGTTTTACGTACATTAAACAGATGTGTATGATTTACCGTCAGTTTTACGTACATTAAACAGATGTGTATGATCTACCGTCAGTTTTACGTACGCTAAACAGATGTGTATGATTTACCGTCAGTTTTACGTCCATTAAACAGATGTGTGTGATCTACCGTCAGTTTTACGTACGTTAAATAGATGTGTATGATCTACCGTCAGTTTTAAGTACGTTAAACAGATGTGTATGATTTACCGTCAGTTTTACGTCCATTAAACAGATGTGTGTGATCTACCGTCAGTTTTACGTACATTAAACAGATGTGTATGATTTACCTTCAGTTTTACGTACATTAAACAGATATGTATGATCTACCGTCAGTGTTACGTACATTAAACAGATATGTATGATCTACCGTCAGTTTTACGTACATTAAACAGATATGTATGATCTACCGTCAGTTTTACGTACATTAAACAGATGTGTATGATCTACCGTCAGTTTTACGTACATTAAACAGATGTGTATAATCTACCGACAGTTTTACGTACATTAAACAGATATGTATGATCTACCGTCAGTTTTACGTATGTTAAACAGCTGTGTATGATTTACCGTCAATTTTACGTACGTTAAACAGATTTGTATGATCTACCGTCAGTTTTACGTTCGTTAAACAGCTGTGTATGATCTACCGTCAGTTTTACATACATTAAACAGATGGGTATGATCTAGATCTACATGATTTTCTGCCAGTTTTACTTACGTTAGAAAGAGATCTATAGGATCTGCCGTCAGTGTAACCAGATTCAGCGGCGATAACTCCACCGGAAGCCACACAAGCAACAACACTGTCGGATCCCTGTCAAACAATTAAATGTGGTCAACTGATAAACCATATGATTGTTGCAATCGTTATCTTAGTACATGTACAGAAACGTTATCATGGATGAGAATTAAAGTTTCTGTAATCGTGTTCTGATGTTTTTAACGATCTTCGCATTCATATCATATCATGTAATATTTTTTTCGTTGTTTCTACCCAAAAGGCAGCTTTCCGATTTTTATTTCTTTTCATTTCTCGATGAAAAAGAATCTAGCTCTGCTGACTTGCTAATGAATGGAGGAGTCAATGGCAACTCGCCACCTTCTCTTGGTCTCTTGGAACTAATTTTTATTAATGGAGTATATGTTTACATAATTACGCGCATTCATTCAGTTTGCAAATAGGCTTCGTTAATGCATTTTTATAGATCATAACAATTAATGATGATTTTAATTGATTTTAATTGATATTACGTATATTAATCGATAACGAAACGTAACACAACCAGTTCTCAATACGTTTAAATGCAATTAAAAAGAGAAGCTGGGATGCCTACCATTGCTCTATCTCCAGAAAATGCAATGGCTGCCCAACTCTCCGCGCTAGATACCGCTGAAGTTATTTCAAATACAATTTGTGCATTGCTTATCGTCCTCCATGTCACCAGGAATGAACACTGGGAGCCAGCACAATCCGAAAAACAGCCCTTCGTCACGTCACATGCTGGATCGGGTGGCAGCGAAGCAACCGTCTAAACAGGAAACCGAAGCAAATTCATTCAATACAGATTTAAACAATTCTTAAAAGTCTTTCCTCTACTAACTACTGTGGTTCACATAAAGATATTAATTAAGTTTTTAATCTAGAACAACCAATTTTGAGCAACCTTCTCAACCTTCAGAAAATGACACTAATTTATAGTTTCAAAACGTCATCACATTGTTTTACAAATTGACAGAAACTTGTTACTAAGTACTTCTGTATAAAAATTTTAAGAAAATATCAATATGTCAACATAATCGTAATCCAAACTTAAATTAAAAATAAATGTTGCAAAATATTAACAAAAGAAAGATTGACAAGGAGATTCCTGAAAAAGTAAAATGAGAATAAGACCAGGTGTTCTGGAAGAGAAGCGTCTTCTGCTTCGTCGACGACTCAAGCCGTGTAAATCTTGGTCAATTCAAGTAAGTAATGTCATGTTCTTAAATGAGAACAAGTTATACGACAACGGAACAAAGAAGTCGAATATTTCTCGATGAGATCACTATGATGATAATAATTTTCATTAACCTGCATTATTTAACCCCACGTGTTACGAATTTGTCCGTTAGTTGACGACTTCTTGCGCGAAAATTGTGATATTGGGAACATGCCCTTGAATATCGATTCAGCTGCGAAATAGGTTGGTGATGCAGGATTGTTGCTCTCAAGAAATGTAAAATTCCCGATAAGCAAACTGAAATCGTCGCGTTTATCATACAGCTTGGTGGAAAGCTGTATAAGCGACTGATGTGGAAGAATCTGTAGTGACGAATTTACTGTCATGAACGTCAAAATTTAATTCTATATGATATAAAAAGATATAGAAAGATTATTACATACAAGGTATACCTTAAATTATTGCTACAAAGATTAAATAATATAAATCTAAAATCATGTGATATAACACATTTTTTTCATTTGATACTATCCATCATGTAATCTCCGGTATACCAAGGAATCGCCATTAGGTTGCCATGACAATCATTCTGAAGCAAGTCAAATCATGGGGGCCGTGTTTCCTGTTCATATATATGTTCAACGTTGACACTGGAGAACTTTAAAAAAACGACATGGTAAATCTGAGATTGAATTACCAGGGAAGAGAACATTGAAGACGATCTTAAGGATATGTTTCTATTCATTAGTTACCCCCTTTGAACCTGGCTATTTCATGTGTCGCTAACGCCAGAACTTCAAGAAATAGGCGTATGACAGGCCGATTTCTCAATCTACTGTATCAACTCCAAAAACTATAATGTCCCAACTGCCACATGGTGTTGTCTCATACTTCACTGCAAAGTTCTGTCAACAATGGTAAGTAAATTTCATTTGAAATTATTATACTGCCAACTTACATGATTCTATTGTCAACTGCAGATTCCGAAGCCTTTCTATGATGTCCATCGTTCTATCGTTACTTTGGAGCGAGCACTTTTATTTTATATTCATAGATTGACGTGATGAATTTCAGAAATGTACACCAGTGACCTATATAGTTACAATAACTTTGACAGATAATCAATTCACAGAAACGTTTCTTCGCATATATATTTCGGCCTACATGCTGACCTCAATTTAAGGACAAGTTGACTTCAAAGGATTGATACAGTTTACAGAGAGAAAATACGTCACAGTTTCACTTCTTTTGCAATTCCAATATTTACACCATTTCAAACCTTTGATAATCTTAGAATGAGGATGATTTTATCTCCATAATGTTATTCGACGGTGAAATTCCGATGTCGTTATCTCAACCTCGACTACCATTTCATTATATTTACTTCTTAGTTCGATATCTCAATGGTGTTTTGCTGAAGTTCGTGTCGTGTTTTCTTTACTTCGGCTTCTCTCGGGTTTCTTCCTTCCATTTGATTTCAACATCCGGGTTGTGATTGATTCCATGCTGTGAACGTTTTTCATCATTAAAACTTAAATTCGGAATTCTACCTTGAATGTATGTTGTTTATCAATCAAGAACAAATAAAAACAACACTATATGAGGTATTTCCGATAATTTACTCACGATAGAAAATATAAAGTAAGAAAATACATGTCTTCTTAATTCAACTTATCAATACCACATCTATAATCTTTCAGATTACAATTATCTGCCTTCGGCCATTTTAAAATCTGTTTCACATTCCGTCTTGCTCTGAATAGCTGCAAACACTACGAATCGTGTGGTTTATATCATACATCATATCCCAAAATACCAGAAACAGCAGCTACTGTTGGATGGTCGTTATAATGCAATCCTTCTTTAAATTTTAGAACAAAGAATGTCAAAAAGTGCCAACAAATTTGACTCAGTTTTCATAATTTTCATATTTTATTCGAATAACATACTTCAATAAATACAATATTATGGAAAAAAAGATTAAAATGTATTAAATATACCTTTAAGATATATGAACTTAGTATAATTCTCTATCACAATTACTTGACTCAGACAGAAAACTCTGAACCGTTTTTGTAGGATTGAAAAATCTTATGTCCGATAGTTACAGCAATTCTGACAAAATTACTAGAACCCTTAATGACATTTTCATCGTTCTGAAGAAACCTCGTGCAGCTAAAATAATATGACTGTCGATATCTTCAAGACACTGAGACAAGGTAAAATCCCAGAGCCCAATTTGAAGTATTTCCCCTTTGCCATGACCAAACCTTGCATTCTGCCTTGTTTGATTTTTTGGACAATAAATCGCATGATGATTCTTTTCTTCATAACGTCCTTTTGACAATCATTCAAATAGCTTTATACAAATACAGTATGAACGATATAATTTTTATATGAATGATATTTATTACTTAACTCAAGAATTTATTTAAAGTTTAATAGAACTTTTTTTCGTGTGAAAAAAACTGAACCCGAATCTTCCCGTAATGTTTCATTTTCTTTGTTTGTCCCTGCATGTTTTCATGAAAAACGATTTAATGGTTTTCATATAAGTAAAAAAATTTAAAAAATAACCAAAAAAAGCCCATTGAAAATTATCTAGAAAGCGTTTCAGTTTATTACATCCATTGATAACTTCTGATCTTCATCAAACTTTTCTAATAATAACAATATTTCCCATTGGTAACATCATCGTTTCCATTGGTTACATGACGCTACCGTTAATATGTTATAACCAGGTCTATGGCATTAACATGAGTGTTACAGCTACCGCGCATGTCAAAAACATGGAATGTGCAGAACTGATAATGTCATTTGCAGTTGAGATGGTAAGAGGGGAGGTGTAATCTGTAGAAGTGGGCTCAGTGGATAGTGGAGCAGAAGTCGTCTTGTCTATTTCCATCAAAACCACAGGATTTGTACCCGCCGCTCTTCTCGTGTGCTTAACAGGATCACCTACAACATCAAGAAAAAAGATAAGATATTGAAAACAATTAATTGATAATGAATTATAATATATGTCACGTGATTGTCTTTGGTACCATTTATCGGTTACTTGTGTGCATTGCAAGGAAGGCAAACAGAATAAATATCCACTCTCAAACATTAGGCAGAAAGAAGTATAGATATAAACAAATGTCTTGATCATAAAATAGGATTAAATGACCCTCTGAGATTTAATGTTATGTAAAATCGTATTTCAATACGATACATAATCAGGCTTTTGTAGTTCTGAGTTATTTTTATTTATTGTCTTTTATCTGCTGATGTTACCTTTGGTTATTAGGCCGTTTGCTTCAAGGATATAGAGCGTGGTTAGGTTGAGGGGAAAGATCTGACTGGGAAACTCCTTCGGTACTTTAACACGAGAGAAATGGCAAGTAAGATAAGATCCGTTTCGGGCAACAGTAACGTTCGCTAGGCTAGATGTTGTCTGTAAAGGTAAGAAGACATATGCTGGTTATCTACGTAACAAAATTCCCAATCAGTGAAAAAATTGCGAAAAATTGTAAATATACTGTAATAACAGTTTTTTAAACAGATTAAAATTATTTGGTAAGAGTTATCTCCCTTAAATGCTTTTTTATATTTGTTAATACTCATCACTTTATCACTTTCGGCATCTAACATCACTGAAAGGTGTTTAAGGACGAAACAAGCGTACGAAACAGTTTTGTACAATATTGTTGTATTTGTGTATACATGACTTATTTACACACAAATGCATAATCACAATTACAGTATCTACTAGTAAAGGGAAAATAGAACGATTTCAAAGAATTCTCCGACAGATGTTGTCTTGTGGTAGAATCCTACAACCCCCTCGGAAGTAGCAGACTTTTTCTTTGTCGTATATCATATTCTAAGTAGCTGTCATTGACACATCCGGAGAAGATTTCGTCATTGAATGGCGTGACTAAATTTAGAGAAAACTTCGGATTTTTTTTTTTTTTTTTATCAAATCCGAAAGAAGTATAGATACATTTAGTGTTTTGTAGGTGTACGCGGCTGCGTCTGTATGTCCAATCTCCGCTCCGCTCGTGTCCGTTCTGCACATCACCACGCTGGTGTTTTTCTACAGAAAAAAAACAACAGAAATTATCAATAAGGAGAGCCGACAACATGTGACCAATATCAAAGAGAAGCGCAACAAGAGAATATATTACCGGTAGACTTGCACACAGAGAGGATACAAATAAACCCATTATCAATAATAAATTAAACTGATATAGAAGATTTAACAACCAAAACATCACCTGACCTACATTTACACGTGAAGATGAAACACGGTGGATACCAAGAAACTAAATAGGTGGATACATCGATAAGACAAGTAATAATTATTTTGATAAGGTGTTAGGTAAGACTAAATGTGAAATGACTGTAGTATACATGTTTCCGATGACGCAGTATTGCAGCTTCGCATGCTGGAACGATAGTCTACATCTAGGCTGTCGGGACCAGCAAATTAACTCTACCACTACAGCGTCAGGATCGACCAACCCAACACGAGGTTTCCAGGGTCTAGGTCAGCTAAGCAAGGTTGAAGGTCGAGGTCAGTGTCTGATGTGGTGGGAGATCTTTGT